TAAGATTTACCTCAGAATGTCTTGGTTCCACGCCCTTGTCTTTAGCCTCAAGGGTTAACACATACAGGTCTAAGATTTCACGATCTGGTTGCTGAGCAACATATAGGATACCATCAGGAAAGATTCCAAAATGGCCGCCAGTGTTGCCATGGGTGATGTTGTAAGAGATTTGGCCATTTAGTCCAGCATCTGTGTCAGTTGCATTAACATTGTAGAACTGGGTATTTACAGGCAAAGACTCACTTATGGCTATGTCGTAACTCGTGCGCTCAAACACAGGAGTGTGGTCATTGACATCACGGACTATAACATTCAAGGTCAAAGTGCTTGATAACTGGGGAGTTCCAGAGTCAGTCGCATGGATATATATTGTGTATGTTTGTGTTGGGGAGTATGTTACTGGTTTGTTGAGGGCGATCAACCCTGTTTGTCTATCTATCAGAAAGTTGTTATCTACATCACCAGTTATAGTATATATCACTTGTGAGTTCGCTCCAAAATCCTCATCTACTGCAGCTGCTAGGTAAACTTCATGTCCTATTGGCCAATTTTCCACTACATATGCATCAACATTAGGGCTTGGGTACATGGGGGTCATATCATTAAGATCATTCACTGTAACATCAACAGAAATTGATCCAATAACAGCACCACCATTGGCAACAACAGTCAATGTATACTTAGCTTGAGTTTCACGGTCAACTTTCTTGGCTGTTGAGATGGTCCCTGAAGTGGGATTGATTTTGAAGATTCCATTCTGGTCCCCTGCTGATATTGTGTATGTAATAGTTGTCCCCGTCCCAGTAGATGTGGCCTGTACTCTCCCAACAAAACGGTCCAATTCAGCAGCTTGGTCATTATGGTCCTCAGTGATTGAGAATGAATATCCATCAGGCTCAGAGAATTCAGGGGGTGTGTCAAGAACATCATTAATTGTGACTTCAACAATGGCTGGAGCTAGAGATACTTTATCGCCTCGATCGACAGCAGAGATCTTCAATCTATAAAATGACTTAGTTTCACGATCTAATCTTTCTGATGTTGATATCTCACCAGTTTTGATGTTGATTGCGAATTTCTGATCTGCTCCCTCCATTATGTGATAGTATATGACTGCATTCTGGCCGGCATCAGGGTCCGTAGCTTGAACTTGTGTTACTGGAGTATACGCTGGCTCATTCTCCAAAACCCCAGCGTAGTACATAGTGGGGTAAAACTCAGGGTAGTTATCATTTACATCAGTTACATTCAGTGTTACAGTAGCTGTTGATGATAATGCTGGGTTACCATTGTCTTTTGCTTCGACTGTGATTATATAAATATTCTGGGTTTCACGGTCTAGTGATTTCAGCACCTTGATACCACCAGTATTAGCATCTATTGAGAATGTATTGGGGTAGTCAGTCTCAATGTTAGAGGTAAATGAGTAACTCACAGTTCCATTGGGTCCCTGGTCATTATCTGAAGCTGTAAGAGTAGTCAATGGGAAGTTAATCTCATTGTTCTCCTCGATGGATAGTTTAATATTGGGATTTGAAAATGTTGGTGTCTCATCATTATGGTCAAGGATGGTAATGTTGACTGTTGCATATGAGAACTTAAGACCACCATCTTCAGCCTTGACATTGAAAGAGAATTTTGATGCAGTTTCACGGTCCAGTGCCATCTGGGTTGTTATAAGTCCAGTTTTAGAATTGATTTTGAACCATTCTTGTTGATTTCCACTCAATATTGAATATGTGATGTCAGCGTTGATTCCCGTATCATTATCAGTAGCGTGGATCCCGAGAACATAACTACCTACATCCATATCCTCATTGAGTGTGATCATGTACTCTGATCGATCAAACACAGGTGTGTGATCATTGATGTCATTCACGTTGATGATCAAATATGCTGATGATGTACGTGCCGGGGTACCCTTATCAGTGGCAATCATGGTGAGATTATAGCGACTGATACGTTCACGGTCCAGCACACCCGAGTTGGCAACTTTCACCAGGTTAAACATGGCAAATGGAGAATCCAAATAAAAGTGACCTTGCTCATTACCAGAACCAATTCTAACGGTGGTATCTCCATTGTCACCTTCATCATCATCAGTTACAGTAACCATAGCAACAACAGCATCCTTGGCAGCTCCTTCATCAACTGTGCCTTGGGTTGCAGAGCTGGGGAAGAACTTGAAATTGATTTCTGGATCATGATCATTTTCATCAACGAGGATAACAGTGACATATGTGCGACCACTCTGTGGGGGGTTGCCTTGATCGTGTGCAAACACTGTCATGACGCAACTGTTAGGTTCGCAATTAACTGTTGTACGTCCACATATCTGGCGACATGTTGGCTTCTGGCGGGTTCTAACTACACCATCTTGGTCAACTTCAAACTGCTCTGTATCGTCAGTAATAGAATAGACGATTCTAGCATTTTCACCAATATCTTCATCAGTTGCACGAACTTGGACGACAGATGTACCAATAGGGGAGCTTTCATTAAGTGTTGCACTGTAGTCACTTTCATCAAATACTGGGGAATGATCATTGTAATCTGCGATGGTTATATCAACTATGAGGTAGCCATATTTAGGGGGTGAGCCACCGTCTCGGGCAGAGATATTTAATTGGTACGACTCTTGAGATTCTCTATCTAATTTTTGAGTGTTTTGTAAATATAAGAAAGGGGTAGATGTACTGTTTTCAACTACTAGTTTAAACTTTTGTTCTTCGTTACCTGAGACGATTCTGTACATTGTAGTCACATCATTAATCCCTATATCAGCATCTGTTGCTGTAACAAGGATGATTTGTGTCGCTGTTTTATCTGTCTCAGAAAACTGTCGGGCAATATTTGGACTTGGAAAAACTGGGAAATTATCATTAATGTCTAAAATGTGAACTCGGACTTCTAAAGGATACACAGGGTGGGAACTGAGTATGACTAAATCTATGACATCAGATTCCAGACTTTCTCTATCAATCCTAGTGGAGGTTGTTACACGTCCTGTGGCACCATCAAGATTAAAGTATGGAGGGGGGTCATTGAATCTATAAGTAAATCCAACTTTCTTAGGAATTGTTCCTACAAATTCACCGGCTGGCATTTCCTCCGATATATCAAATTCTACCCGTTCCTCTGGCGTAAAATCGTCACCGATCGCAGTACTGAAATCCAACCCCGGTCCCTGTCCTTGGGCATGTGTAAATAAGAACTGCAGAATAAGGGCCATTAGAATATAATGTAACGTCCTATATCCAAACATTCTATTTTGAATAACTGTCCGACTTGAACTTTCCAAACCCAATTTTATGACAACTGGGTCCATGCTGATCTTGAGACACAACTTCAAATATCCAGTCTCAAAATTATTTTTGTGTTCTCACCTTTTCATATTTGCGTATTGTGTAATTTATCTAGACATTCCAAGTCCTAAAAGATCCAATATGACATGAGACTTCCATGTATTCTAAACTGCTAGAAATCCACTCACAAAATATCCCATATGATTTTTGTTGTTTGTACTGATCGGTTTGTTTGGTAGGCCAAATTGTTGTCACTTGCAAACTATTGTTGATTTCTCCCTAATTTAGACACTAATTACCTTCAGATTTGTAATAGAGTATCTTCGGTATATCCTGCATCCGTATTAGTTATAATTTTTGTCTTTACAATTTGTTTTGAACTGATAATTTATGTTGGAAGTGGAGCGATCCGAGTCCGTCCTCCCGATATTTCATTTTGGCTTTACCTTCCAGTCCACTGACGTCACCAAGCTCCACCTTGATTGACAGGTGAAACTATTGGGCGATGTTAATAGATTTTCAAAATGGGTGATAGGCTAAATCCAATTTATTGTTTGCAATTTTATGGATCCAATATTTTAAATATATGCATTTAAATATTTAAAATAACATATTCTCAAAGTTAAACAAATGTTTACATAGCCATCAAACAATTTTATACATGGAATTGTTATAGAATATTTGAAAACACCCCTCTCAAAATTTGAAAAAACAAAAATGGACATCTTGTTGAATTTACCAAATGATGCCACTTGTATTTGTTTCCAAAATACATTTTCTTTTGGTTACCTCGGTTTCGGTCTTTAGTAAGCACACAAGAGTATGCTTCAACTGACAAAAAGTATTTATCTCGGAGAGAACTCTAGGTATTGGCATAACGCAGACGGAATTGCCGAACTGTCATAATTGCAAAATTCTGTCTTCATGGGCTGACATCTATAAATGGAATAAAAACTATTTTCTGCTTTTTTTGCAGAAAGTGAACCCCTTTTGGCAAATCCTGGCTACGGGCCTGCAATCCTAATAATTTTATTATCTGACTGAAATAGGTTCGATGTCTCATCAAATATCACTGGTCTCCACATGGTCTTTATAACAAAATGGATGAACTTCCATCACTCGGAGGAAATTTTTATTGTCATCATTTTTACCAAGAAGGGGGTCGATTTCATTGTATCCAAATATTTAACCCGTATGTAAATAGTAATTCATTTTGTTATAAAGTCTTTATAACCAGGTGGGGACCAGTGAATATGGAACTTATTGAATATGTCCAAATATGTCTCAATTCATTAGAATTAAAAAAGGGGACATCCATCTTTCAAATGAGTAATGAGCAAAGATTTTTAGAAATTTTCTCTGAACTCGTCTCTAGTCTTTGTCGTCCCTTTAATTTATAAATAATCAAATGTAAACATTATTGTAAAACTAAATAAACAGGGCCCTATAAATCTGGAGATCTTAACTAAAAACTTTGTTAGTTACGAATTCTTAGCGTTATGAATTTCGTATAATTTTTATAAATGAACAAAACGCTTATATGTGATATGTATTATCCCAAATCAATCATATTTTCTTTTTCAATACACACCCTGGTGATATAATCATACGATCTGGAAATGTATGGACTGTACAATGATGAAATATATTAATTGGTCATGATTTGAAATTCTTTACACATAGTTTATTTTAGGTGGTACTTATTCTGTACTTATCTCATGCAGACAATTTTTTTAATTTTAGTTAAAAAATGTTTATGGTGAGTATTGTGGTTGCTATGGTGAAAATGCTCCCTGCAACTGTGGTTACACCGTTGGCGTTATCTGAAAAGCAGACAAAACATTACAAACACATCTATATTTAAACATTATGTTTCTGAATGCATGTTGTTTAAACATTAATGTGTTCTTTTTAACGATTCACCAATCTTAAATTTCATTAGTTATGGCATTTATTTTAAATTATCATTAACATTTTTGGCTAGAAACGGGGAAAAGAAAATTGTTGAGAAAAAGGTGCACCATCACATTGAGTCTTGGGTTTTTAGTTAGATCCGATGTATAAAAATCATGAAAGTGAACTATAGTTTGAGTACCTTTCTTCTGGCATATTGAGCCGATTCTATACTCGCAACCATGGTCATGGAAAGTGCTGTCATAGTGGATAGCTGCACAATATTCTTCGCTTCCGTAACTGTTAGGTTCTTGGTTCCAGTCCCTGAAATACAATGAAGCGACCCCTAATAGATACGTCCTTTTGTCCAACTCCTGGGTGCTTTTAATAACGTGTAAGAGTATTTCTGATGGTGGGGGTTTGCCTGGCCATCTGGACCAATGAATCGTCATACTTTAAACGCCGTTAAAACGGTTTTAAACGCCATTTAGAATTAATTTGAACGCCGTCAAATTCGACTTTGAACGGGGTCAAAAACAAAATTTGTACGGTGTCAAAAACTACCTTGAACGGCGTCAAAAACAATTTTGTACAGCGTCAAAAATTATTTTGAACGACGTCCAAACAGTTTTGTAAGACGTCAAAAGGGATTTCAACGGCGTCAAAACTATTTTGAAATGCCAGAAGTTTGAAACGATGAGTTGTGCAAAATCATTTCCAATTTAACATTGACGACGTTCAAAATAGTTTTCGACGCCTTACATAATGCTTTTCAACGCCGTACAAAATTGTTTCCGACTCCATCAAAATCATAATGAATCATCAATCGAAAACAAACATTTAGGTTGTTATACGATGAAAGAAAAATCTTAATTATTCTTCACTCACACTAAGTTAAGATCGGCAGGATTCGGAATATTATTCCAACGCCAGGTTCCCGATGGTAAGTCTGTTAGCCCTGTCCACCACCCAACAGGTCTCTTTCTACGTAAAGAGAACGATCCTGTCATGTCTCGAATGAAGTCCTTAAATTAGATAAAATCATTTTCACGGTCAGTTTGGGCTTGTTTTTCGTACAGAATCTTCAAAATAGCAAAATGCAAGAAGGCAAGTCTATCCAATGGGACGCGGCGGGACTTCCATGAACGTAGCTTTACGTGTTACATGTAAGTGTTTTGAGACTCAATAGGTCACACGAAACATTCCTTCATAGGTACGGTAAGGAAGATTGGGTCCCAGAGTCCAACATGAAAGATTTCAGCTTCTGTGAAATCATGAAAAACAAAAACTTATCCTCCACAGTGATATTTCAAGTTGAATGCAGAAAGATGTGATAAGAATCAGAATGGGTCAGGATATATCGCAAATTTAGTAATGCCACTCACGCGCTCCTCTTGACTCTCAATGGACAATAGATCGGCATCAGGATGCTGCACCATGCAATTTTCTCTCGCTTCTACCCAGGTGAACATCTGTCCCTCATCCCTAATGGACCATTGATAGCAGTAGCCATTCCAGATTACCCACAGCAAATTAGGGCAATACAGGTCGTCTGTATGGTACAATGTTTAAAATGATTTTTTCGCTTCTTAAAATAAATATATTATAGCTACTTTGTTTATAACTAGACTCTGCACGCAGGGTAAGAGACAAGGCCCGATAAGCGTGCAAATGGAATATTCAGATTTTTGTGATCTGAACGCAGGGAAAGTAGATTGTTGGTTGATCAACTGCTAATTCAAAGCATGTGCCGATAGATGTATTTAAATTCAAATGCTGATCGTATTATTCTTACTTGGTTGTAGTTTGTATTTACACAAAGCTCCTTTTTTCGAGGCACAGTTGTCGTCGTTAAAGACTCCATTCTTTGTGATTTCCCCACAGTGTTCATTCCCATCAAAGTTATTAGGCTCGCGGTTCCACTCTCTAAAAAATATTGACAGTTGTTATGAGTGAGGTTACGCTTCACACTTCTAAACCAACTTGTACCTTAACGTGTCGATTTATGGTCTTTCACCACTATGGTTTTCCCCTTGGTAGTATTGACTTCCCCGATTGAGTATAAAGGAATAAGGAAAATAGTTGTACTAAGGTGCTTAGAAAAACCAATCCAGAGATTGATAGTTACACTGGTGGAGATCAAGATATTACGTGTTCATGATGCGTTCTTAAAAATTCAAATTATTTTAACATCGGAACATTGAATAGCACAACAGTAATTCCAGATCAAATCCAGATGTCAAATTAAAGACACTCGAAGTTCAAATGTGTGTGACCGAGCTTTAATGATGGGTGACCTTTATGCAAGAGGTGCTAAATGTGCAGTGCATTGAAATCGTCATTGTATCGCGTCAACTATAAACTTACACAAATGCCCACGTTTTTACGGGCGTGTGATCGGCCCAGTGCCATTTCTGGCATCTCTCCTCTTGGTTTCTATCGTTGAGGCCCGTCCAGTACATGTATAGACCATCGCTAGCAACCTTGGCATCGACCAACACCTTAAATCAAAAGACAATAATAGTATTCAATGAATTTATTGTACCCGGCAGCTCCACCGTTTGAGTGTTATTATGCATGGACTCATTATATTCATCAAGTTACAAATATATTTTCCTGGAACCTCCACCAAAATTTATTTTTAAGATTCATGATCATATCACTTGAATATATAATAAACACGATCGATACTGGTTATGCAAAAAGGTAAGCCGGGAACGTCCTCTTTTGATCACACCATATCCACGATGAGCAGGTTTGATACTGACGGTCCTTGATATGATGTTATCATAAATGAACAAAACAAAACACAAACAAAACAAAGCACAAAACAAAACAAAACACAAACAGATCACATTTCTCTACCATGTCTACGGCACCTTTGTAAATGGGTCATTTACTGCTAGTAAATACGATCCGTGAGAAAGACATCCTTGGAGAGCATCCCTCCATGATCGTTTATCCCCCTCGGGACTGAAGTATACACAGTTTACAGGCCTGCCTGTAGGAGGCGTGGTGGCCAACCATCCCTTGGGACACGAATGAGCTGGATTTGTATATTCTGAAAGTTGAAGTTACAAGTGTATTATTTTAGCGATTCTACCTTTGTAGCTGCGTCCGCGACCATCAACAAGTTTGCGCTGTAGCTTTCAAGGCAATGAGACGCTGCGTCATCCCAGGATTTTTTGTCCGCTTCGGGACTTATATAAATGCAGTTGATGGGAGATCCAGACATAGGCCGTGTTGCAAACCACCCCGTTGGACAATTTTCAGCTGGCGTTATATACCCTGTAATGTAATATGTTATTTGAGGGAGGCAAGCAGACAGGATTATTACATAGGATGACACGAAATGTTGTTTTACAAAGGGTGGAGCAAAATCATTCAAAATGTAAATTAGAAAATCTGTCTTTTCAAATTTACCCAATAAGCGAGTCGGTTAATCAAATTCGACAAAATTATTTAAGAAAAATGGGTAGATGTGGAATTTTTGTGTCACCCTGTAATATCTTCATGGTTTTGTAATTTCATTTGAGGTATTTCGTAGTAGCTTTCCATGATTATCAATTTATTGTCTTTCTGGTCATTTGCATCTTCAATTCTACAAATATTCGCTCGAAAAGAACTTTCTATGTAGTTGTTCAAATGAATAGTGAGGTAGTGTTGTTAAGTCTCAGTCACATTTGCTCTACGGCGGCCGTTGCTTAACAAAATCGACATCGTACTACTACCATATGCTCCATATTTCTCTCGATTTTGGGAAGCTACGGTCGCCGTCAATTACCGTAGATCAAATGTGAGAGGCTTCACTTACGCGAACATATATATCTGTGTTTGATGTCACAGTTCTGGTCGTGATACGACGAGTCATAGTAGATTGCTGCGCATTGTTCATTGTTTAAACCATAGCTGTTTGGTTCTTGGTTCCATATCCTGAATAAGATGAACGACAAATCAACGTAAATGTGTACAGGTGTAAAAGGGTAGGAGGTCCTATCAAATTATGGTCCTACTCTTCATTGATTTATATGGTGACCTAAATACAACTCTTTCCCTCATTATCTTATACGCAATCAGGGCCAGTAAGGGCCGTTAAGGAAAGGGGACCATAATCCCTGGAGACCATCATTTCTTTCACACCGGCAGCTCCACCATTTTTATCAGTACTTCAACTATACCATAGATAAAGACTATTGTTAAAGGATGAATTACCCGTACAATTATCAATAACTAATGATTATCACTATATCTGAAATAATTTTATTTGGACAGACCCATTAGCCATGCTCATCACTTAACTGTATCTCATATTAAATTTTGTTCTTCTTGAATTTTTTTAAATGATGTCTTGACTGTGGCAGGTCCACCACGTTTCATGTTTTTGTGTGCATGTACCAGCCTGTGTACTATATGTATATATTTCTTTATTGCGACCATATTTTATCATCATCATATATTGTACATTATTTATATCAACAAAGACTAATACATATAAATAGGTAAACAATAAAAGGATGGAAAAGTATTTACAGAAGGGCGTTAACAACTTTTGTCAAGATGTATACGTGTAAAACGTTTTCGTTGGCTGGCCTTTGGCTTAGCGGCTAAAGCGCCTGTTTAGCAAACAGGAGATGCTGGGTTCGAAATCCCAGAAGGGCCTTTTTTATTGATTTCAAAACGGGAAAATGGTTTTGCCGGGAAAATTCATGCTTATTTTATGCAATTTGAAAACATGGCTTATTTACAAAAAAATATACATGTTATTCAGGATCGTCAACTGGCCCTTTGGCTTAGCGGTTAAAGCGCCTGTCTAGTAAACAGGAGATCCTGGGTTCAAATCCCAGAAGGGCCTTCTTTTCGTGATGTCAAAACAGGAGAATAATTTATTGGGAAATTCAGTATTTTATACAATTGAAAACATGGCTGATTTACAAAAAATATACGTGTAATTACTTTACGTCAACTGGCCCTTTGGCTTAGCGGTTAAAGCGCCTGTCTAGTAAACAGGAGATCCTGGGTTCAAATCCCAGAAGGGCCTTCTTTTGATAATGTCAAAACGGGAGAATAATTTACTTGGAAATTCAGTATTTATAAACAATCGAAAACATGGCTCATTTACAAAATATATACGTGTATCAACGTTTCGTCAACTGGCCCTTTGGCTTAGCGGTTAAAGCGCCTGTCTAGTAAACAGGAGATCCTGGGTTCGAATCCCAGAAGGGCCTTCTTTTGATGATGTCAAACAGGAGAATATTCTGCTTGGAAATTCAGTATTTTGGTACCCTGCGTGCAGAGTCTAGTTAAACTACAAGAAGCTCTCTTTTAAGAAGTGAAGTCAAACGAATGCAAAGGGTAGTATTTTGGCTTAGCGGCTAAAGCGCCTGTCTAGTAAACAGGAGATCCCGGGTTCGAATCCCAGAAGGGCCTTCTTTTAGTGATACCAAAACGGGAAAATGATTTCCTGGGATTTCTTTTGTTCCCCGCTTAGAAAACAGTCGTTAAACAAATATTGGGGTTAACATGTAAACCTATGAGGTCCTTAACTTTTTTTGAGGAGTATATAATGCTGCTTATTTTTTCGTGAAGCCACTCAGTAAAATTACGATTTCTCTGCACCCTGATGTCCAATCAAGATCATATGAGTATCTATGTGTTCCTGACACATTTGGGCATCCGGTAATGACAACATCTATCCAATGTTTGCACGCGAAATTGACGTAATTCATGACTGAAATCGGGAAGACAAAAATATGCGACATTCTTTCAGAATTGGTTATAATAACTATTTACAAAAATGTTCCCGAGACACAAATCCATTTAGGTAGGGTTTGTTTTAAAGTCGAAAAGCCCCAATAAGACAATACAAACCCAGATAAAACCCGGAAGACTGCAGATTTCATGTAATGATTTACGTTCATGTAAACAAGTAAAGTACATATAATCCCCATATAAAACACTGGGCTACGTGACATGTACATGAAACAACATGTTCAAACTGAAATATTGAACATTTTCAACATAGCATTTGCTTCCGTGTTCTGTATACCCCTCTACCTGCTTAACAAGGCAATGTATCCTCAAATAAAACAAACTCTGGGTAGACGTTGTTATTCCCGGGCGCCCAATCGTGTCAGGAACACATAGATACTTGAATGATCTTTATTGGACATCAGGTTGGAGAGAAATTGTGATTTTACTGAGTGGCTCCACGAAAAAAATAAAAAGGCTGTGCGCCTCGTTAATGCAATTTGAAAATATGGCTTATTTACAAAAAAATATACATGCAATACCATTTCGTCAACTGGCCCTTTGGCTTAGCGGTTAAAGCGCCTGTCTAGTAAACAGGAGATCCTGGGTTCAAATCCCAGAAGGGCCTTCTTTTGATGATGTCAAAACGGGAGAATAATTTGCTGGGAAAATACATGCTTATTTTATGCAATTTTAAAACATGGCTTATTTACAAAAATATACATGTAAACTAGTATCGTCAACTGGCCCTTTGGCTTAGCGGTTAAAGAGCGCCTGTCTAGTAAACAGGAGATCCTGGGTTCGAATGTTTCATGTATCTCAAACGCCAATCTTTTGGTTATAATGTTGGAAGGCACGTAGATAAGAAAATCCAAGTCTATTTTATGCAATAAAAAGAGTATTTTTGCTTGGAAAATACAAGTTATCTTACAAAGGTATTTCCTTTGTCTCAGATAAATTTAGAAAACTTATATTTATTGTTTAGAAAATTTATTCGGTCACCGATATTCATCCTGTTGTGAAATATTCGTTGCATCTTCAAACAAGGCATTAACATGACAAAATGTCACCACCTAGTTGCTCACAATATAATGAGTTCAATCTTAAGTCAGATTTGAACTTCTGATAACTTGTAGATGATTTTGAAAAAAAGATTTCGTCAATTTAAAGCAAGTTGAAAAAATACCTTCTTGACCTTTTTTATCTTGAAAAGGTCATTGAAGGTCAAATATTAAATATAAAGTCAGGTTTGAACTTCTGAAAACTTGTAGATGATTTTGAAAAAAATTATGTCAGTCTAAACAATATTTGTTAACTTATTGTAAGTTGTAAGAATGTGTTACAGACGCCAAATGGCCGATCGCCAACCGCCAACCACCGACCGCCATCAAAAAACGGAGACCATAACAATGTCACCTACAAACGCCATTTGCACATCGTATCTTTTAGTTTCTGATGCTATTTTTGTCTGGATCTTCGAGAGCCTCCCTATTTTCATGTCTAGCACATTTTCTCAGAAACTTGCAATGGCTACAGAACACCCTGACCTGATTGAATAAACTGTTTTCATAAGTTTCAAGGTCTAAGCCGGCCTTTTGAGTTACAAACACCTACATGGTATCACTGCCTGCGGGGGTGGTATTGTCAAGCCACTTCCACCTGCCGTCCGAGAGATCATTCAGGCCAGTCCACCAGCCGGACGAGTGAGATCTGACGTTCCAATAATGACTCACCATTTCTGTTATAAAATCCTGAAAATTAGGAAACAATTTGCAATTCGTTGGGTGTTTGGGCTTTGTCTAGGATGACTTCATCAGCATAAGGTTTGGTCTTTTCCTCATCCCAGGGGTTGGTTAATGTTTTACTGGAACTTTCGGGCGAAAAAAACAACCGGAAATTTCACAACTACCCACACTATCTCAACGGGTGTTGTATATTGTTAATCAATGATGTAATTAAATGAAAATGATAATGAACTGTGACCTAGATAAGGGGCTAGATTAGGACTAAATATTTTTATAACTGAATGTCAACAGATTTTTTGCCTCATTTCCATTGGGATAATAGTTATATAATGACCGCCTAAACAGTATATATGCAATCCCTATTCTATACATTATTTTTAAATATTTCATTTTCTTGAATTACCCTCTCTTTGGAACTTGATACGGACAACAGATTGCAGTTGGCGGTGGCATTAAACAAGGACTTGCACTTAGTCTTGGCACCTTCCCAGTCTACCATTTCACTAGGAACCCGTGTACTTATATAATAACAATTTAGATTCCGTTCAAACCAGCCGTATGGACAGTTCAGTTCTCCTGGGAAAATAAAGAGTAATTCGTTGTAGGCGATTTGTACTTATAATTACTGGGAATAGAATCATATATGACAATGGGCAACATTTGAGGACAAACTACATAGCATACACGTTATTATTATACCCCTGTGAATGATTTAGTAACCCAGATTCCTCTTGGATAGCTAGTGTTACAACATTATTTCCATAAATATTTCCTTATTACAAACCAGAAATATGATTTGATATAATGATCTTTTAGAAACTTAATCTCACGGAATGAAAAAACAGCGACAATCAACATGTCTTCAGAGAATAAAGATGAGAACCGATTATGATTGAGTCTACTCTTGTATATGATCCACACCTACCCAAAGGAATATCATCTTTACAGATATAGCCACGTTTCTGGGCACAGTTCTGGTCGTTGTGGACTCCGTTCTTAAGAATCTCTCCGCAGTGTTCGTTACCATCCCAATTGTTAGGTTCCTTGTTCCATTTCCTGAAACAATATTCAGAAACTAAAATGCTTTTTGACAATTTTATCTTAAACTATTAATATTCACATAGGATATTTCTTTAACAGCAAAGGATTGTCGTATATCATACAGTGCAAATTACAAAATATTGACATATGTCATAACTAAGCACGCACTTATTTCAAAAGATTAACCTATATCAAAAACACACACACGATTGACGTAAAGCACAATTTCTTGACATAAATCAAAAGAATGGCGGCGTATTGCATATCACAAAACTTACACAAGATTAACAAAATCAGGTTTTGTATCGTCGATCCACCTGAAGTCTGTTTTACAATCGTTGTTTTCTTCTCTGTGTAGACCCGTCCACCAGAATTTCTTTTCCTTCTCTTGAAGCTTATAGATCAGCCATGCCTTTAATATTCATAAAAATGGATGGTAAAGGTCACGGGTAAGAGGTTTAGCTACACGTTTTAAATATAACGTCTACGTGGACGTGTAAAATGTATGGTCATCTCGAGGTCCCTATGAGTGTAACATTTATCCCCGGCGTCATGGAATTACACGTTCAAGTTCTCTTAAAAAAGTATACTTTAACCTCCCCAATGTTGAACTGATCGGTGGTAGCATTTGGATCTAATTCTGAATCACTACATCTTTGATCCAAGAGTATTTCACTTCTTTGTTGAATTGAAAGAGCAATGAAAACTTATCAATGTATACCTTGTCTTTTTGGTTTTCTAGTTTGAGAAGGTCTCCCCCTGCTCTGACACAACCTGCTCTACTCTCTTGCCACGTGCTAGTTTTATTGTTGAATAAAAAGCATTGTCCATTGGCCGCCTCCCAGTTAGAAAGACAGCGCTGACTGAATACTGAAATGGTTAGTTATGAGAACACAGAATGAATAAGAGCTGTCTTGAAAAGATCATTGCACCCAAGTGGGGATCGAACTCGTGACACCTTGCTAATGCTGAAATACAGGTTATCCGGAAAATAAAGTGCCTACACATAATATTTAGTCGGAAAACAAAATCCCAACTTTCCCATTGGATCATGTTTTAAAGCTCGTTTTGTTCGATTTTACAAATTCATTATTAAAGCATTTTGTAGTTGAGAGAATTGATTCAATTTCAATCACGAATACACATTAGCACGATTAATGGAAAGTCCAAATTTCCAAACTTTTTTTCGGTTGGGGGGTGTAAGTTGGTCATACATTACAATGAAAATATCTCCATTCTGATTTCATATTCGTACCACGTAGCCACTGCCTTTCTCTAATGGGATAGTTTTGATTTTACCGTCGTAGAGTTTTTAGATTTGTGCATGGAGTTAGGTTTGATACTATGGATGTGCTGAGATTGTGTTTTGATATCAAGGTTGTGCTATGATCATATTTTGATATAGGGTGCGAGATCAACATATCAAGTAGACTTTTAACAAACATTTGGTGCATATATGACATTGATGATCTCCTGGTAATATTGTAAACACACAGAGCTAGAGACCTTAAAAATACAAATAAACACAAACAACTGTTTATCAGTGTTAATTACCTTCTCCTAATATTGTCAGCGTGAGAAATAGATACAAGGAGACTGTCATCTTTGAACCCTCTCAGCTATGGCACCTTCAACGTCTATTGTCTAAATAAATTATTAACTCCCACCTTCTATCCTTCTATTGTGACTACATGTAGGTCCCAGGCACATACAGGGACGGACTGGTTGTAAACACAAAATTGAGTGATCAATTAATAAAGAAATGATTAGAGAATAACTTGTAACGAAATGTTTTTTTTAAATCATTGACAAAGAATATCATCTGAAGAATGCGGTGTCTTTGACCTTGGTTCAGATTTGTAAATGTAAATTTAGTAACCCCAGTTAGTAACAGTTCTTTGTTGTCTTGTTGTCAAGCCTTTTGAATATTTTTCCTTATTAAGTATAAAAGTTAGTATATTATTGTAATAACTCAATTTTTTAATGACAAATGATCTTCACTATATATTTGCTTTAATACCGTCTTCCATAATAGTAGGGATATTCACATTTAGTTTTGAAGACAAAAATGTTCAACCTCCGTATGAAATAAGTTGTTAAGTTTGGATTTTTAATAAAAAAGCATGGCAATGAAAGATATACAGTCCCCGCCATAAGTTTGGCAACGAGAGGTTCCCTTTTCGGATAGCTTCTCAAAGCTTATTTATGTTTGGTGATTTAAAAATACATCAACTTTGTCATAAATTTCCGAATTGTTGCCATTAAGGAACAAAATTAATATTCAAACATTCACATGCTTTGATATTCAGTGAAAACATCCGGTTCCCAAACTTATGAAGGGGAGTGTAAGACCAATATATCCTAAATAAGAAAAGTTGCACTCCCCAGTCAGGTAAATTCCATGTGTGAGATCCAACTATTCATAAAAATAAAACCCCATAAAATATTAAACAAGACACACAGTGATAAATATCGCACTTTGAAGAGCAAACTGGCCACCATGCAATTTACGGTTTGCGGTTTTCCTGCAATTTTGATGACAAGAATTTATTTGTAGTCTTGAACTTTGGGAAAATTTAGATAACATTGTTTGTGACCTAATTTGATGACCTTCGACCTTGAAAATTTCACTTTTTCAGACCTCAGTAGGTGTTTTGTAATTAAGCTGACCTAAATTTAAATCCAAAATATCAATTTAGAAAATCAAATTTTTGACCTTTTCAAGGTCACTGAAGGTCAACGAAAGGTCAAATCTGAAATCTAAGGTCAGATTTGAGCTTCTGAGAACTTGTAGATGTTTTTAAAAAAAAAATTTGGTCAATTTGGAGCAAGTTGAAAAATTCAAAATGGCCGCCAAATTGAAAAATTCAAAATGGCCACCATGTAATTCAGCCAGCATGCCCAAAACCTAATCAGATCTTGGCAATAGTCTGCTCTTGCATCTGTAAAAATTTCAAGTTGAACGGATAAGTGGTTTTCTGGAATTTTGATGACAAGATTTGTTGAAAAATTCAAAATGGCCGCCACGTAGTTTACCCAGCATGCCCTTAACCTAATCAGATCTTGGCACTAGTCTACTATTGCATGTGTAAAAACTTCAAGTTGAACAGGTTAGCGGTTTTCTTGGAATTTTGATGACAAGAATTGATTTGTAGTCTCAAACTTTGAGAAACTTGGATAACATCATTTGTGACCTAGTTTAATGACCTTGACCTTCAACCTTGAAAATTTAACTTTTTCAGACCTCAGTAGGTGTTTTGTAATTAAGCTGACCTAAATTTAAATCCAAAATATCAATTTAGAAAATCAACTTTTTGACCTTTTCAAGGTCACTGAAGGTGAATGAAAGGTCAAATCTAAAATCTAAGGTCAGATTCGAACTTCTGAGAACTTGTAGATGTTTTTTAAAAAAAAATTTGGTCAATTTGGAGCAAGTTGAAAAATTCAAAATGGCCGCCAAATTGAAAAATTCAAAATGGCCACCATGTAATTACCCAAATGCGAGTAGGTAGTTCCCAGTTTCACCACCAGGTGGCTGATTCGGGTCAATTAACATGGCAGGTATATAAGAAAGTTCCCTTAAACTTGAATATTATCAATTTAAGTGACTCAATTTTCATATAACCCTTATGTGTCTGATACTTATACTAATGAAAATATGTCCAGTAAAGCAAAATATTATCTGTCCACTCAAAGGAAAGATATTTCATTTTTTGTGATTTTATAGCATGGGGTCTATGGGGAATCTCCCCGAGCTAGAAGTCACATTTTCAAAGAAAATTAATTTTTCAAAGTTGATAAACACTTTTTAAAACCACATTTCTAGATGTAATTTTACATGTAGATTTCAAATATGATATTACTTTGACTGAATTTTGAATTTTTAATGACGTAAATCAAGATTATTTCTACTCGCATCTGGGTTATTCAGCCAGCATACCCAAAACCTAATCAGATCTTGGCAATAGTCTGCTCTTGCATCTGTAAAAATTTCAAGTTGAACGGATAAGTGGTTTTCCTGGAATTTTGATGACAAGATTTGTTGAAAAATTCAAAATGGCCGCCACGTAGTTTACCCAGCATGCCCTTAACCTAATCAGATCTTGGTACTAGTCTGCTCTTGCATCTGTAAAAATTTCAAGTTGAACAGGTAAGCAGTTATCCTGGAAATTTGATGACAAGATTTGGTTTATGTCCCGCCCGCCCGCACGCCCGCCCGCACGACTGCACGCCCGCCCGCCCGCCCAACAGCACAAGACGACAACAATATAGCACTTTTTCAAAGTGCGATAAAAAGTAACATACTTACATGAATTAATAATCTGCAAATAGTTTATGATCTGAAATATCCTAACTGAACAAGAAGGTTGGAAGTTAAACACATGCCCTCAAAATCCCAATCAATAATTTAAAAATGATTTTCAGAAGTTATTACATTGTACCACTTAGCACCATATCATTAGTCAACTAAGATATGTCAGGATTTGCATTGTTTAATATACAAAGATGATAATAGTTTTTATGATTGTGACTACCTTATCATAGATTTTTAGCAAACACTTATGAACAGCCATGAACGATATAACAATGTATATCTTTAAACATCTGATCCACAACTTGAAGACAATTGAAATTCTGATAACCAATGAAATGACTGGACCTGGAATTTTCAAGACAAATAACTGTAACTATCACAAGTCATTAATCTATACATTGAACCAGTCTAAATGAATATGTCTCTCCAGTGAACACCATATCTTCCCCTTTTCTCAGGTCAAAGTAATTTAAAGGTTAAAATAGTCAGTCCAGATACAAGCCCTTGTGACACCCAACCATAAACACCTCCTGAGAAGTGTGAGAAGGTGTTTAGTCTAGTAGTAGAGGGGGGGGGGGGGTCACAGAGTCTTGGAGCTAGACTAAGGTTAAAAGTGAGATCAAAGAGTGTAGTTTGTGAATTATTCAGTGTATATTAGACTAAGCTGTGCAGAATGGGCATGATCAGCCAATAAAAGGGTTTTATCAGAATTGTTATTGTTATATTTTATAAATGAATTAATAATAATAATCGGTTTCAACAATTTAGGCATTCAACGTTAATAAACCTCATCTAAGGAAGCCTATGGGTTCAAATAGGGAGAGTTAAGACTTAAAGCAAGTTCATTCAAATCCATCACACCACCACCCCCCCCCCATCTCCAATAACCAACAAAAACAGAACCATTCGATTTAGACCATTAGAAGAAGTCACAGTTAATGGAGTAAGTTACATCATCTTTTGTAAAATTCAAAACAATTCTTAAAAAAAATTCATTTGGCCTTGCTTATGCCACAATTGCGCCCCCTGATTGAAAAATTTGGCGATCGCACCCCCCTGACTGAAAACCCCCCAAATATTGGCAATTGCACCCCCCTTGACTGAAAGCTGGCTACAACCCTGATAACAAATAAACACAACAAGTTTTACTTCTGTGATACTGCACTCGATACTATAAAATCTATTTCTAAATGTGATAAGCAAACAATACATTTTTGTCAACTTAACACATTTGATACACTTATATACAATATCATACGATTTTTAATCTATACACATGTAAAATGTACAAAAAATAAATAAAATATCTACATGTATTTTCAATTGTAGAATTCTACAAATAATATCAATAAATATTCTAACAGTACATGTATTTGTAACACTGTTTGTAACATGATTACAATACTCTTATTCCCTTAATTGTAGATGAAACACTGTCTACAAAAATGTTTGAGAATGTAACAATATGTCACTACTTGTGGTGGTGACATAAAAAGTAGATGCTGAAATGAAAACCAATCCTTTATCTGATTTTTTCAATGATTGTGTTATTATGTGTTATTTCAAACATGACTAGAGTATTTCAATAAACAGTCAGAGGCATTATTCTTTTGCCAAAATTAAACATTTAACTTAGAACCTTATTAACACTTTCCTCAATATATCTAAATTCAAAAGATTTAACAAAATATAATAAAAATCTACACGTAGAATATTAAATAAGGTAAAAGGGTTTGATTTCCACCGAGGTGGGTTGTCTTTTTCACATCAGCATAGATCCTTTGTTTCAGATTAACCAAGAACATTTAGTGACTTGCGTAAAGTAACAGATTCACAATTTCAATTTAAAAAAATATTCCCCAAATTTTATCGATGCAATGATAGATACTAAGTACATGTATGCCTATTATATGTGTCAGAATCAGATCTTTAATGGATTATAATAATTCAAATTATCAATACTATCTAGTAAGTAAGTAAGAAAAATCAATCTGGTTATAGATACTGTAAAAATCGTAAAAATTATGTTCTAGAAAAAAATTCCTTCTTTGAAGAAATGAATATTGCCCATGATTATTAAACAATATAAAATACAATTAAATATATAATATTCTTTTTGGCACATTGAGATTGCTTGATGTCTATTTTGAAAGAAGCCCAAATATGCAAAAATCTTGATATTAGGGGTGGACCATAAGTTCTTTCCAGTCCTTAAAGTTTATAATATTTCTGTCTATTCAACCATGGTTCGAGAATTTTCAGACACAGAGATTTTTTTATTTTAAACTAAATCAATTTTTCCAAAATTCATGTCCAGAAAAAGTTAAGATCCTTGCATTGGTCCATCCCTTAATACCCCACCTGACATCTACATATTCTAAGCTCCTTCTAAATGCATAAGTTGGATATACATAGTGTCCACTTAGTCTTTACATGGATTTTCAATGATGTCAGAGCAGCGACTTCCATTAGGGACACCATAAAGATGTCCACTAGGATAGCATACACAAAGTCTATAGGTGGCAGCACCAGTTGATCCAATAGTCGAAGATGGTAGGCTCTTTACTTTAGTTAACGTCACACCCTCTTTTCCATCAAGAATTGTTTTACCACTAGTCTGAAATGCAGACAGGCGGATAAGTAAGAATAAGCAAGTAAGCAAGTGTCAGAGAAACATTTAATTGTTAAAAATTGACACCCAAAACTCATTTTTTTAATAATGTGGGGTTAACTGCGGAATTTTTTTCAAAGTGCAATATTCCCTAAAGAACCATAATCCCGCATGTCCACTATAATTACATGTAGTTTAACCTTCCTAGTATCTAAAAATTCATTTTAAATTGAACATAGGGAAACATTGACTTACTGAACTTCCAAATGTGATATTTGATGTTGGTGAGCTTGCCCTGAACAATATTGAGCGAGCTTCACCAAATATCCCTTCATTACCCTGAAGAATAACATTTTCTCCCTGAATCTTCAGATCCTGATCTATTGGACTGGCAACCTGTAATGAAGTAAATGCCATTTAAAAGTCTCTGATTGCCACTTATTATAGACTGATGTTGTGTAAGTGTAACATTTGTGAAGCTAGACTTTTATTTTATCACTGGATGATAATAGTAAAAATGAAATAAGTACAAGGTGGGCCAACAAATGTCCACATTTTTTATTTGGCAATGACTTTTTTAAATAGTGCGTGCTATATATGCAATGTTGATGTGGAAAAGCCAGTTGGCTCCATAGCTCAGTGGTAGAGCACTCATCCAGCAAGCAAGGGGTCGTGGGTTTGATACCCACAAGGGTGGACTGACTTTTTCACATCAGCCCTTAGCGCAGAATTTCATTCTGTGTTTTCATGAACATTAACAAAATGTCACAACCTGCCATTTGTTACAGACACAAACCCCTGACTGCCTTCCACAAAAAAGTCTGAGACTTTAACCACTTCTGGTGGTGACAATATCATATCAAAAGTTGTCATTGTACTTACTCTATCTGTTGTGACTTCATCCATGCTTATATGATTAATATCATCAGGATAAGTGACCCCATCCTTGCCAGCTTTAAAGATGGTCTTTCCTGTTTGAGGGTCTGTTACTTGAAAGGAGTTATCAACTTTGATTGTGGTAACACCATTCCCTACAGTTACTGAAATGTGAAAGAATGCGCTTAATGCACCATTTGCCGATTTAGCTTTGGTATGGAAGTAGAGATTTTGACAACATTGACTTAATATTTAATATTCAGCAAGAACAAGTCACAAAGTGCTATGTAAACCTATAAGTACTCATAGACCCTATTCCTACTAATTTATCATTAACATGTTGTCAATATGAGTTACCAGACACATTGCAATTCTTGTTTCTGTAACGATATAATAGTTATCATGAAGTCATAGCAGAAAACAATTAATTTATGTATTCTGCTCTTTTCAGAAAACTTATAGCAATTACTATCTGATAAACTAAATTTTCAACATATTATTTACACAGGCATATGGAGGCTGTGTTCATTCAGCCGTTCATAGTGCTGAAGAAAAGTTTCAAAACATAACACATGTTTTATGCATACAAACGTGAGTTATGGACTAAAAATCAATTTACAAGTATATACCTGATGATGAGGATTCCCCTTGTGAAGATAGTGTCACATTTTGTCCATTTATCCCTGATATATCTAAGGCTTCTTTATATAAACCAGCAACTCGGCTCTCCTCGAGAGGGACAACAGTGTCAAAATGAGATTCTCCAATAAATCGAAGCAACACGCCTGGCGGTGTAAACTCAAGGTACCGCATACCATTGCCATCTATCTTCAGTGACACAAACACGATAACTGTTACCTAAAATATGTAATCAGTATTCTTTTAAATGATAGGGATTTCCACGACTGGTAAATCTTATACATCCAGTAAAGCAATTCTCCAAAATTGTCAATGCAAATCAAATGAATACCCAATCCTCATAAACTTGAAGTAACCTCAATTTTTGTTTTACAAAGTTCAGATAACTTAATATGAAATGTTGAAATGAGAACATTTGTGATCGAATAAGTTCTGAAAACCTTTGTGGCTTTTTATTTGAAATTCATTAATACTGTATTTATCAAATTTAACATCACTATCCTGAGTCAAGCATTTTGTATCAATACAATATTATCTTCAAATCAAAGGGAAAAATATCAAAATACCAGAACAACGGCAACGCCAAAGCGTAGCGAATCCCATCGAACAGCCATGGAAGGCATTTTTACAAACAAAGTATATAGCAAAAATGGCAGGCATTTTTCAAAATGGCCGCCTTCTACCAAAAGTGTCATTAGACCATTTGCCATACTTATAGTATTCACAAACCAAATATGAACAAAATCGCTCCACTTCTTTTCGAGTTATAGTAAAATATGTTAAAATGGCGGCCATTTTTCAAAATGGCCGCCTTCTACCAAAAGTGTCATTAGACAGTGTGCCATGCTTACAGTATTCACATGCCGAATATGAACAAAATCGCTTCACTACTTTTCGAATTATTATAAAATACATTAAAATGGCGGCCATTTTTCAAAATGGCCACTTTCTACTAAAAGTGTCATAAGATAGTGTGTCATGCTTTTAGTATTCACATACCAAATATGAACAAAATCGCTCCACTTCTTTTCGAGTTATAGTAAAATACGTTAAAATGGCGGCCATTTTGAAAAATGGCCGCCTTCTACCAAAAGTGTCATTAGACAGTGTGCCATCTTTATAGTATTCACATACCAAATATGAACAAAATCGCTTCACTACTTTTCGAGTTATAGTTAAATACGTAAAATGGCGGCCATTTTTCAAAATGGCGGCCATTTTTTAAAATGGCCACTTTCTACCAAAAGTGTCTTTAGACAGTGTGCAATGTTTATAGTATTCACATACCAAATATGAACAAAATCGCTCCACTACTTTTCGAGTTACAGCAAAAATCGTAAAATAACGAGTAAAGGCCGCCATTTTTCACGATGGCTGCCATGTGCTTCTTTAATATCTACATTTCTAGCTTTATTAATGTCCTATATCATTTTTTTACATCCAAAACATATTGCTATTACAGTTTTACATATTGCACCTAAATTACTGTAAATTCGGCACTAAAATGGCCGCCATTTTGAAATGAGCGGCCATTTTGAAAATTGGCTATCGAGCAGAACTTTTACCTCCATAGGGTATATGTGTACAAAATATGAACAAAATCGGGCCAACGGTATTTGAGTTATTGCCCGGACGGACGGACGGACGGACGTACGTACGTACGGACGGACGGACAGACGGACGGACGGAGGCGTTCCCTATATCCCTCCGAACTTCGTTCGATGGGATAATAAAGGTACTTACAATAAAATTAGCAAGTACGACAATAGCCATTAAAACCATGAGTATGTAGATAACAAATCTCTTCCTGCCTCTGACTCCAGTTTTATGGAGATTCTCTTCATTGATATGTACATATCCAGCCCTAAAGTTACTGTTATGTTCCTTGTTAACACGTCGTTTGATCAGTGACTTCTCCCGCATTGAAAGATTGAGAGGGTCTTGTCTCTGAAAGAACAGAAATTATCTATAGAGCGCATGAAGGATTTGTGCATATTTTACTTCGATTTTCAATCATCAGAATATTATCTCATAATATAACTGACCCTATTACTGAAGAATACCATCATTGGGCAGAATCTGGAAAACAAGAAAGAAAGCCTACCTGTTTTAACATCTTAGCAGCTAGACTCAGATTGCATAACTGTCCAACCAAACCAACCAACTACGTCAAACACAGCTACTACCAAGCAGATGCAGAGACCTTTTTACCAGCTGATGCCATCGTGCATACCGAGGATTTCAGCAGATCTAAATCCGAGCAATCTCATCGCATCAACAACTTGCTGAATGATCTTGATGGCTCAGAGACTGTTATCTTCACAGACGGATCCGCTGAGGGCAACCCAGGACCAACTGGTGCTTCAGCCATTATTTACATCAGTGGCTTAAAGAGCAATCCGGTATGCCTGGAGGAACCAGTAGCCAGTCAGGGCAACAACTATACTGGAGAGGTCACTGCACTCAAGCTGGCTGTGGAATTCATTGTCAAAACAAGGACGTCAGATAAAGTTATCATACTATCTGACTGCCAACCAGCTATAACAACTGCCTTTCTGAACACTAAACTCAAAAATATGATGCCTGAAATTTTAAGCATAAGAAAAGCTTGCAAATCACTTTCCATGCTAAAGAAAAACGTAGAAATCTTCTGGGTACCTGGGCATCTAGGAATTGAGGGCAATGAGGTAGCTGATAAGATAGCCAAAAAAGCTGCTAAAACAGCCACAACCCTCCCACCCCCAAAAACAACAAAAACAATGGCTTACAAATCAATTAAAAATAAGTCTATTGATAAATGGCAAACTAGGTATAGCTACTCTGATAAAGTCAACTTGATTCAAAACCTTATCCCACAAGTAAAAGTACAATCACAATCAGTAAAGTTGGGTAAAAGATACAGTCAGACAAAAGTCAATCAAATTATATCTGGGCACACCCGTCTCAATGGCCACTACTACAAAATCAACCCTGATCTCCCCTCTCCTAACTGTGAACACTGTAATTCACCAGAAACTTTGCATCATTTCTTGTTTCAGTGCAGCAAATACAGTACACAGAGGGAGGTTATGCTAGCAGCTATAGACACTGTACTACTAGGAGCCAACCACAACCCAACCATAGACTTACAAACCATCACAGGTCTTAACAAGAACTTAGACCAGCAAATCAACATAAAAATAGTAGAACGACTACAACAGTTCATACTATCTACTAATAGAATTTAACTACGTAAAACAACACTGAGATAGTGACTCTTAAACAAAAGTTTTTTTAATATAACTGAGAAATTGACTCTTTTAGATGACGAAAACAAATGTAAAATGCGCACTCTCAAAAAGTAAATCAAAACAAGTATTAGTGAAAAGCACAAGTGAAAATATAGTACAAAGTGAAACCAATGTATCTAGTGACCAAAGGCAGCATTAAAGTGCCATCGTGTTAAGTACACTAACACGTAAATTGGATAAAGAAAAAATTCAATAAACTAATATGGTATGTGAGTAATCTGCATTGCTTTGCTGCTGCTGTCAGTGATTTACTGACACAATAGTACCAATTGTGGCACCAACATCTCGTTCATCATCTTTCGTGTTGCAAGACAGTGTCAGTGGCACTTCTGAAAAAAATCAGATCCTATTTTTTTCTAGGCCTAACCTAGGCATAAATCTACATATAACTGTGCAATCAAACCCACAGACACAAGGGTAAGACATAGTCTAGCTAATATATGAGGTTTAAAATATAAAATTTTGTCTAATGACATAGATATTAGGACAAATATCAATTTTTAAATAAAAATCCAAACCTCAAATGTCGCCATCTTTGTTTTGTGACCTTTAACCTCAGTTTTCGTTCAAGCGAGAGTTTTTATTGAAACTTCAAATCAAAGGATTGTTATATAAAAACACTTCAAAACCATATGTTTGGCATAAATAAATTATGCAAAATGTAAAAACATTTGATTTCACAAAAAGGAGAACTTTTTCACCAAAACAAAGATTGCGCATGCGCAGGATTTAAAGCGTCGAAAATGGCGGAGTCGCTACGAAGATTGGTCAACATTGGTTCTTTCACATCTCTGCAAGAGAAACTTGAGAGATGGCTAGATGATTACCATGTAAGTATAAATGAATATCTATTGCACCAGTTTGTAAACTTTGGTAGATTTTTATGTTGTAGAAATATGTGAAAAGCTATGTTGAATTTGTTGGAAATTTTTGTGCATTTCCGTGTTGCCAGGTGCTTGAGTTCCAATAGGGATTTATGACAGCTACTTTTTACATTGATTTCTAAACATATTTTGAACTATATTTTATTTTGGAAACACACAAGTATTATCTTAGGATATTCTCTGTATGATAAGCCGTGGTAAAATGTGTGTTTTGTTCAAATAAGATCATAATTTATCTATTTATTTAGCCAAGACTGTCTTCAAGTTCAAGCTTACAAAGTTTGGACAATCGCCAAGTGTAAACTAATTTTTGACAGTTTGTCAATCCTCAAACTTCTAACTCATCAAATTTATACAATGATATTAATTTTAATACACACTTTTCACCTTCCATGCCATTGTTGTTGAAGTACATATAGTTGTGCATCTTGACAATTAGTATCCTCGCCAGACCTCAAGTCAAACAGTCTTTTTAATATTTTGTTATCCACTTCATGCATTCTAACCAGTTGACATTCATCTTATTTCGATCTTGGTTTATATTCATAATACATGATTGCAGCTGGTCTCCATGCTAGTTGTTTAAAAAAGTCAATTAAATCTTCAGAAGATCACAATGAAAGGTCAACATCTTCAGAAATTTGAATCATAAACCAAGGTTGAGATAGCTCCATGGACAAAGGTAGGCTGAAATTGTGCATATGTTTAGGTGTACATGTTCGTTAATAATTGTTGCATACACGAACAGCCATTTAAATGATCTATTTAACGATCTACTTTGCAATTAACCCTGATTACAGGCAAATACTGTTCAATAAACAGTAGATAAACTGTATCATCATTTGAATTTACAATTAAGAATTTAAAGTCACTTTTCTAAGTATCATATTACAGGTAAAACACAATTGAAAATTTTTTATTTGGTATGAACTTTCTGTCCCCAAAATAGTGCAATAATCTAAAATGTCTATGTCTCAATCGCAAAATCCTCCCTATAATAAACTGGGAAAATTTGATGTCAAATATGAACCACCCCTGGAATTTTTTAAGAAGTGAACCCCCTTGGCAAAAACTGGCCTGTATTTCTTAGTACAGTAGTATAAACTTCATAGTTTTTACCTTTTTGTTTGGTTTTTGACGCTTTGATTATTATAAACTTAAAATAATAATTGGTTTCAGTCTTGCATCAAGCCCTTGTTTCAAGATTTTAGGTTTTCTTACTACAATGTTTGAGATTCCTTTTTTACTCAATGTTTAACCCTTCAACAAAATGTTCATTTGTATTTTGAAAGTTGCTTTAGAATGAAATCATTGTAAGAGCATTAACGGTTTATCCCGACAAATAAATAAATATTTGTTTAAGGTATTTCAATACAATTCACAAACACCAACATGAGTTGCTTGTGTAAGTCAATAATGTTCTCAAAGAAAATGGTAGCTACTATAATGTCCGCATATGTTGACTTTGCAGAAATTGACAGTTGTAACAATGTATTGTAATTTTAGAGGGTTCGGGAGTTTTTTTGGTTCATTATCAATTATATCCACTTGAAATTTGAGATTTAGGTTAAATGTGGTGCACATTTGCATATATTTCTATTTACATGTTTTAGACGAATTGCGAAGGAGAAGTTTCATGAGGTATTTACTTAGATACCTGATTTAAATCAAGATACATATACATGCATCACACATATTCATTCTTGCTTTATACAGAGGAAATGTGTTGTATTGGTTTTGTTCTTCATTGATCTACTATTGGCTCTTTGATTATCACCCTTTGTACAGGGTGACAAAAAAAAACTGGAACCCATAAATCTTCAAATTTCTCGGAAAGTATTATACCTACATTCTTCATTTCTTTAGGGTAGAAACTAGACTGAATGCATGGCAAAATGACACAATAATGAGTACTGTAGCTTAGATATTAATCATGCCATGGACGACAGAAGAAAAGACTTATATTGTGAGAAAGTATAACGAGACAAAATCCTATAAAGAGACACAAACTGCCTATATGAGAGATCACAGGGCAAGAAGAGCCCCTTGCAAGTCACAGATCTTTAGGCTTGTACAGAAGTTTGATTCAGAAGGAACTGTAAAACCAACAAAGAAGAAAAGTGATGGTAAACCAACCTTTTCGGGGGAGATAGAGGTCTGTCAGAACTCAAGACAACTCAACAGTCAACTCAGAACGTCACATCCCTAACGTTCAAAAGTTTTGGAGAGCGCTGGGTAGACGACGTGACTTGAGAAGGGACCAGCAATGGTTCCAACAAGATGGTGCCACACCCCACACCTCAAATGAGTCCATTCGATGGCTTCAGGCTCACTTTGGTGATCAATTAATCAGTCACCATACCCGCCACATCTGTCCCCCCCCACTCCCCTGATTTGAACCCCCCAGATTTTTATCTGTGGAGGTATCTCAAGGATAATGTGTATACAGATAGTCCACTGACCATTGATGACCTCAAACTCAACATTGGAAGACTAATTAGAGAGATAGACAGAGCTGAATGCAGTCGGGTCATTGACAATTTTGCGAAAAGAATCCAGCTCTGCATCCAACGTTGTGGTGCACATTTGGAGCACATTATCTAATCGTGCCTCATTTGGAGACTAATTGAGCTATAATGCTAAAACTTTTACATCTTGTCATACATTCAGTTGACTATACATGTACCAAATAACTAAGCTCAATATACATTATTGACGAAGTTATTAAGACTTAAGTGGGTTCCAGTTTTTTTTTGTCACCCTGTAAGTTACCAGAATTTATGAATAAGAAACATGTTCGTTTATTCTTCACATTTAGAATCCATCTATTCCATTCAATTAAACAATCATAAAGGAGTGAATCAATGGGAAACTGGAACACTTTGGTTCCATTGATCACTTACTCCAGAATTTCATAATCTCCATGCTAAGTAATTGTTGAAGTGTGTATTGTTCAGACTCCCATGGTTAATGTTAGAACACTAGCTATAGTGACACTTAATGCTAGGTATTGTAACACTTCTGGCATTTATTATTGCATTTCCATTTTTTTTATTGTACCAGCATATAATTTATTTAATATTATGAACATTAATCAATTACAATATGTTTTATTGATATTTGATGTTCAGTTTGATATTCTCAATTTTTAGCTCATTGTTCTTGTTATCCTATATGAAATGTCATTCAAAAGGCTTCATGATAAGTTATGGTACTTTACATTTATGCTGTTTTAGATTGTTATGTTTCATATTTGGGCCATAATGACAATATCCAATCCTTTCATTGGGTTTTTCCATCAAGCTTGGGACCATTTCATAAAAAGCAAAGGTTTATGAATCTTAACCCGTTCTCTTTGTAATGAAGGAGAAAAGTGTTTGAGATAAACCCAGAATTGGATTCTATGCTTTTTGATTTCAACAGTTTTTTATTTTGAGGAATGGAGCTCTGGCTTTTCTAGCTCATCATTGCATACATACATGTAGTTCACTAACTTCTGTAATAAGAGTAACTGGGTCGCTGGACCTATTGAAAAATTGGCCTGCTATATTGACATATTTTGACCAAAATGGTTAAACTAGGATTTTGCACAAAAATACTCATAAGGAGGTCACTATAATTTGTGAAATTATGCCCTTTTAATGATTGTATCACCCATTCACTTCAATGTTGATCACTAAACCATATCTTAAACATCCATTTACTGTTTGATTCATTGCACATCCCTAATTATTGTTTTCAGGTTCTGACATGTGACCAGAATGTAGCTAGAGGATGTGAGATCATCGAACTGAACTCAAGGCTCCAAGGTCAGCTCTTCAAACTCCTCAGCATCACAGCATCTGAAGGTAAGTAATTACCCTGGATACCCAGTAACACTGCCCACTGACTCTAACTGTCTGTCCTCTGACTATAATTGTTACTGTCTCCCCTCTGACTACTTCTTTTGATCAAAAATCTATTTACTATTTAGGCTAGATTAGATTAGGATGGTCACTAATGTAACTTGAACGAACAAACTTCATTTGCTTTTGCAGTTTTTGAATCATTATTATCGTATTATCTGAAAAATGAAGCCCTCTGATTGGTCAGTTCTTGTGCTGTACCAATCTGTATTGCTACTGAGATTGTTCTCATTGATCACCTCCGTCGCAATACAGAAAATATTGGTACGGAGGGGACAATCTCAGTAGCAATACAGAGGATCACACGATAAACACGTTATTGAATGATTTGAAGTGCAATACAGGATATATTCTGTCTCGATATTCTGTATTGGCACTCGATTTCCTCTCGTTCCAATACGGAATTTCTCGAGCAGAATATATCCTGTATTGCACTTCAAATCATTCAATAACTTATAGTCTTGTGCACTCTTTCAAAACAATTACAGGCTTATAATGTTGAAATTAAAGGTATTCTTATTAAAGAGGTTCTGATAAAAGAAGGAATATATAATATCCATCAAAGCATAAAGAAGTTTAGATGTTTTGTGAAATGAGTATGAAGTAACTCCTTTATATAGAAACCCACAGGGTTAAGTTTAATAGAAAATCATGTTTTAATCAAAATCTGACAGTTTGCTAATTGGAACAGTATTAAATAACTTTCCAACAGTTTTTGACTCAGTAATTAATATTAAACCTCTGTTATTCTTGCTCTCTATAAAGCGATAAAACAAGTAAGTTAGATTACCAGCTATAAGCCTAGCTATAGTATTTAATAATCAATCGATATGTAATATCACAGCTTGTTATAAGTTATGATCTATACCTTGATTGCGTGATTGTACACTAAACTGGTTCGGCTTATTGTAAACTTGGAAAAGCTCTGTAGTTGAATTACTAGTAGATCACCTTTGCAAGTGAAACACTATGTAATTTGGTGACTAGTTGAATAAATGTAAATCAAATCTCTTAAAGTGGAACACTTTATATTGGAACCAAAGCATTTCTCTTACATATGTTTTACTATTTATTGTAAATTTGATTAATTCTATCAATTTTTAACCAACTCAGGTTGCACAAATGTCGTGGAGTTAGAAATGTAAGATAGAATATTATATATAAATAATATACTGTTGTTCCATTGGGTTTAGACCCACAAAATATCTCACAAAAATTGAAAAAAAAAACGGAAAATATAATCTAGTGATCCCAGCAAGTAGGCGCAGCACCTATCTGAGATTTTAAAACAGGCTTGCACCCACCCATCATGAAAAATGGGCATTACTTGGCCAATTTTAGTGTGAATTGTAAAAAAATGAGAATTTTGTACCCACTTGAGTAAAAATCCTGGGGAGGTCACTGTAATCTATAGTTATTAGATAACTATAATTGTGCTCAGTAATTCTTAATATTTATTAAGTACAGCTATTTTCTGACAAGAAATATCTTAATTTCTTGAAGAAAGCCAGTATATTATAGAGCTTATCTTAATCAAATAGTTATTATCTTTAATCTCAAATCAATTGTCTTGTTTAGTAAATGTATTATATCTTTATATGGTATTTCTGATACCTGTTTATCATTATTACAGAAACTGTGTTGAATATATTTTTCTTTTTTAATAACCTGTAGAGATCTGTATAATTTAACAGTTATGATAAAAGATAAAATCTCCCCACCAATTATTAATGAAACAGATACTCTGGAACACCATCTTTATAGCAATAATAAGATATTAATACAAGAAATGCTATTTATTTCGTCATTTAGGTGGTTTATATGGAGGGGCCAGTACAATCAAAGCACGTCTTCTCCCGCTGCTTGGTGCCAACTTCTTCACAGGGACTGCCACTGCAGACACTACGCTTTCACTGCTCTCGGAGAATGCGGCTAAAGATCGTGAATTAAATGACCTTGAGGATACTTACGAGCGATCACTTGTAACACTGGAAGATGATCTGAAAGCTACTCAGTTGGAAAACGATGATCTCAAAAATGAGTAAGTATCTGATCTACATTTGTAATTTTATTTCTGATTACTCTTCACAGTTTCTATACAGGTAAGATATATGATCAAATTGAAAATGATTTAGATAAAATATTTTATAGCGTGTGTCAATATGCTTGGGTCACCATCTAAACAAGCGATAAAATGTTCATGTAAAAGATGTCAATGGACTCAATTTTGTAACCAAGATCTAAAATTTTGTGAGTCAAGATTTTATAGGTGAGGTTTTAGCCTCTTACTCCTTTGGATTCATCACCACAGTTGAGTTAAAAAATGCTTGAAAATACATTTTTCTGTACGATTTTGGTGAGGCAAAATTGCCTCATCTGCCTCATGCTTGATCACACCCATGTAACTATGTTTTGTTTTATTACAGACTTGCAGACACCCAAGATGAACTGGACAAGAGTCAGAGAATGTCAACAAGTGAAAAGATGTTCACTGAACAGGAAATAAGAGATCTCAGAGCAAAGTAAGAGAATATCAGAGTTTAAAATAGGAAAATGAAATTGCATTGACTAGTGATTAGTCCCACATTGTTCAATATACCATACCTGTGGTTAGTTAAAAATGTCAATAAAATCTAATTTAATATGGATAAACTCTTCCTCTTCTATTCTCTCAACTTGCCATTAAAGTTGTTTGAATTTCAAAGTGTTCAGTTTACATGGGCAGGTATTTACACAATAATTCCAAAAATATACAATATTTTCAGAAAGAACAACTGAAAACATTTTCACATACTTGTTTCCCCAGCTTTGATGTACATTGTTGTTTGCAATTCCAATTTCTATTCACAATCAGGGGTGAGCCAGAAATTGTCAGGGGGGGGGCGTGATTTTTGGCTTTGCATCACTGCGACAAATCGCAACCCCCATGGCTATGCCCATTGAATTTATTACAGTTTTCAGTACTACTACTCTAGCTTTGTTACTCAGATTTAAGATTACGCCATGTTTTACTACGTACATGTATATTAGAGCATATAGAAGTCCTCTGACATTTAAAGCTTGCAGGAACACCATCTTGGAGTTGGAAACATCCTGATTGTGGATTTTTCTTATTCTAGATTAAAGTTAAATATTCTACTTCTTTAGAGTAACCAGACTTGAAACAGAGAACTCCATGCTACGTCGCGGTGTACCAGGTTTGCCGTACCTTCCAGAATATGACCATTTAAGGAAATATTTCCATACTCATGGAGTAGATGGGCGCTGGGATCAGTTGCCTAGTTCTGTATGGCATGAATTAATGAGACTGAAGGATCTTAAAGACCCAGAGGCTATTGCCAAGGGGTAAGGTGACACAATGGAAGAGCCTGGATTTCAGCATTGCCCCACGAGTTGTTTGTCCATATAGTTTCATTGTTTGTCTGTTTCTCTGTAGGTTGATTTGTGAAGAGGTGAAGGTTACTTGCTGCACACTGATTTGAAATTTGATATTTCAAAAATGTTTCTATTATATTTATTTTCATGAAGTATGGCAGTGTTTCCTTTGATGTGCAAAGAGAGCATTTTGCACTTATCATTTTGATTATTTTGATTATTATTATTTTATATATAACTAACCTTTTTTGATTTTTTGATAATATGTTTGAAATATGATGCATTCTATGCTGGTGACATATTGTTATATAGGGCGTCAAATAAGTCTGTTCTCCCCCTTAACTTTTTAATTTTTAAGGTTATCTTACTTTCCCATATATCATTTTAAAGCTTATGGAAAATGCTGATCACCCTCAAAAAATCAATAATGAACTCCTCCTAATAAAATTGCTACAATGTTTCTTGAAAGGTTGTAGTTGACCTTTGATTACGTCAAAACAAGTAAAATTACCAGTATACATTATGGTATGGTGAATGAACGGTGCAAAGTTGATATTGCAGCGACAATGCCAACATTGGTTGATTTAGATATTTGTCAGTATGGTAAAAGAGTAAAATGTGTTACATTCAGGAAAGCATTTGAAACAGGGGCACCTTTCATCACAAAAAAGGAGGTAACTACCAAAATTAGACGTTCAGAATCGTATCCTCGTAGAATTTAGGCTGTCCCAGCTGCTGGGGGAAAACATACGGACCATTAAAATAAAGTGAAATATGAACATCACTAGAAATTCTCTAAAAAATTTGAAATTCAATCAATCAATCTGAAATTTGGTGTTGGATCAGGGAATTAAATTCCCTTTAAGATGGTATATTACAATCCTATGTTCTCTCTTAATTAGAAAAGTTAAGGGGGGAGAACAGACTTATTTGACACCCTGTAGTTTCCACCTTTTTGTGGACAGTGTTTGGTATTTGACAGTTGGTGTTCGGTGGTTGGCATCTGTAACAAATGACAGGTGGTGACATTTTGCATGTTAATGCCTTGTTTAATACTATGTTTGAGATATGATGCAATTTTTTAAGTATGTTACAGTATTGTAGCTTTGTTATTGAGGCTTAAGGTTGTATTTAACTTTTGAAGTATACACACGAATTGATGGTTCCTGGTACCTCAATACGCAGTTGCAGGCATCCTTAGCATGGATTCTTATTCAAGATTAAAATTTATTATTCTACTACTTTAGAGTAACCAGGCTTGAAACTGAGAATTCCATGCTACGTCGCGGTCTACCAGGTTTGCCGTTCCTTCCAGAATATGACCATTTAAGGAAATATTTCCATTCGTACGGAGTAGACGGGCGCTGGAATCAATTACCTAATTCTGTATGGAGGGAATTAATGAGACTGAAGGATCTTAAAGATCCAGATGCTATTGCCAAGGGGTAAGATTACACAATGGAAGAGCCTGGATTTCAGCATTACCCTACGAGTTGTTTGTCCATGTACTTTAATTGGTTGTTTGTTTCTCTGTAGGTTGATTTGTAGAGATGGTTGCTTGCTGCACATTGATTTGTAATGGAAGATTTCAACAATGTTTCGAATATATTTATGTTTTATGTATAACTACGTCTTTTTAGTTTTTGAATAATATGTTTGAAATATGTTACAGTGTGGGTATACTGTATTTTGGTTTTTATGATAGCACAGAATGATTCGATCTAGAAAAATTCAAGATTTTAGAACAGATTTTATTTCTCTAAAACAGGCACAAAACATGCACAAAAAAAATATGTATGTTTAGCACTAATTTGGCACCAGTTTTTCAAACTTGTGGTCTGTGTTATTTCAGGAAAAACAGATTACTATATTACAAAAAAATGGCCTAAAAACCAACCTCCTTGGCTATTAACGTTTTGAAAATTGAATAAATAGAAATCATGGGAAAAGTGTGATATACCAGGCCCGTAAGACACTTTTCTCCAAGGGGGGTGCGGTTTTTAGCTTACTAAAGAGAATATAAAATTGTCATTTTTTTGCCGCGTAAATCAAATCGCGTAAGACAGAGGGGGGGGTCAGTTACTCCCTATATTGATTTGGAATTAACAAATGCAACTTCAAAATGTTCCAATTGTTTTGTGGGGGGTGTGAAGAGTGGTCCACTCCCCCTAGAAAATTTTACAGTTTTGAGATGCTATTTGGTGCTTTCTGGGCACCTTCAAAGTGTAAGTTTCTAAGTAGTACGCCACCACCACGGGAATAAGAGTTGAGTGAATAAAAAACCAAGCATTCAGGGGGGTCTGGGGTTCTCCCCCAGGAAAATTTTGAAATTTGGTTGTATTTGGAGCGAATTTGCAACCATCTGGTACGCCTGTGCGTTATGAGTCAATAAGAAAAATGTGAATTTTTTTCAAATTCTTTTGGGGGTGTCAAAGAGGATGAGAGGGTGAAGTTGGGTGGGGTGCCAGTAGGGGAGCAAGGGGTTGTCCCCCAGAAACATTGACCATATCAAGGTGCTATTTGATGATGTCTGGGCACTTAAAAAATGTCTGAGACAATACATGAAATTCAGAATATTTTCTTTTGTTTTGTGGGGGATGTGAGGGGTGACTAACTCTCCTAGAAAATTTTACAATTTAAAAATGATATTTGGTGCTTCTGGGCACTTTTAAAGTGTATTAGTCAATAAAAACATTGAAAAACAATCACAATTTTTTTCAAATTTTGGGGGTGTCAAAGGGGGAGGGGTAGACAGAGGGGGAGGTGGGGCTGGGGTCCCAGAGGGGGAGCAAGTGTTTGTCCCCCATATCAAAATTTACAATATCAAGGTGCTATTCGATGAAGTTTGGGCACTTTTAAAGTGTCTGTGCCTAAAAGTGCCTATTTCCCAAGAACATTTTACAATTTTAAGGTGCTATTTGGTGCTTTCTGGGCACTTTCAAAGGGTATGAGTCAATTTTTTTCGGGGGGGGGATGGTGTTAAGGGAGGGGGGCTGCCAGAGGGGGAGGTGGAGTGGGGATGCCAGAGGGCGAGTAAGTGTTAGTCTTCCAGAATCATTAACTTTATCAAGGAGCTATTTGATGATGCATGTCTGGGCAATTTAAAAATGTCTGAGACAATACATAAAACAAATTCAGAACTTTTCCATTGTTTTGTTTGGGGTGTGAGGGGTGGCCCACTTCCCTAGAAATTTTACAATTTTACGACGCTATTTGGTGCTTTCTGGGCAATTTCAAAGTGTATGAGTCTATGAGAATTTAAGAAAATCACAATTTTTTTTTTTTTGGGGGGGGGGGGGGTTGCCAGAGGGGGGGGGTATGCAAGTGCAAGATGCAAGAGGGGGAGTAAGTCCCCCAGAAAAACTTACTATATCAAGGAGCTATTTGATGATATCTGGGCACTTTAAAAGTGTCTGAGACAAAACTCTAAAATAAATTTAGAACTTTTCCATTGTTTTGTGGGTGGTGTGAGGGGTGGCCAATACCCCTAGAAAATTTTACAATTTTAAGATGCTATTTGGTGCTTTCTTGGGACTTTCAAAATGTATGAGTCAATGAAAAAGAAAAAAAAAAAATATTTAAAAAAAAAAAATTTTCAAATTTTTTTTCAAATTTATTTTGGGGGGTGACAAAGGGGGGTGCGGTCGCACCCATCGCACCCCCCCCCCCCCCATCTGACGGCCCTGTATACAATTTTTATATAATCTATCTTATTCTGTTTAGTACATATATTCTGTTTAATACGTCAAAAATAATTGCTGGCCAACTCCATTTTATGATACAACTCTCTAAGATCACTCACCATATGGTCTTTTCAGGTTTTTTGCTTCTTGTTGAAAGACTTATTAGATGTGATTGTACCCATTTTCTCATGATTATAAATCAAAATGTTAGAAAATCAACTTTTACAGTGAACTCAGCTTTTACTAGTGGGGTGTACAATTTAAGAGCTTTTATAGCTCACACGGAACAATAATTCTACATAAAGTATTGATTTTAGCAACATCTTACTATTTTCAATGATAGGGTTACAGCGTTGGAGGCAGAAAATGCTCTTTTACTTCGTGGCGCCCCTTTTTATGGGACACTCAACTACCCACAATATGATCGACAAATGCGCAACCTGAGAGAAGAAATTGCAATTCTGACTGGGAAGCGCAACTCCTTGGCAGCGATCAGAGATACTGCCTCGACCACAGGTGGATCTGTAAATGGGTAAGATAGGACAGGAATGGACAATATGGAGCTTATGGATACCCTAATATATTGTGTGTGTTTTGAATTATAGGCGTTTTTATTAACCCAAATGTATCCTTTTATTTTTCTCAGAAATGTTACTCAAAACAAAAAACTATATTAGGTAATATACATCGCAATGCGTGGCTATTTGGTCTCAAACATTCCCATGCAAGCAGTTACAGATAAGGCCAATTACAGTAGAGGTCTGGTAATTCAGAATTGGTTACACATGAAATAAATGGTGACACTCACACTCAGATCCTTATAGGACAAGTGTATCATGGTTTTCTAAGAAAAATATGATATTGATTTATTGATATTTCTGGTTTTATTTTGAGTAACATTATCTGTTTGTGTGTTTGCGTTTTAGGAATTAACAGAAGATTTTATCCAAACTAATTTTATTTTTAATATTTTATTGCCCCATCCCCTCACAGAGTGTACCCAATACTCCCTCTATCAAACCCTTTAGAGCACTTAGATGTGTTTTACATGTGTGGACTATTTTCTTTGCTCAGGTTTAATGATTCCCAAAATGAAGTGATGCGGCTCCGTCTGCAACTGAGTGAAAGTGATGCTACAATACGTAGATTAAGGGATGACGTTATTATATCAACAGGACGGGTACCTTATATTACCACAAGGTAGTCACATACTTGAATTCTTTGTTTGAATATTTTTATTTCATATTGCTCCCATTTATTTTTGCTAGAAGTTGTTTTGGTTATTAATACACAAGATATTGATTCACTAACTTTATATCTGCATCGCAATTCACATTTTATTTGTATTATCTGCACCAACCCAATATTTTGTATTATTCATGCAAGTTTCAATTCCAAATGATGGCTAAAGCAAAGGAGTATATTTTCGAGGTTTAAAATAAAAATATAATTTTTCATTAAAAATGGAGGGTATACTTTGTTTAATGATGAAGTCTATCATGTTGTCTCTTGAGGTCGACAATAAACGTAAACTTGTTTCTGAACTTTTTTGAGATTTGAATATTAAAAACTGATGCAATGTGCTCTGATCAATATAAAAAGTGTTTAACATATATAACCCGACTTCCGCCACCAATCAATTGCCACTGGCAATGCTTTCAAGTTTTCTTTCTTAACGAAACTCTTTTTCAATCCTAAATATTTTTCTTACGAATAATGCAGCTAATGCTTTTCACGAAACTTGGGCAATTATTAAGAATTATTTTGTACACTACAATGAAATAAAATGGAAATCTGAAAAGATGAAAGCATAGATGTAACCCTATTAAATGTCTTTATTCTAGTGATGTAAACGACTCCCTGGCAAGTTATCGCTACCTGCCGAGAGTAAGCTCTCCGCTACACTCTGACGACACCACCCAGAGGGTGCGACAACAGAGCCTCATTTCCAGGTTCAATGACATGTTCTCTCAAGATCGTCTTGATGCTATGGATATCTTGCGGCGCTATTCGGACGATCATGAAAATAATCAGCGAATTGTCTTCGTTGCCATGCAGGTAATATCATTTTTTCTTCGCGGTTTAAAAAGCTAATGGCTATAATTCTCAGCTATCTTATTACAATTATCAGGAAGAGAATTACGGCTATTAGAACATGAATCAGTATATAAAACAATATTCCCAAAAGTACAGTGTATGAAGATAGGTCTGCAAAATTAAAACTGCTTGATATTAATGCCGTTGACTTGTATTTGTCATACCAAGCGTCATACTTTCATTCTTCCATGGAAAGGCATATTTATTTTCGTGGTTTGTCTTGAATTTTAGGAAGCCTTTTCAGTAGCTAAGCTAGCATTCCGCCAGTTTAAGATCAAGGTTCGCTCCCAGCTGGCTGGTACCCATCTAGGCCCTGATACACTGGAGGAAGCTGTTCAGGATTACATAAACAGGAATACGGACCTCTATGACCTACCTGCATTGGTATCTGTAAGTCAGACACAATCAATTTACTAATTATACCAAACCTGTTCAGCAATCTGAATTTGTTAATTTGAAACATAGGATCAAATCCTATGGTAAGGGCTGATGTGAAAAAGTCACTCCACCTTGGTGGGAATTGAACCCAGAACCTCCTATTTTGGGGGGCCTTATGCCTTAAACATAAAATACACAAAATATTCATGTTATGTTAAATAGGGAATCTGTAATTGTTGTATTTTTAAAACTTGAGCTTTAAAAACATGTAGCTATAATATTTTTGTGTCTCTAATGTTGTGATATATCACAAGATCCCTCCAAAATAGACTAATTGAACGATTGTTCGTTTTAGGATGTGATACGTGCATTGAACCGCAACCCTAAGCTCTACCTGCAACCCACAGCTTCCTACACAGTAATCCAGACATTTATTCGTGAAGCTTGCAAACTTGCTTGGCAGATGTCAGCACTGGCTCATCCTCTAGATATCGCCATAGCAACCGATGCAGAGCTCTTTGATGAATTCAAGTATGTAGCAACATTCATTAGTGTTTAGATTAACTTTTGTTTTAGAAATTATGTTTATTGAATCATGCATAGCTAGTTATGATTTAAGATATTTGACCTTGGAACTCAGCAAATTCATTTGATAGTGATTTTGATTGGAATTACAATTGGAAATTCTCTTATCTCCAGGCAATGCATTGAATGTGATATATACTTGAACATGTACATTAAGAACTTTCAGTCTGTTTTATTACTTATACAAAAGGCCACTTGTACTTGATGATAGTTGATTGATATTTAGTAATTAATGAGACTGAAGTGAATATATGGTTAAATATGAGAATATCTGTTTTTGTACATCCAAAAATTAATGGCATTGGTTAAGGGCTTGTATATTTTCTTATTCTTAGGTATCGTAGAAGTTATGACTCAGAGTACACAGCCCCTCTTGTGAACCACCACATATGGCCTTGCCTACAACAGAGCACTAAGGTCCTTATGAAGGGAGAGGCCAACACAAGGCGAGGTGCATCTTTGGTAAGTTGTGGATGCCACTTAGAGACTTTGTGGTTCATTTCTGTACTGTAACTTTCTAACTTTTGATTTCTTTGTTAACATTGTTAACTTTTACAATTTTATACCAATGTTAAAACTGTTCCTAAAATGGTCCCTAGGGTAAGAGCAGTTTGATTTGTATGTCCTAATTTAAATTTCAATGTATGAAAATTATATTTTTTCAGGGGTCCCCAAGACGCAGCCGTAGCCCTACTCGCTCAATGAGTCCAGTACGATCATACAGCCCAACACGCTCAGTGAGCCCCAGCAGGAGGTCTCCTAGCCCAAGAAGAACACTGAGTAGTCTGGGAGATTCCTTTAGTGGCAGGTCAAGCCCATCTGGTTAGTACAGTACTGTACGAGTATATATGTATACATGTACACTATTTTTTACACTTACTACATGCACTTTGTCAGTTTCATGCTTTTCTCAATAAACTGTGTCTTTGACTTTATTGGATTTGCTTGCTTATTATTTTGTTCTAATATAACATGTGGCGTGTCATTTGTGAGCATTTTTACAAAATTTCATCATCATCTCAATTACTGTTGAGTTAATCAAGTATGTATATTTCAAACATTGTATTTATTTTAACATAGACATTGTCTTAATGAGAAAAGTATGATTTATGACTACATGCATTTTATTTTTGTTGATAAGAATTGAAACTATTTGGATTTGTTGATAAATATCAGAATATTATTTTATGATTTTATTTTTTTTGAATTATTGTTTGAATTGATTTGATAAATAACATGACATTTTCGACTCAAGCTTAAACTGTTTTTATGCACATTTCACAATAAGCCAATCTGGCTTTTAAAGCTGCATGTAAGTTCAAAATTTCCTAGCATTTTCAAATAATAAAGGTGTGAACTTCATATCTGTCCATCCTACTCCCTCATCACTTCCCACAAGACAAACCATTAATTGTTATACAATTAGAGTTTAAAGGGTGTGTCTCATTAAAAGATTTTGGATATCTCATCTAAGACCTTTTATGAATCATGTTATATTTGATCTTTCACTCTTCAAGGTAACCTGAAAATAAATTGAAATAATATGAAACGTATACTCCAAGTCGTCAATTTCTTAATGGACACCCTGTACCTTAAATACATTTCTGACATCACTGTATTTGGCTTGTAGTAAGGAGCCCTCGGAGTCCACGGCCACTTTCTCGATCAAACAGTTTCAGTAGCGATCGACCAAATACAGCATCAACGACTCTTTCTCATTACATGTGACTTGGTACGTCGCAAACTTAATGTAGTTTTGTCTAGCTTTGCTTATATTAGTATCAGGGGCCACATAGAAGAGGATTTGCTGTCCCATTATGCATTGTCATGGCAAGCAGGGACATCACCTCCTCTGTGACCCAGCTAAGAATTGTGGGTAGATTATGTAGCTTAGCTTGAAAATGTGATGTTAAATCTTACATGAAATAGCAATGCAAATAGATTTTTATCAAAGTTGTCAGTCATTCTGAATAAAAAGTACCCTTGCATGTCCTAATTCCCTCAAATTGATTAACTCTAATATATGTAATAATGCATGCCATATTTTTCTATACATTTAATACTATTGGGGTATATTATTATATTTCCTGCATAGACGCCTTTATATTAGCTTCAAGTGATTAGTTTAGTAGGTTACCTTTACCTGAATTTTGAATGTTCTTAAAACCTTAGTTCAAATTGCACTGGTTTCCTCTTTACTTTCAAAAATTGTCAAAAATATGTCACATATCTTTGGAATTCAAAATAAAGCAGGTAACTTCATAAATTGAAATTCTGGTTTGCAAAGATTTGGAATTTTTGTTTCGAAAGTCAAGTCCATTGTTATTTTCCCCAACAATGAAATCTCTTTCTCTTTCATTGTTGCAAAATCTGCGGCTGTGTTGAATTTTCTTGCAAAAATTGTATGATCACTTCCACAGGCATTTTATCTATTTTACAGTTGTGATTTTACTTTGCAGTAGTGTATCTAGTGCTACAGTCCTAGTGTTTATATGTTTTGTACTGCATCTTTATCTAAGTTTGTACATTTCTGCAGATTTGCATATACCAAGTCCCATGTAAAATAATTCAATGAAATATTTCATCCGTTAAACACATTAAATGCGTTGAACACATAAGTGTTGAAAGGTTCCATGTAGATATATCAATAAAAATACTATGTGTGATGTAACAAGTTGACTGCTTTTCTGAATTTTGTGTTTTAATGATTTCAGTTCAATTTTAGTGCATTTTGTTTGTTAGCCCACCCTCTAACAGTTTAATAGCCTAGTCTGTTTATGAAAACTCTAAAACATATTTAACATTGAAAATGTGTATGTTTTGATCTTAGAAATACTGTAGTCACGAATCATCAATTGTGAAACTAAAACATGAATTTTGGGCTGAGAATAGTACTGCTGCATTTACAGTTAAAGGTACACACTTAGTCTGGCCTCCTACACTTCCACTAACAAGTTCACCAGTTCCAACTGTGAACTACGTTCTTTCCATCCGAACCATGGTTCTCACAATGCGAATGCAAACCTCTTTTTCCTCTCTCCCGAACATATTTCTCTTCTTGCGAATAGAGTTCCAACATCGTGAACCACATGTTTTGTGGTTAGCTATTCGCATTGTGAGAACTGTGGTTCGGGTTTAAGGAACGTAGTCACGGGTCGGAACTGATGATCGTGTTTGTGGAAGTCTTGGAGGCCTGTTCAATGACTTCATGTTTACAGGTTTAATACTGTACTGATTTATCTCCAATACTTGTACATACCAGTATTCATGTTTGTGATCAGTTCCAGTTTAGAGGTACTCCCCCTCCATAAGATTGGCAACCAGAAGTTCCATAAAACATAAAGAGGTTGCCAAACTTTTGGGTTGGTGTGTATGTTAATTGCTCATAGGTCTACAGTAAAACCTTGAGTGTGAACACCTCTTACCTTACATCTCATGTGAAATTCAACAATGTTATTTGCAAGGCGCTATTCTTGCCTTATTTGGAATCTTTTATTTACTTTCAATTTTTATGGTTGATTGATGCAAATCTGTTTGTATAGAGGGTATGTATTATATATCAAATGAAAGCTTGTATAAAGATTTCAAAGAAGAATCAGTGATAGTTAGCAATTTTTGACTGCAGATGATAAAAGAGGTAAATAAAAGAGGTGTCCACTGTTCAAGTTTCACTGTATTTATGTAATTTAGAATTGATTGAAACAAATGCATACATGATATACATGATTTTGAAATCATATATGTATAAATGTATAATAAATATTTTATTTCCAGTTCACGCTGCATCATCCGTGAAATCTTAAAGTTGGGAAGATCAGAAAATTGGAATAGTCTTGAAGCTTTTCACAACCGTTAACTTGCACTAATACTACATGTTACACTTGCAGTGTCTGTCATTACACTTGCGGTGTTTGTCATTACACTTGCAGTGTCTGTTGTTACACTTGCAGTGTCTGTTGTAACACTTGCAGTGTCTGTTGTAACACTTGCAGTGTCTGTTGTAACACTTGCAGTGTCTGTTGTAACACTTGCAGTCTCTGTCTTGTCGTGTCCAGTGTGAAGTGAATTCGACAATATGCAAATTTGCCTCAATGTTGACTTGCATTTCAATTGTGTTTTTCATGCACAGTAAAACCTGTGTGAGTGGAATGCCTCTGAAAAGTGTTCCACTTTGGAGGTGTTCCATTAACAAAAGTGTCCACTTTACAGGTTTTATCGTATGTTGTGTTAGCACTTTATATCTAACAAGTGTACACTTTCTGTCTTTCCCAGGTATGCGCTCATTGAGCCGAAGTTCTCTCCGATCCAGTTCTCCAAGTCGTCTCTACTAGCTGGGATAATACTCAAATTAACCTCAGATTTGACCTTGAACCTTGAATGACCTTGAACTTTGACCCTGTGTTATACATTTGCTGTGTTAATGGTGTCAAGCACTTGTGTGGAATTCAGTATTAAATGACATTAAACAATTATAATTTGGAGTAATCAAAATTAGACGGGAATTTGATTTAAAGACATTTGATGCTGGAAAGATAAAGGCAGAATATGATGACTAGCGGAATAAGATGATAAAAATGAAGACATTAGATGTGGGCATAAAGGTGAAATATGATGGATGACAAGTGGAATATGATGATGAATCAAAACTAGACACTTTTAATATAGGTGCTTGTAGCTAATTCTAGATTAGTTATAAAGCTTGATAGGGTAACTGACAGAACATGTGAAAGGCTATAATTTATCGACATGTGATTGTTAAATTACACATATTGTTATTACATGGAGAACATTAGGGTACATTTTCCCTATCTAAATCATGGTTATTTTAATGTTATTATCATGTACTCAAGGCTCTATTAACATGTACTCATGGTTATATTCACATGTACCCATGGCTATATTAACATGTACTAGAATTCCAGGTAAATTCGAGATAATTATAGAATATAAATTCCAGAATATTCATAGTATTTTTACTATTTCATATCTTGTAAAACTTAGTACAACAGGGTGTTGATTTACTATGCAAATGTAATGTTGATCTAAGCAGCATTTATTCATTGTTAAAAGAGTAGAAGAAACCAGGGCAAATTTTACATTTGAGAATTTTACATGTGAGAAACTGTAAAAGGAGAAATTTTTGTGTAGTTTATTATTATGTTTTTCTATAGTATTCTTGATTTTTGATCTATTGTGAATCCATTTTGTGATTTATGACTTATTTAAAGGTAATATGTCAAATTATCTTCATTATATAGTATTGCACACATAAACTAGTAAGTAGTTTATTGAGGGCATAGATAAGCAGGTTTAGAAATTGTAGGAATAAAGAAATAGAGCAGCTTTTGGTTTCAGATTAAAGCCATACAATATCCGTCCATTAAGTTTTTACAATAAGCATTACATGTAACAATTTATACATGTTTTTGACAATCGTTGAAGAAATTATTTACATAGCCAAATTACTTGAGTGCTTTTATTGTAGCACGAAGATGAACCGTCCATATTCTTAAGATTTTACATAATACAATAACATTGTAACATATATTTTATTTTTTAAGATGGAATATTTTCTCAATTATAATTTTTCTTTGTATAATTGTTTTTAAACTTATGAAGTGTATCTTTCGTTAAATCCTTTTCTTTCAGTTCATTTGGCTTTTTTAGATTTGTACTTTAAATTATAGGGATTTACTGATTTATGGTCTTTGTTGGGTGTATTAAGACATAAGAGTTCTCAAACTGTGATGACTTTTTGCACAGCCTACTTATATTCAGAATCCTCATAGTTTAAAGTTTTGAGTTAATCACTATTTTACACTGTGTTACAAAAGATCAACTTTCCTAAAATTGATGAGTTTGTTGTTGGTATGAAAAATACTCAATATTTTATTTTGTATAGCAAAGTTACTTAATTATCTATGTTGTAAATATTTAGTATTATATTTTTATTATCTCATAGTTTCTAGTTTAGTGCCATCTCTCTTTAAATAATCTACTAGTGAAGTTATTTTGAAATAATTTAAGTATAAATTTAAGGTAGTTCCACATTTTCAGAAAAAACTAAAGATTTGGAGGAATGTCAGTTTAAAAGAAATTTAACCAAATTTTGATTTATAGAGGATTTTGATATACGTATTTTACCAGAACATGTAAATATCCACATAAAATTGTTAAATTAACCAATATTTCCCATTTCATTGATTATTGGTAACTGCAATCATGAGAATTTCATCATGTGGAACTACCTTAATTGAACGACTTTTATGATTGTAATACAAATACAGTATTAAATTATTAGAACACCTCTATGTTAACATTCCTCAATCATTATTTTATCAAACTCCATCTTACTTTTTCCACTGAGATTAAATTCAGTGGCTAAAATAAGAGTTGACATGATGTACTAATTACACTTTATTTTGATATATTGTACATCAATATGGAATGGCATGTTTTAGTTTATTTTAGTAAGTGGAATTATTTTGTTCATGATCATGTGAATATACATTAGATTGTAGATACAAATATCCGTCCAATAAATTATTATGTAGATTTGAATCAATTCGTTACTTTTTCTTTTCTGGATTCAAACTTACCAATATACTGTAAAGTATGTCTTTTTTAAATTAATTTGACAAATGCAATAAATTCAGCAATTTCAGTCGGCCCCAATTTTTCACTTTTAACCAGATCATAGAAAGGACTTGCATTACGAGCGTTTACATTTTTTTTTATATGTATTTGGAATAATGTTTCTACTTTTGATAACATGGTGTTGTCTGATGACAAAATGCAAACAAAACATGTTTTCAAGGTATATGAGAAAGTATTGCATGCACTTTTGAGTTTAGCATTCAAATTAGAATGTGTTTTTGGAAGGTGTTCATGTGAGACCTTTCTGAAAAATGTGCACCTACTTTTATCGTTAACATTCAAGGTGTCACATAAGTTTCAGTATATTTTCAAAATGGGGGCATGTGTTTGCAATTTTCCTGGTCTCTGAAGTAGGTCACTGACTTCTATTTGGAGCACCATCAGTCCTTCTTATACAAAAGTCAAAATATCATCCACTTAATTAAGTAGACATCATAATGCACTGTTCTATGGTTTGTGTGAGGCAAACATTTTTAAGAAATTGGGGCTGTCAATCCGTTCCCAATAATTATAGCCTGCGGTAGGATTTCATTTAGAATTTTTCCTAGAGAAATGACTACTTTGTAATATATACTTGACCCTCCCTGCAGTGGGGGTTTCATGCAAACCTTTGATGGTGCATACATGACATTTTGACAATATGCAAAAACTACACATCATATATAATTCCCTTGAATATAAATATTTAAAAGTACAAAATGCCAAGACCAAAAAGTTGAAAATTATGAGCCCTCCCATTATGGTTCCTTTTACCCTGCCAGACTCCATTCCGATTGGTCAAAATTGATGATACATATCTCACAATGTGCAAAATGAGAATAACAAGAGCAACAATATTTTCAAATGATTTATTGTTTCACAATCCACTAAGTTCTATTCAGGGGACAAGACATTCAAATATCTAGAATACATTTTTCTCAATAACAGCATATCTCAGTAACTACCCGTAATATACCATTTACCTACTATGTAATTTCTGTACATGATTTGAAATCATAATTCCTAAGCCATTTAAACCATTGACGTTTTTTTCTATCAACACAAAAATGTTGCAGCAAAACAGATGTTCAACTTCAGAAACTTTAAAAATATTTTGTAATAGTTTTTGTTATATTCAGACAGAATAATTTCTGAATGATTTAATATTTACAATTAGGAGAATGACATGTAGATATATGAATTGGCAAACAAAATAAATAGAAATAAAACAGTTCATATAAAAAATTGGCACATGAAAAATTGACAGAAAAATCATTCTCTATACTGTTCACTGTCTTTATACCGTTTACTGTCTCTATGCAGTAATATCACAGGCTACAAAACTAGTTTACATTTCATGTTTGCATTCTATTCACACATAGCTGCCATAATTCTCATTAAGGTATACTTAGGTAGAATCTGTTTGTGCGTAATGTCGCTGTGCAATTTAGATTTCTCAGTTTACACTACCTTAATGCTTTCTTTGGTTCAAATTTCATTTAAACATTTCAAACTACATACAGAGAACATGATTTCTATGTACATGTTATATGTCGGTTATCCCAAGCCACCTGTAAATGTCAAGCTGAGAGTTTATATACAAATGCATTTATTTGTGCAAGATGATATCTTGATTAGTATACTTTGAATATGGTTATTACAAATACCATGTATTTATGTTCTACCAAACAGCCAAAACACCATAAGTAACCATATTGTCAAAACACCATGAGTTATCATACTGTATAACCAAATTACCATAATAAGTTACGATATTGACAATAAGATATACCATTAAGGTGTTGATAACATTCATTATGTTTTCAATTTGAGAGCATTTTAATTCAATTTTGTCCCAATTCATTTTAAATTTGAATAAATAAATGATAAACTGGATGAACTGATATTTGAATTACTGTAATATTTTTTATTTGGCATTTTTTCCCAAAAGAAGTTTACTTTGTTGGTTCAGCCTGGGAATGCTTAACAACAAAAGATCCTACAACAAGACTTGACTAAATTGAACACTGTTGGGACATTAGTAGCATTGAATATTTTGTATTAAAAGATATTACATATCATAAAGCAATTCTGTAAGCCATTGTGACATCACAAAACTTAATGGAAAAATTCAATCCGATATACTATTCTATTTTATAAATTTTGCGGTTCAACTTCATTTTACATGTTATGGCAACTCAGCCATCTTGTACCCAAGATGCATCATAAGAATTTAAGGCAAATGGTCAGGTTTGATTCACAGGCCAATTGTCAACTTATTCTCCTATCATATCTAATACATGTTCAGAGGCATTAGATAGGATTTAAAATTTGATGAGGAAAATTTAGGCCAAAGAAGGTATATTACATATACTACATTCGGACTTCATTTTTACTGTTTTATTTTAGAAAAATTCTGAAAAAATATATTAATATATTTCTGTAAAATTTTGGTGAGGCGGACGCCTCGCTTGCCTCACACTATGATGTTCTATATGGTAAAATAATCACGTTGCCCTGTGGGTCAGTGCTTATGACACATCCTGCTAGAACTCTCATTCATTCTCTAAGATTGCATTGGTTTCAAATCAGGTGACACTTTGAATTCACATTCCGTACTCTCAATAATATCTTGTACTGTTTGTCCATCAGCAATCTCAGTTAGAGTAAGTCCATTTTCAGGGCACACATCAAAGACACATTTCTCCGTCACTATCATGTTGACGCAGTTCTTGCCTGTGAGAGGGAGTGAACACTGGTTCAGGATCTTATGTTTGCCACCCTGAAATTAGAACTTATGGAATATAATTTGTTTTGATACATACAGTAAATCTGTAAAGTTGGATACCTTTTGAGCTTTTGAGTGGAATGCTTTTCAGAGTCGGGTGACTGGCCAAATTATTTACCTCTGTATGTTGAACACTTTCATAGTGAAAAACATTAAAGAGGTTTTAAAGGTGTTCCACTAATCCACTTACTCAGTTTTACTGTGTACTAATATGTTCTCATGGGGCATCATGTACAACATTCAACAAATTTTAATTTCATGACCAAAAATTTAATTGATAAGTACGAATGGGTTTCCAATAGAATATGTGAAGAATTGATTCATAAAACATTTGAGAAACTTCTAACATAAACATGCTATTTACCTTAGCTGTGTGTTCCATGGTAACGACAACCTTTGTACCACTAGAGGCAGCACTGACCAAATCCATGGCTCCACCCATTCCCTTAACCATCTTACCTATGGTACAAAAATAATGATTCATTCATTTAAATAAATATCATTTGTTGGAGAGTTAAATTCCTTTCTTATTTTTACATAAGGCGATTTTACAAAATATGCTCAAGTAACCAGATGGTCAGTATAACCAATTGAACTGATTTTGATCATGAAATGGAAGTTCTCTCAACAATTCTTATACAAATCAAAGCTTTTCAAAAATATATGGGATTTATGAAATAACATGAACTAACCAGGAATCATCCAGTTTGCAATATCACCATTGCACGAAACTTGCATAGCTCCGAGTATTGTCAAGTCAATATGGCCACCACGTATCATAGCGAAAGAATCGTCACTTGAGAAGTAAGCAGCGCCCGGGAGTGCCGTCACTGTTTCTTTACCAGCGTTGATCAAGTCTGCATCTTCTTCACCTAATCATAATTTACATGATTCAATTCATTATCTGATTATTACATTACAGGTGAGCACATATGAGAAACCAGGGTTGGAGAGCTTTACTATACTATAGCCAAAATGAACTTTGTTCTTTAAAATTTTCAATGGTAATCAATTAAAATTTGATTAAAATTATTTAAAGTTTCATCCAGTTTGCAGAATACTAAATGGTTCAAATTTGAGATTTACTTTCAAGTTTGTATGTTAAGTAGTGTATAAAATTATATAAAACATTAAAAAATAATTTACCTGGTTTGGGAAAGGGCCCAAGTCCTAGGATTCCATTCTCACTCTGTAGATTCACAGTCATATCATCTGGTATGTAGTTACTTGCCAACATTGGCATCCCAATCCCTAAGTTAGCATACATGCCATCCTTGAACTCCTTTGCGGCACGACGCACGATCCTCTCTCGCATCTTTTCAGCTTCTGTTAGAGTATGTTCCTCGTGATCTTCTTTTGTCAAACGAAGTCTCTCAATGCGTTTTTGGTAACTAGGGCCTTTCACAATACGCTGGACAAAAATCCCAGGTATATGGACATCCTCTGGTACAAACTCCCCAACATCAACAATCTCCTCTACTTCAGCAATTGTAATATGGCCTGCTTTGCACATTGGTTGGTTAAAGTTCCTAGCTGTGTGCCTGAATATGAGGTTGCCTGCACGGTCAGCCTTCCAAGCCTTTACTAAGGCAAAGTCTCCTGTTATTGCTTCTTCCATGATGTAATGTCTTCCATTAAACTCTCTGTGTTCCCTGGGTTCACTGGCAATAGCAATACTCCCATCAGAATTGTATTTAATAGGGGCACCTCCCTCATGTACTAGAGTACCATAGGCTGTAGGAGTGAAGAATGCTGGGACTCCGGCACCTCCAGCACGTATCCTTTCAGCTAGTGTTCCTTGTGGGGTCAACTCGACCTCCAACTCCCCACTGAGGTATTGTCTCTCAAACTCAGCATTTTCACCTACGTATGAAGATATCATACGCTTTATCTGCTTCTTTTGCAACAACAATCCCAACCCAAAATCGTCCACCCCTGCATTATTACTGACGGCTGTAATACCTTTGACCCCATGGTGAAGCAAACCACCAATCAGATTCTCAGGAATCCCACACAGTCCAAATCCACCCACTAATAATTTAGCGCCATCGGGGATGTCCTTCACAGCTTCTTCGGCACTATCAATAAATTTTGCCTTGTCATTTGATGTTGTCGAGAATTGATGGGAAAGGGCAACAGGACGCAAGGACTTGCCGATTGTGTGATTGAATTTGGTATTTTTTAAACCAAACTTCAACACGCTAAACACGCCAGAGGATGCCATCAATCTGTAATACAAATAAACATGAATTCTATGAAAAATACAAGTTTATTCGCTAGAGACATGAGTAAATTATGTAACAAATGGATGGGCGCTTTCGGGGAGCTGTAATGCAATAAGCCAGATACTGAACATGAAAAGGAACTCAGGATTTTCCGCTTAATAAACTGACACTCTACCCCCGAGCCTTAAGGGCTAGTCACTATAGCTGAGATTGAAGTAGCAACTTGCTATCAAGGGTCATTACACCATCCCCCTGAAGGACAATGGCCTGTTCTAATATATACACATGGGCAAATCCCACTTCTGGGAGGCGCCTCCGATTTCATTAATTTGTCATCGAAATAAACCGCTTTATAGATGATGTACTGCTTTGATATTTCAACTATATCAGGCTTATAATGACATGGAAACTCACTATGATCATTTGTTCATATACCATGCGTAGGCACCACAGTTGAACAATATCAATTCTGCTCTCCAAGAAAACGTGTTTTAGAAAAAATATAGAACAAGAACGCATGGATTTTCTATTTTAAAGCAATTCCCAGGTCCTTGATCAAAATAATGTCAGTATTTTGATCACTGTGTTGAGTAAACGCTTGATATTTATTAATAAAAAATTGAATAGTAAACTCACAATAGGTGATGTTTAGACAACCAATACACAGCCAGTTATGCCAAATACTGCCATTTAAATAGTTTTCGATGACATGAACTACAATTGGCAAAGGCATAAGCACACATACATAGGCACACTAAATGCATATACAGTGAAACCTGTGAAGTGGAACACTTCTGTAAATGCAAAATTTTTCAGAGTTCCAAAACAACAGACTTAATGTTAAATGAACCTCTAGCTCTAAAAATGGAACATTTTCCAATTGGAACACTTCTTAAAGGTACAAAAGGTGTTCTACTGAACTACGTATTGCACACTTAAAGCTCTTAAATGACCTACTTGATACATTACTTAGTATTTTAGAATTCTTTTTATGTAGTTGAATCGCCAATTGTATGGGTTTATCGGCAGAACAAAAAGATTTTTTGAGTTTTTGATAGCAATAGGTTGCATGTTATTGTAATGTTTAACTTATTTCAACTGTCATAAGGGGAATCCCCCTCCAACGAGCTTCCGCCATCTTGGAAAGTGCTTAATATTTCCTTGTTATTCCTAGCTTGTTATTTCACAACAACATGTATTATTCAGAAAATAGCCGGTGAAAATTCGGACAAACGAAGATGGTAAGCATGAGAGGTGATTAGTCTGTCATCTCTGGGTTTTCCCTCCTCTTATTCAAAGCTGATATATATTTACCCTATATCGTGACACTGATGAAAGCTGAGGAGAGTCACACAGTCACAGTGGATCTACAGTGGTGAACATAAATAATTACTTACACTATGAAAAAGACATTCTGTCACATATGTCATAAATTCTTAACTCAGTGAATTGAGTGCTATATTTTCTCCATCCCAGAACGTACAAATATAGTGGAATTTGTGTCCATAATGACAAATAGGAACTTAAAAATTTGAAGTGATATTCACATGTTAATGCAGACTCTTCAAATGTTCTAGGTGATTTTGGAGCCCGATTACGTCGCAACATGGGCTCTATCAGAAGAGCCCATGGTCGCAAGGAGGATTGGCTCCCAGAATGCAAGTCAATCCACGTTGGATCACAAAAATGGCGATCCATGAAAACATTCGTTCGATTTGGTAGTAATTTATCCATCACTTGCAGGTATGAAGCTTTGGATTCATTTATTGTCCTACTTAAAGTGAACAGGAATTATTTTTCTACCGCTTGGGAGAGTTTGAGACATGAAACTTAGAATTTAGCTCATTGTGACAACTTTTGAACTGATGGTTATTTTTCAGGTAATGTTCAACATTTTTCAATTTTCTTCATGTTGTTTAGACAGTTATTGTGTATTTGCGATTGTCTAATACCTTGAAAACCTAACGAAACTCCGTTTTTGGCTTGATAGATTATTTTCTCTACGAACTGTTTATCAGGATGATTCCTAAGGCCTAATTCTAGGGCGTCAGGAGAAAGTGGTCTATAAGGATTAATGTGTGCTAAGGGATGGGCATTTCGTACATTTTGATCGAGGGACGTTAAGGGTGCCGCATCCATTACATTTGTGCATCCTGTAGCAATTTGTTCCATATTTGCAGTTTCCGAATTGATAATTGTTACAGACCTCGTCTTTGTCCGCCTTATGTTTTGTATCCGACGATGATATCTGCGCCATCGTGGAGCTCGCTTGAAAGGGGCAGTTACTAACTTTATGGTCCCCTGAACATCGGTGACATCTGATTGTGTTCTTGACGCATGTCGCATCCAATGTCGTGACATATAACGTAATATCCATCTTGTCAAATTTGGGTGATGGTGATTGAGCTAATTTTGTTCTAAATTTAATGTCATACAGATTGATCGCATTCCAATGGAACTTTTTGTCCGCTTCCTGGATAAGTGTGCGATATGCGATAAGACTCGAATACAAGATCGGATTTTGTTCAATCAGTATACATTCATAGATACTCCAAGCAGATAACCACTGATTAAAGCTAGTAATCGTTTTAACTTTACGCTTGTGTTGTTGACGAAGATGTCCGTTATCAAGTGTTAAAATGATAGGATCTGGATTTTCATTGTAATCATTCACAAGATTAGCTGGTAGTAAATCTATCATGTTCACAAACTTACCAGATTTGACTGCTTTTATTGTTTTCTGAGGTACAGGATAATCTAGAATCATTGATGTGTCAGATTCATCTGCTTCGGTAGAGACTTTCGTTTCCGTCATAACAGGTATGGACGGTTTAGCAGGGGCTGATGGTACGACTTTCTTGGGTGACATTGACGGTACAGAAAATGTTGATGGTATATCATTGCTATCATTGGAACGAGATTTTATTTGCAATATCTCATGCTTCATGGATTCCATCTCAGTCTTCACATCCTGCTTGAAAGTTTCATTACTTATCATCATACGTTCCATGAGATTCTTTAATTCTAGAATCTCATTGGTAACATCGACTTCAACGTCCTGATCTCGATATTCTTTTTGAATTTCAAAGTCACATTTAGTTCCATGAGGGCCAATATGATGTCTTATAAGGCCCCTACACTTACTGCACTTCCTGCCTGCTTCAAGAATGTCCGATTTACTCTCAGCCATTGTATTAAAATGAAGTAAAACTGCTGTAAAATGAAGTAAAACTGTTGTAAAATGTTTTGAAATTTCCACGTGTTGTGGACTGTCTTACATACTGAACTGAATGTCTTTATAAAGTACACTGGTGAAACTGGGGTCAACCATGCATTCATATAAATTGAAAAGATGCCAATTACACTACCCGCTAAAGGATTAGAAAACCTGGAAACTATCCAAAAGATAAATGGACAAACAATTACCTGATAAATATATGGCATTCAGATTCATTAAAAACATTATTCCAAATGGAATAAACTTCAGTTGTTTAGATATATATTTTCAGTACATTTGACAAGCAGTTACAATTATACTCCACATATTTCCAAAAATCATTCTACATGTTACAGTACTCTACACAGATATTTATACTTACAATTCAGCAGTTTTGTACCTAGTTTTCCAAAACCCCAATCTTCTCTAATTGATCTCGCGAGAACTGAAAATTGTTCGAGATTAGACGCCATATTGATTGATATATTGAAAAGAAACTAAAGCTAAACCGGAGAAAACCGGATCGTGTGTTGGTATTCCCCTAAGCCAGAGTGTTTGAAAATTGTAATTCACATATAGATCAGGTAATTCCAAGTTTGAAACGTAAAAAGGTAAGAATCGTCAGATCTGAGCCTTTTAATTACGAATTTAATTCAAACTTTGATTTTCGCACATTTATTTTTGAAAATATTGGCGCCCATTGATGATTTACAGTAGACTATCCACACTAGCGAAGTTAGGCATTATTGAAATAAAATTATTTGAGGTCATGTTTATATAAACACTGACTCTTACTTCAACTAGTAAAAACCTGATCAAACTTGCAATGCACCCCAGCATTTATGGGGGTAATTCGGTTTTACCATCTAAACAAGCTACAAACTTTGGGTAGTCTATATAAAAAGCATTATTCTATAGGCCTAAGCTAAAACTACATTGGATATAAGGTATTAAGGTACAAAATGTTTGTACTGGAAGTTAATATTCTAGATCTAGATTCTTCATGCCATGATCGCAATTTTATGAACGGGACGCAGGTTTTATACAAAACATGTCATTGTGCCCTAGCAGAGGCCATTGAACAGTACCACATTTTGCACTCATCTCCATAGAAAGGAAAATATGAGTGAAATATATAAGTAAATATGAAATAATGGAAACTTTCTTTTCTTCATGGAAGTACATGTAAAACATAAAACAACTAAAGGTAATTTTCTCTATAAGAATAGACTAAGTTGAATGTTTTTCATTGCAGGCTGTAATATTAATGAGGAAGTACACAATATCCATGGAGAAATGACATAAGAGAAACGTTTGACAAACAGACATGTTTGGCCAAAACAAGACTCCTTTTGGAGGGGGAACCACAAGCGGTTTTGGTGCTACCAGTGAGTGAAACATAATTTTGTGATGTTTGGGACAGGACACAGAAATGTTAATTTCCAGATGATTTTAATTCAAATTTTCACATATAAAATAAGTAAATGATTAGTTTTAATTTTATTTGTATTTTATCTTTTATTTACAAAACACAGTTGCTTCCATACCAGTAATGGATACTAATGTCTATAAATAAAGATGGCTAAAATAATGTTTTTTAGTTGCTATTAGTCAAGCTTAGCAAACTAATCAATACATACAGCTTGGTTCTAACACCAATATTTCTTTCTATTTTAGGTACATTCGGGAGCAGCACTCCATTTGGCGGTGGAGGTAGTTAAGATTTTAACATATATTAATTTTCAAAATAATATTTGCTTTAATATAATGAATGGGTTCTTTATAACTTCATTAAATTTAAATTGATCATTGAAATGGTTTCTTCACAAAATTACAACATATTCAGAAAGAAAAAGTAAAACCTTTCCTGTTTTGGTACATTTTTATGTCATATTGAACTTTAGATAATTCGGAAATTGGTATTTCCATTCAGTATTTCTTTGCAACAAAAGTACAACAAAAACTTCACTTAAATAATTGAAATTAAATACAATGTCAACTTGACCCAAGTTGAGTTGATTTATGGACACAAACTCGTTCAAATTGTGATTTATTGATATTAACCAGAATTATTTCTAAATTTTTATCCTGTTACATTTTTGCGATAAAGACCAATAAAAGGCTCCATACTTGTGTATTCTTCTTCACAAAATTCAATTTCTTATAACATGTGCCTTCTGTACCTTAAATAAGCATAGTACCCACTGCATTATGATACTACATGGCTATTGCATAGGCATTTACTAGGATGAATGTGGTAGATAACTAATCTATTTTTTATTGAAGAGTGTTTAAAAGCACTTGAAATATGCCATAAATGCCTGCTTTGTGTCATGTTGTCTATAATTTTCAGTTTAGGGTTTGCCTTAACTAACACTTTATTTGTACACTGTAGTGATTCAGAATTTTGTTATCTTAGTTTTATTCAAATTCCCGTTCTCTTAGTCATGTGCTAATACAATGACTGGACAATCTATATTATTTCTTATTTATCATACCATACCATTTTCATTAAATGACATCACTGACAGTTTTTTCCAAAAATAATTTTCAAGTTCCATTGCAAAAATGTTTAAAATTTTGTAGAAACTGCGTCATTTAATCAAAAGAAGAGGGTATAAATCTTGTGTCACAGTTTGAAAACATTCTGATTAAAATTTTAATTATATTGTTAACTATTCTTCAATTTTTGTCATATGAAAGTTTTATGGCGATATGAAATTTAAGTTCAACAAATGGCGAGATAGAAGTCACAGAACATACGCTGAATTGAGAATATTTCTAGAAATACAAGAAACTTAAAAATGTCACATATCCAATTACAGTTATGCAAATTTACTTTTCTCACCATGAAATTTAAATAGCATATTATATATTCCCTTTACTAGATTTACTAGTTTCATATACATGTAGTATCCTTACCTCCTTTATTTCCATACATACCTGTTTTGGAGAATTTCCTGTCAAAAAAGTTGTACATGCAAAATACATGTACTGGTATGTGCATATTGCTTTTCAATGCTTGAATCCTATTGTACATTTCTGTAATATAAGAGGTCTCCAACTGTAAATATAACTTATTCAATAATATTCTGTTCAGGACTGCATTTTTTGTTTATGAGTGTCATAGAGACTTATTTCTTGGATATGCATTATTTTGGATGATAAACTGAATGGTGTTCTCATTGTGCATGTTCGCTCTAGGGCTTGCTTATACTGTACTGTGCTTTGGTCATTTCAGTTTCCCATCATTATGATGTTCACTCTGTAAAAATGATTGAAATGACCTCAACACAAACACAGTCAGTGCATGCTAAATGTCCATGTATAGCAATGTTAGATTATGTTAGTTAAGCCCATGCTTGTTGTTTCATCAAATACAGCAACAACTACATTCGGTGCAAAAACTCCTAATGCAGGTGCATTTGGTACACCAGGAGCTACAAGTTTTGGGGCATCTACACCAGCTGCAGGGGGACTGTTTGGTGGGACTTCTGGGACAACTACTGGAGGATTGTTTGGAGGCGCCACCCAGAGCACTGGATTCGGTCAGACTGCAACATCAAATTCAGGATTCAGTAAGGCAGTTTTATTTTCTTGCGTATAAAAATATGTACAGTGAAACTCATATATCTGAACACCTCAATGTGAACATTTTTTCTCAGTCCCAAATTAATCTCTGATACAATACATGTTTATAAAACCTTTAAACGTTAACACCTTTTGATTTGAACACTTTTTGCTGGTCCCAGAGGAGTTCGAATCAGACAGACTGTATACTTGTTCAGCGGACCATCATATAGTAATATTCTTATATTTTTCAATTTTTGGTTCTTATTGGATTATTACTAGGCATTTTAAAACTGCAATTTGGAAAACGAGAACTAATGAACTATTAAATCAATATATATAAAAAATTGGGAATAGAAAGTGCTGAAACAATTTGAAAGGATCAACTACAAAAGTGTTTTGTCCCACCATATCTGAAATTAATCTTCTTTGTTGCATTCTGCATGGTTGATACAATCTACATATATTTGTTCATAAAAAGCATCTATATAAAAAGTGTCATCTATAACTTATTGATCGCCCCTCATATATACATATATTTGAATTTTCTCATTTGCTTTAGCATTTGGAGCAACTGCCAACAATGCCACTTCTACTGGAGGATTGTTTGGTACTTCAACTGGGCAAAGTGTCATCTATAACTTATTGATCGCCCCTCATATACATATATTTGAATTTTCTCATTTGCTTTAGCATTTGGAGCAACTGCCAACAATGCCACTTCTACTGGAGGATTGTTTGGTAGTTCAACTGCGTAAAGTGTCATCTATAACCTATCGATCGCCCCTCATATATACATATATTTGAATTTTCTCATTTGCTTTAGCATTTGGAGCAACTGCCAACAATGCCACTTCTACTGGAGGATTGTTTGGTAGTTCAACTGGGCAAAGTGTCATCTATAACTTATTGATCGCCCCTCATATATACATATATTTGAATTTTCTCATTTGCTTTAGCATTTGGAGCAACTGCCAACAATGCCACTCCTACTGGAGGATTGTTTGGTAGTTCAACTGGGCAAAGTGTCATCTATAACTTATTGATCGCCCCTCATATATACATATATTTGAAATTTCTCATTTGCTTTAGCATTTGGAGCAACTGCTAACAATGGCACTTCTACTGGAGGATTGTTTGGTAGTTCAACTGGGCAAACTGGCACTTTGGGGTTTTCCACCCCAGCCACGAGTTCAGCATTTGGAGCAAAAACTCCAGGTAAGTGTAATGTCCTGGCTGCCACAAATGATATGACAATGATAAAATGAAAGAACAAATTTACTCAAGGAAAGCTCACAGTGCTACGTCACTATACAGGGTGTTCCAAAAGTAACAGGACTGGTGCTGGCATTTTGTTTAATATGCACCAATCGTCTTCAAAATTTTACATAATGTACTTTCATGTATCGTTACTAAGACTGCAAAGTTTCGACAAAATATATGAAACTCGGGTAGAGTTATGGTTGCTATAGTAACATGACATCACAATACCCGGGGCAATATTCCACGCAAAAAGTTACAGAGACATTAAACATTTTGTACATGCCATATCATTTTGTACATGCCATATCAAAGTTGAAATGCAGCAACTGGTGGGAATTACATTTGTTTTACATCATTTGATATTCCTATGTATCCTCTACTTTGAAAAATAGGCTCCTCTTTGGTGAGTACAAGAGTAGTACTCTGTATCCATGACCCAAACACACGAGTGAACCCATTTGATGACATGTCACGCAGGGCCAATTGGACAACTTGGAGAAGGTCATTCCCATCTTTAAAGGTCCTACAGCACTGATTAGCATTCCATTCTCAATATAAGTAAACATTAGGTATTGCATGATCAGAGGAGTATGGTGCAGTGTTTTAGACTCAAGACCTAGCTCCTCTATAGCTGCATGGTCTTAAATGGTGACCTGCGGGCAGGCGCGCTATCAAGGTAGATGACTGGCTTCAAATTGGGTCTTTTCAAAAACTCAACCGTGAATTGTCCAGACCCTTATACATAGTGATATTCCAGGAAATTGAATAAATATTATTATCATTATGAAATTATACTTGAATCTGAGTTGTATATGCAACACCTTTACAACAAAGGAACTGATACAATAAACAAGAGATGTTCAGTAATACAAAAATGTGAGATATCATATTTTCACGGAAAAGTTGCCCCGGGTATTGTGATGTCATGTTTCTATAGCAACCATAACTCTAACCGCATTTCATCTTTTTTTCTGAAACTTAACAATTTTAGTTGCAATACTTCAAAGTACAATTTGTGAAAATTTGAAGACACTCAGTGCAAAATTGACAAAATGCCAGCACCAGTCCTGTTACTTTTGAAACACCCTGTACAATACTAATTTGAGTTTCTAAGAACATTTAACGGCCATTTTTTAAGTTAGTTCTTTAAGTAAAATAATAAGCTGATTCTGACTGTATTTGTCGGAACACCATTTTTACATACTTTTTTCGCCAGAACTCTGTTTATAGATATTCTCCACCAAAACATGATTTCATTTCTTCTGAGCACACAATGATTTACACTTTGTAATTGTATTTATAAACTTATTCATTGCTATTGAATGGAATTGTACATGGCATTTGTTGTTGATATCAGGTGGCTTTGGAACTACTACCCAGACTGGTGGCCTATTTGGTAACACCCAGACCACAACTACTGGAACATCATTGTTCGGAAACACAACCCAGACTGCAACTGGGGCACTCTTTGGTGGCACTGCTACAGCAGGTGAATTTGATACTTGTATTTAGCTCAGATATTCATGGGTAGATACTGCAATAGATTTCTTCAGTAGTTATTATGTCCCTGCCAAAAGTGGTGACATATTAGTCTCCAACTTTTTTCATGAATGGCATTCAGAGTTTGGCGTTCGGCATGTGTAACGCATGACAGGTGGTGACATTTTGTATGTTAATGCCTTCTTGTTATTTGTAATGATTTATTAAAAGAACAGGTCAATATGTAATGTTATTTCAAGCCACAATAACATGTACTTACCTTTCTGATTGACTCAAAACCATAACCAAAATTTCAGATTTTTTTTAATAAGAATCATTTTATTTTCAAAATCACTGTTATCTTATGAATAATATATGATTTGAACAGCAACCGAGTTCCAAAAAGTATTTGTGATTACATTTGCATCTGTTTTGATACGATGTATTGACCTTAAAACCTGAAACATTGTGTTTTTATAGGGTTTGGTGCAGCTGCACCTGCAGGCACTACAGTGAAGTTTAACCCTGTACAGGGAAGTGACACCATGATGAAGGGTGGAGTGTCTACACAAATCACAATCAGACATCAGTGCATTACTGCCATGAAGGAATATGAGACCAAAAGCTTGGAGGTATATTTACTTAGTTGGATAATGTTGTTTTCTAATCCTGTCAAACTTATTACATGCACTTTTATGGTGTTTCAATCACATATATGAAATAAATGATTATAAAAAATATTTAAGTTATTTTACAGTTTTTACAAAATGAATGATCCTTATAATCAAATTTACACCCCCTCATTTTAATTAAACATGAGATCCAGACTATATTACTCAAAAAAGAATGAAATGGTGTAAATAACATATAGTAAACAAATCCTAAACTTATCTTTTCTTTCATCTTCATTTACTTAACATTAACTGCAGAAATGATTTGAAATGGCAACACCCTCTATAAATTCCTCTTTAAAATCCCATATGAATTTTAGGAGCTTCGTGTAGATGACTACCTGGCTAACAGGAAGGGTCCCCAGGCAGGTGCTGCTGCTACTGGAGGGATGTTTGGACAAACACAGGCCGCTACAGGGGGATTCAACCTCAGTCAGCCTAAGCCTACAGGATTTGGGGCATGTGAGTATAGGCTACATCTTATAATTGAAGCATAGGTAAAATACTATTGTGCAGCACCTGATATCCAAAGAAAGAGACTACTGATGATGTTTCACAGTGGCCAATATTGATCAGGATTTTGTGTATTTATCTACAGGGTGACCATAATGTCTCTTAACAATTACAATACAAAGTCTGTAAGATGTATATATGAGACTATATGGTCACCCTGTATAACAGTGTAATTCACTCAATGCCACTACATTTTCACAGCAGATTGATGCACGAAAAAACATTGACTTTTTTATTGACTCTGTGATTTTTCAGCATTTGGAACATCAGCCACCTCCACAGCATCAACCGGAGGTCTATTCGGGACAACACAGCAGAGTGGGGGGCTGTTTGGAGCCCAGAAAACAGGATTCGGGACTACAACAACGACATCTAGTGGAGGATTGTTTGGTGGTGGATTTGGTAATCCAAGTACAAGCACAGCAGCTGGAGGCTTGTTTGGGGCCACGCAGCAGGCAAAACCTGTGAGTTTCTACTCAAAATTTTATTCTATATTTGATATCTGGGCTTATCTGATGTAATGCTATTGCTAATAATGCATGTATTAATGAATCAGATAATTTAAAGAGGATAAATAATGACTTTTGATGGATTTTAATGATTTTTTCAGTTTTTGTGGATCAAACTCTGATCCAGGTGTTTGAAATACAGTGTGTCCTTAAATAAATATTTTCCTTGTTTATCTACAAGATCATTCGGTGATTTAACAGGACTACCGCTTTAGTGATTATGTACAAGCTCACTGCTAGAATTAGGTATTCTATTTTGCATACTGGTACAATGATATATGAATTGTGTTATTGAATAGGGATTATGGATTCAGTAAAATAAAGATATAAATACATGTATCTGCAATCTGCATGCATTTTAGGGTGGCTTATTTGGTGCTTCAACATCCACCCAGGCGGGCACTCTATTTGGGGCTGGTACAAGCACACAGTCTACTGGCTTTGGGGCTACACCAGGCTTTGGTACTGCTGGGGCTACAACTGGAGGCTTCGGTGCAACTGTAAGTTACATTCATAGTCTTCTTCCATAGATTCAGTCAGAAGGATTACAATGTCTCACAGTAATTTGTGATATATGAAATGATTACATTTTTAATATTTATTAAATTAATTTTAATATGTCAAAAAAGGTACTGAAGGGTTTATTTGGAAATAGGATTCCATGGAGTTTTATTCATATACTGTATTTATGGATTTAGGCCTAGTTTCATTGATATTGGATATTTTAAGGACAGAGTTTTTATATTTTTGTATTTTTTAAAACAATTGAAATTCAACCACTTTTTGCAAGGTTTATATCTGTTCAATTCATAACACCTAAGATGCATCTTCATAATATTTGTATTTTTCCACACAAAATCATGTTTTCCCTTATTAACCATGCTTTGTTGTCTATTGTTGCATGACTACTGTTCTGGATTGGCCAAAAAGTGATATTGAACAGCTTACTATGTGTACATGTACATTTATATGGTCTATTGTCAGCAATAATGACAGCCTCAATATATGTATCTTTAAATAGATGATATACAATCTTGCAAATTTACAGGGTTTCGGCACCAAGACAGGGTTTGGAACATCAACCGCGACCACGACTGGTTTTGGACAGCCGCAACAGGCTGCCGCTGGAGGATTTTTTGGCAAACCCGCTGCAACGACAGCAGCCGGGTTGACATTTGGTGCGACTAATACATTTGGTGAGACTTGACAGTTGTGCAGTGTGACATCACAGATAATGCCTTGTTTGTAGAGCATCAACCAATCAAAATCATCTTCTATTCAAAATTTTTTTGTTCCAAAAATTTGAAATATTTTAGAACGATTATCATGTGGAACACTCAGTATATCAAAATTGAGGTATCAAACTAGAAAATTCATGTGTTGTAAAGGTTTTAAATTGCACCCCTATGCAACATATACACTTATAAGATTTTAAAAGGTGTTGATAGGTGTAAATAGATGTTGAAAGGTGATGATACTGGAAACAAGGCAATATCTAACCGTGGGTTTTAGCTAATCTACTAATATATTTTAGGTTTTCTTATCTAGGTTTGGTGCATGAGTCATCTACCACCAAGCGGCTAAGCGTTATGTGGCTCAACTTGAACAATTGAAAGTTTTTTGCCTTGTTGGAGGGACACTGAAATTTCTGTATCAATAACTAAACTTTGGCAGTCTGATCATTAGATATCTTTTAGATTACTTGTTTAAAACACATGTTACTGGAAAATTGCAGACTGAGCTCAAAACCAGGGAAATGGTCCAGACTGTCAAATGTTCAGAAAGAGATAATCTTGGTCGAAAATTGATATCTAAAAAGGTATAACAGTGAACCTCTGATAGTGGCAGCAAAACTTCCAATAGATCGATACACATTTCTTTTGAATGAACACACTCAATAAGAACATCTAACTTGTCCCGTTTTAGGGTAGTGGTCTATTTGGTAACACTAATGCCAATAAGCCAGCATTTGGAACTTCCACCGGGCTTTCATTCGGGCAAAATACATCAACTTTCGGGAGTAGTAATAGTTCCACTGGATTTAGTTTTGGCGGTACAAGCAGTGGTTTTGGTGAGACGTTTATACTGTTATTATACAATACAGTGATCTCCCCAGGATTAACGAAATTGGGTTTCATAGGTTAAGGCTTTGAAAATGACCTTGCATCCAGTTCTTATCTGTTTGCACCCAGTTGCAAAATCATGAATAATTTTTGATGTTTTTCTGTCAGAATCTGTTAAAGTAGCTCATCCTTTAACTCTCATTCAAAGAAAATCTCAATAAATGAATTAAACCACATCAACCTGTAACTGACACTATTTGTGGGCTATGATATAAACCTTATATTCTGTAAAGAAAAACTTACCTATTATTACCTTTAAAGATTATTTGCAGCTCATTTGTGTCATAGAAATTGAATCTTCCCACACTACTTCTTAAATAAGCCATTTCTCCAGTGTTGATTCTCTCAAAAAAAGGTTGTTTCATAACCATTGATAATTAAAGTTATATGTTGCTGCAACATTTCACTTTTGGTGGGTACTTAAAGGATGGGTCACTTTAAATCCTGGGGATATCACTGCACTACATGTATTATATAGTATAACTCTTGCTTCACTGTGGCTTTATATTGATAAGTATACCAAGATTTAAATTAAACCTTTCTGAATCAAGCACTTAAACAAGAATAGACCTTTCCATTAATGTATGCCTCCGATTAGATAGAGGTACCAATCCAATTGTGTGATTGGTTTTGAAACCATTGCTGCCTTTGTCACCCTCAAATTGGCAAATATTGTTTTGCATCCAAGTTTTCATTTGTTTGCTAGCCCTGCTATTTTTTGTTTGTGATATAATAAACACATATTTCATTCTGTCTGTAAATTGTCATGTATATTGTATTTTAAATTTTGTTTAATTGGATGTGTACTGGTATAAATTATAATGTCATCCCACAAATGACAAACATACCACATTTACATGTATTTTAATGCTATAATTGAATAATTCTAACATATCTGTTGACAATAAGCTCTTCAAAGAATTCTACTAATAGTTCTCAATCCTTGCCAAAACTTTGTTCGATCATTTGTTTTATTTTAATCTATGAGAAGTAAAATGAAATTTAAAAATTCTTTGCAGGTAACACATCTACCGCGGGAGGAGGTTTATTTGGTCAGAAGCAGACGACAGGCTTCGGTACAGGAACTGCCTTTGGGACAGGAGCCTCAACTCTTGGGACGGGATTTGGCACCGGGCTCGCTACAGGGACTACAGGGGGTCTGTTTGGTAGCCAGCAGAAAACTGCCCTTGGGGGTGGCCTGGGGACTAACTTGGGTACAGGTAAGGCTATGCAATGTATGTCAAGGCTATGCAATTTATAGTAAGGCTATGCAATGCATATGTGATCAACCACACCGAAGCCTTCAGTGTTTTTTTTGCTTGGTGTTTGGAAGGATAAGTTGAATATTTTGAAAGGATGAAATCTAATAAATTAAAACCTCTCATTCTGAACTTTTTGACTCCCATTGACTCAAATATTTAAAAAGCCTTGAAATGTGAACACCTGCTAATCCGACAGTTATGGCCCATCCCAGTGTTGTTCCGACTTGATAGGTTTTACTCTATATTTTCTTCTCTAATAAGGAATATGTCCACTTATTTCTGATTTACTGTTAGGATTTACTGTATATTTTCATCTCTAACGAGGAATATGTCCCCTTATTTCTGATTTATTGTTAGGCTTTACTGTATATTTTCATCTCTAACGAGGAATATGTCCACTTATTTCTGACTTATTGTTAGGTTTTACTGTATATTTTCATCTCTAACAAGGAATATGTCCACTTATTTCTGATTTACTGTTCTGATTTACTGTTCTGATTTACTGTATATTTTCATCTCACAAATAATATGTCCATGTGATGAAATAATTTTCAGAATGTTTCTTTAATCATTATAAAATCCATCATCACCATTGATCTTTACATTGACTAACTGTGATGTTTTACACAGCAGGTTTTGGCAATACTGGCTTTGGCACAGGCTTGAACACAGGTCTAACTGCAGCCAGTCAACCTACACAGTTGGGAAGTACTGATGCACAGGCTGCTGCAGCTGCCCAGCAGACTCAACAGCAGCTGCTTGCACTGACCACTACTCCTTATGGGGACAATCCATTGTTCAGGAATATTGCACAAGTAAGTACATCTTACCACTACTCCTTATGGGGACAATCCACTGTTCAGGAATATTGCACAAGTAAGTACATCTTACCACTACTCCTTATGGGGACAATCCACTGTTCAGGAATATTGCACAAGTAAGTACATCTTACCACTACTCCTTATGGGGACAATCCACTGTTCAGGAACATTGCACAAGTAAGTACATCTTACCACTACTCCTTATGGGGACAATCCACTGTTCAGGAATATTGCACAAGTAAGTACATCTTACCACTACTCCTTATGGGGACAATCCACTGTTCAGGAATATTGCACAAGTAAGTACATCTTACCACTACTCCTTATGGGGACAATCCACTGTTCAGGAACATTGCACAAGTAAGTACATCTTACCACTACTCCTTATGGGGACAATCCACTGTTCAGGAACATTGCACAAGTAAGTACATCTTACCACTACTCCTTATGGTGATAATCCACTGTTCAGGAATATTGCACAAGTAAGTACATCTTACCACTACTCCTTATGGGGACAATCCACTGTTCAGGAATATTGCACAAGTAAGTACATCTTACCACTACTCCTTATGGGGACAATCCACTGTTCAGGAATATTGCACAAGTAAGTACATCTTACCACTACTCCTTATGGGGACAATCCACTGTTCAGGAACATTGCACAAGTAAGTACATAGCTCAGTGTACAAGTACAGTGCTCAATAATACAATTTTATAGAAAAATTTAGTATATTTTTGTATATAATTTTTTGCATAACAGAATTTCATTCTCTGAAGATTTTATGCCTGAAAATACAAGGATCAGTCAATGAACACCAACAAAAATCGTCTCATCTTTTGAAAATTTTTACAAAGGAATCAATATGGAATTTTTAGATTGATTTTTCTGTGTTTCAGACTGGGGCGAGTAGAGCTGAAGTGCTAAGGCCAACCAATCCAGTTGCCCAGAAGGCAGCTTTAAGCAATGGAAGCTCACAGTACAAGGTCAGCCCGCGACCCGCCTCCAAGATTAAACCCAAGCCTTTACATTCGCTGGCCAATGGGAAGGTAGATAAACATTTTTTGTTATTAAGAAATCTTTCTCCATCGTTGATCATATAATAAGAATCTTTGTTACCAGGGATGTTCTTTGATATTACAATCCTAAATTGAGTTTTGTTGCTAGAGTCAGACATATATTCTAAAAAGTAACAGAAGTTTCAAGTGATAATGCATATTTCCCAATCCTAAGTCTATTCTAATTAGAAATCTCCCTCATATATCTAATCCTGAATTGTTTCATTATTAAATGCAAAACATTATTTTGATATGTGTCGCCCTTTATTGATCTCTGTTTTGATATTTTCTCTATTTTGATATTATCTTCATTTTGGTATTATCTTCATTTTGATATTATCTTCATTTTGGTATTACCTTATGACCTGTAGGCATCACTGTTTGATGGTCTCGAAGAAGAAGATGCTTCATTTGGAAATGGAACATTTGTTATCCGTAAGAGCATAAAGACACTCGTCATCAAGAAGAACTCTCCGGGAAATTTATCAAGTCGGAGCTACTCTAATGATGACACACCACGATCCCCACTAAACCAGAGTCAGACATTCTCCGAGAGGATGGCCGCGCGAGGGGAGGAGCTACAAGCCAATCTGGATGATAGAGACAATAGGGTATGTAAGCTAAAGAAGGGTTATCATGAATCGGGAGGAAATACCCCAGAGTTCATATTAGTTCATCTATGAATTCTGGGCCAGGGTATTCCTCCCTCTTTGGATCGGGTCAGGTTTCTTTTGTCATCTCTCAGCACTGTTTGAGTGTTTTACAGTTCATTTGCTTAAAACATAGTACCAGTGATTCTAATGCAATAGATGGCAGACATGTGTTGTTCATATTTATTGTACATTCGCATATTTCAATGTTGCAGGTATCTCCTGAGAGAACAGCTCAGAGTCCTATGGAGGCACCCACACCTGATGTGATTGTAGGAGGAAAGGCTATTGGACAGGGTCTTCAAGACACCCCTACTGGAAATAGGTGAGTGAACCATAATGTTAAAGTTGGGCGAGCTACTGTTTCCCATGTTCGTAATTGTCAGACATTTGGCTCAAACTTAAAAAGTAAATGCAGCAGAACTAATCATGTCTTTCAGTTTTCAATAATATGTCTTGCGATTTTAACAAGGAAATACTCAGATGTATGTCAGGTCAGGGCGTGTATTCGACGATATTACACCTGCTCTGAGGTCTATATTAGGATTCGAACATGAAAACTCACCAAAATGTTTTGAATATTCATTATGGTCCGCCATAACCACGGTCCGCTGTTATGATGTCACACATTACACGTATTACCAGGGGCATTCTTAGCAAATATACCGCGGGTGAAATGTTGACTTTGTTTACAGTTTATAGAAGGTGTAGATACAGTCATGTTTGAATTACATACATCAATGTCTTGTAAAAAATATTTGACATGGTTTCTGTTATTTACTTGATGTGAATGAATGATGAACCAATATTTCGACACTATTTCAGGCCACACCTTGACAATACAATGAACATCTTAAATGCAAAGAACAACTCTGCAATTCACTCCACCAGTGCTACCAGTCTCCCAGAGATGGACAGTGCAGGAGAGGACAACCTTAGTGATGAGGAGGTGAGGGTGGCCTTTGAATAGATCTAATATATGCCAGATTTTAAGATAATAGAGGGCCTTTAAAGTTAATATGGTGGGTCATCATAACAATAAACAATAGGTATTGTCAAATGGCCATATTTTTTCAATTGGCTAAGGATTGTTTCTTAATGTTGCCAAAAATTAATTTTTGATGGTCCAACCAATCCCCTTCCTTTCTCCATTTAATGACATTTTAAAATATGGATTTCCCTTTCAGTTGACTTCAAAAGGTGACCATTCTTCACTATTTTAAAAATAATTCCATACCCCCTTGCAAAATTAACTGTTCTTCGATATCTTTTGACATTTAGGCGCCATTCCTTAAAAAATAAAGCCACATATGAAAACAATTATTTGCAGGAAGTACATCCACAATATTTTGACACCATCCCTAACAGAACAGTAAAGACATCTTAATATCATAACTCCATGACGTATTCAAATAAAAATAGATTTCAAACCATATATTATTTCCAGGAAGTACCTCCACACCCAGCAGGCATTGTGCTGACCAGGCCAGACTATTACACGATCCCCTCCCTGCAGGAGCTGGCAAGCATGGTCTCTGATAATGGCGATTGTATAGTTGAGGATTTTGCTATCGGGCGTACAGGATATGGCAGTGTATATTTCCCTGGATACACAAATGTAGCAAATCTCAACCTGGATGAGATAGGTAAGTTCAGTTTTTAATTTGTTGTCATGGCAACTCAACTCAATAATGTATCAATTTTCACTTGCATTCAGCCTCGAAGAAGAACAAAATATGTTACGTGCTTGTAAAAAATCTCAGGTAAAGATATTGGAAACAGATTTTAGAGATATTTTACGAGAATTTATGGATAATCCAAAGCACATTGTAAGTAATGGGACTCCAATATTTTGCAAGTAATTTAATAACATACTGCCTTCATTCAAAAATTCAATTTATTCATGAGCATGAAAATGAAACCGTATGCCTTAATATTTATTGAATGGCCCTTGTATTTTCAGTACATTTCCGTCGTAAGGAGGTTACAATTTACCCAGATGATGACAATAAGCCAGATGAGGGTGAAGGCCTTAACAAGAGAGCTGAAGTAACATTGGACTGTATCTGGCCCAATGATAAATCCACACACAAACCTATCAAGGTACGTATGATGCACAGTTTATATTAAATCAACGAGTAACAGGATTTGGAAATGTTTCCCACTTAAAGATGTGTTATACTTTACTGGTTCTACTACTGTATATTCTATACATCTTGTTTTGATCACATTCAAAAATGCTGTTTTGTTTGAGTATTCTGGTGAACCGGTGGGATTGCTGATATTGAATGCAACAAAAACCCTGGATTTATTCCTTAATTTCGTGACCTTTAATTATCATCTTTTTTGTTGCTCACTCATGTTGATGTTGACATTGAAAATAATGTTACTTAGGCTAGACATCACATAAATCATTAAATCAAACATAAATGATCTTATCCTTCAGGATCCAAGTAGACTCAGCCTCATGAATTATACAAACAAGATCGAGCAGGCATCTGCAAAGATTGGAGCGAAATTCATCGACTACAGACCCTCGACAGGGTCCTGGGTGTTTGAGGTGAAACATTTCTCCAAATATGGACTTGTGGATGACTCTGACGAGGAGGGTGATCAGATTGAGAGAGACCCTAAGAAATTGAAGCAGTTAAAAGATGCCCAGGAGAAGAGTCTAATAATTCAGGTATCTACAGACTTTTCTTTACCTAAATATTGAAACTTTTTTTTTGTATTCCATTCTTCCCAGTTTCAGTTTTAAACATTTGACACATAATTTTCAGATATTTAACAGGAACTTGATTTGTAAATTGAGTTTTTTGTTTGTATTGCTTAGAAGCAGCAGATCAGATTTCAACAACTGCAGAGGGAGAAGCAACAGCAAATGGAACAGCAACAAGCGCAGCAGCAGCAACAGTTCGTTGGCATGGATGATATCGATACTGACAGCAATGTAGCCCCCCAGCTTGTTCCTGCGTCACAGAAACAACCAATCAGAGAGGAGGATGATACTGACATGGCAGACATTACCCAAGAACCTTTCCCAGTGGAAGAGGAATATTCTGGGGAGGAAGAAGAAATGATGGAACAGCCTGTATCTTCTGCGTCACAGCGTCTAGCTACCAATTTAGGTGTTAACGCTAAAAATGTTCAAGTGATGAAGGCCTCCTTTTTTGGTGATGAAGAAGAAGCATATGGTACAGGTAAGATTCTGTATTTTTGGATGTCATTTTTGAAGAAATCCGAGATACTCCAGAACTCACAAACTTCCATAGCCTTGGTTCAACTATCTACAAGAACTCGCTAAACTGCAGATATATGTATGTGTTGTAAGCATACTCGTTGTAAAAATATTCAGTATGTACATGTACTTTATATTAAGTGCTGTATACCAAATTATTTAATAAATAGATTAAGGATATTGGTGTTATTTTTCAGCGCTACCTAAAGCTCATGCCAAGCCCACAAACCTAAGTCAGTCATCTTTTCTGCCTCAGAATGAGGCTAGCAGACGGCAAGGTCTATTCTCAAGTGCTCTGAAGTCTCAGTTCGCATCTCCTGTTAGAGCAAGCCCCAAGCCGAGACCTTATCTGAACACATCTATAGCACAAGATGATGCACAGTCTCCCGCTTTAAGTAAGTTTGAAAATATGTAAGAATATTTTGAAATGCAACTGTGATACATTTCTTTAAAGTATTATAATTAAAAAGTGAAATGCAGGAACAAAATCAAAGTTAGATTCTGTTAGGGGCGTAACAAAATTTTAAGAAATGTTCTCATTTCACAATATCTGTTGAGGATAGTTTTTCTTGTACCAGGATAGTTAGTAAAGATATTGTACTTACAATAAAATATTACAACTTTTATCATGGCTTGAAGTTAAATCAATATATTGAACTGAACAACGAAGGAATGTACATATTTACAATGTGTATAATTTATCTTTACAGGTCTATTCTCCCCCAGGATCATTCCACCCCCAAGAAGTACTATTCAACCAGTGAAAGAACACCCCATTTTACCCTCGGGGATGCCAGACCAGGCACCCAGAAAAATAGTGGGTTCAAGGATTCAACGTTCCTTGCCTGATTTTGCCGATTCATTGCTTTATAACAATCAGAGTATGGTAATGGATGCCGGTTGTTTTATGGGACGGTCATTCCGTCTTGGTTGGGGACCATCATGGCATATGGCTAACTCCGGGGATCCAGTACTAGGAGAGAAACAAGGTTGGTTTGGTATTTTATGTAGCTGGCCCCTGGGAATATAATATATGCACATTGAACAAGCAGGCCAGTTATATTTTTGTCTCGGAGGTTCAGTTTCAGGGTTACTATTCCCCGATAAACTGTACCAAATTTTGTAAATTATTTGTATTAGCAAAGAAAAAAAAGTATCCAAATAAACTTTAAATAATTGTTTTTTAACTGTGAATAGAAATAATTATGATTTTGCAACTTAACTGCCACTAATCAGTGCCAATAATGCATAATATCTTGGCCTTAGTAGTGTATTGTTTTAATGTATTGATCAGAAAGATAATAAATAACCTGTTAACCTAATTTGTGCTGTACATAAAGATAAATAAAATTCTCAAACTTTTTTGCATGTTGTTTCAGATTCATCCCGGGATGGTCCATTCTCTATACTGCCAGGTACAAAGTTGACCAGTCAATCTAGAATAGGAGGTTCTCTCTTCAGAGTAAATGTTGAACGCTTGGAAGTAGCGTCCTATCTACAGCGCAATGACAGTGCAATAGTGGTAAGTGGTCATTTTTTAATAGAGATATTTATACGCCATGTTCAATTGAGTAAAGCAGGGACCTGTTTCTTGAAATCATCGAATATTACGATTTCACCATACGTAAACTGGTCATCAAACATTACGATTTCTGTATTTCATTTCTTTTACGCTGTAAGTAAAATTAAAAAAATCTGTTGTTGGTTTCCAGGGCAACTGTCAGTCATCTCTAGAGATTCAGCTGACACATTCAGAGATCTCCACTGATGAGACTTGTCCTTTGTTTAAACCTAAGATAGGAGTAGAGGCTCTCCATGACTACAATAACCTAGCAACAGATGCCCTACACAAGCTAGGTGAGTATTCTAATATGGCAGACGTCAAATAGTGCATTATGGGAAACATTCGGTTCCATTCGGTTTCCCGATATTGGACCGAATTTCCGTATAGATACTTCGGTTCAGGACACAGGACAGAAAGGGTTAATATCGGTTTGGTATCGGTACATAAATTCCTTCCCTAAAATGCATAAAAACGTGTCTAAATAGCAAGGAACACCTCCGATTTTGTTCTTAAAAATTACATATTTTCACTAACTTCGTACCTAGATTACACTTCTTTACATTGAAAAGTGTTATTATGGACCCATGATTTCAGGTAGATGGTAATGCTTGTTCGTAAATTTCTTCATCGTCGTTCGCAAATCGAGTGCATTATCAGTATGCCAGATGTAGCAAAGAAATTGAAAAATCGAGCCGGCATCTAAGTCGAAAAAATTGGCAGTTTGGAAGTATTTTGGGACCCCGATATCACAAGGTAAACGAATAGGTGATAGTACACCGTGCAGACTATGTGAAATGCCAATCACATTTGCGGCAGATGCGTCATATTAGATTTTAATTAACGTTTTTTATTTATTTCTGAATATGATTTTGAAAAGTGAAACTGCCATCGTCAGACATTGCATCATTTTTCTTTAATGCTCTGTCCCTTCCCGAAAGTACCGTGTGCCGAGACCATTTGTACCATTCCTTACTGTACCAAAATTTTTTTGGACCGTGACATCTCTAATAAATAACCACAATATTTATCCATTTGATGTGTCTGTTTTTGAATATTGATTGGATGGCAATTCAGTTCAAAAGTTGTTCAAAATAGGATCATGAATAAAACACTTTTTCCTGATTCACAGTGCAGGTTTGGCTACAGAATTATTTTTGAATAAGCTAAATCAATCTATTTTCTTCCAGACTCGCATCCTGATCAGGCTACTGCTAAACATTCTAAACTGGTCTGGGGCCTTTGTAAGGCTTTGTGGGGGTCTTTGCCAGGGGAAGATGATGAAGACCCCATAGATCAGAGGAGTTATGCGCACCATATGTCTAGGAGAGAGGAATTGTCTCGCTGGTTAGCTGCAGCAGCCGGTGAACAAGTGAAGCAAGACACTCAGCAAGCACGCTTTAAAGTAAAGTATTTTCAGATCATACACAGCTAGTTTCAGAGAATACGAACAAATGTTATATAATTTTACAGAATACACACACTCATTAATTTTAAAAAAATTTTTTTATTGTATACATGATTGCTTTATTTCATTATTTCAGAGGATACATGAATTCATTGTCATATAATATAGTTTTACACAATACACACACATCTGTACGAGTTTTTATTATAGACATGGATGTTTCATTTTCATAGAATACATGACTGTTATCATTTGAAATATTTTACAGAATACAGTTCAAACAAATGTTTTTATGGATGCATGAATGTTTTCCAGGGATCAGACCATCTTCCTGTTGTATTCAGTCACTTGCTGGCAAGGCAGATACCCGAGGCTTGCGCTCTTGCCCAGGAGTCAGGTGATCACAGGCTAGCCCTCTTATTGGCCCAGAGTATGGGACCTGAAATTCCACGTCAAATAATCGAGAAACAATTGTGCAACTGGCGTGAAATTAAGGTGAGTAATACATAACTCATGGAGGAACTCATGGAGTCATTTGAGTAGGTGCACATATTTTGAGTTATTACATAAAATTAAGTCATTGTGAGTAAAAACAAAAGTCATATTGAGTTGAGTGATCACACAAATCATTTTGAGTAAATAAACAAATCATCAAGCATAACAACAAAAGTCGCATTGTAGTCTATTGTAATATAATCCACAAGTAATTCTAAGCTTTAATTAAATTTTAATTTATTTAATAAACATTCACCCAATGATTGGATATTAGATGGAAAACAAACTTAGGGCTTTCATCCCAGAAAAATTAAAGTTACATTTTCTGTTTCCTCTTACAAAACCCGATTACATGTTAAAATGATTATTCCATGTGTTTACAGGCAGATGAGCACATATCAGAGGACAGGCTGAAGATCTACTCTTTGTTGTCTGGCCACTTAGTGTGGCACTCCACAAAGGGCACAGTGAATGTCTGCAATGAGACTGATTGGAAGAGATGTCTTGCTATGCATCTTTGGTGAGTTTTCTATATATATTTTTTTTTGAGAGAGATGTCTTGCTATGCAGCTATGGTGAGTTAGATGTGCATTCTATTTTGTCTGGTACATTGTATCTAAGGAACAGAGCATTTAATTAGTAAATAAAGTGTTTGAATATCTTTTTCACAACAACTCTCAGCACAGGATACATGTATATGTTTTCTAATAATACTCCAGGTACCAATGTAGCCCTACTGCTGGCATCGCAGATGCCCTGCGTCAATATGACGAAGCATACCAAGGTCAGACTGCACTCGGAGACTATGCCGCACCTCCCTTACCCCCCTACCTGGAGGACTCTGATGCCATGGAAATAGAGAATGATAAAGATCGAGAAATCAGGGACACATGCTACCATCTATTGAAGCTCTACAGTGACAGATCTCACCCCCTTGAGGAGATCTTGGCACCCACAACTTCAACCCCCAATCAACTTGATTACAGGCTCAGGTATGATTCATGATTTAATTATAATTATTTATTAACTCTTTTTACCTGCTAGTCTTGCTACAGGTCTCTGGACCACCCCCTTTATCTACTACTTCACCACCAGTGGGGAGTTGGGTGATGGTGGTGGGGGGGGTCATAAGGGCTTGTAGCCAGACTAATTACCAGCTAGGAGTGCTCAGTACTAGTATATGAATTCGTATCAAATATAAATCAAAATTTATTTCATCTATAGTCTCTGTTTGAAGTTTTTGAAAATGAGTGATCAAGTTAACTTTTGTTTGTTATGTAATAATATGTGATAAATTCTAATGCTCCAAACACATGTAATACTTTTTGTACTTTCATTGTATTTCATTAACACCTGTAAATATGAGAAATATATATATAGAATGTATTTTAGCTGGCATCTCCACCAAGTGTTACGTTCACTTGAGTATAGTCATGTGTCTGACTACCATGCTAGCTCTCTATCTGCCAACTTTGCTGCACAGTTGGAGTCACTGGGTCTCTGGCAATGGGCAATCTTTGTCCTGCTGCACATCAAACATGAAAAAAGGTATGCATTGATTGATAAAGTCTTGAAGTCTGTCTTGTTTTGTTAAGCTTATGATTTATCTCTATTTCTCGAGTTGTAATATGGAGGTATGGATTGGCCATCATCATATTAATTGGAATTTTGAATTATTGTTGATGGCATGAAAATTAACTGGATTCTTTTTTCTGATGAGTGATATTATTTATATGTGATGTTAGAATTCAAGTCTGGATTTTAAAATACCTCTATTGATTAGTTATTCTAAAGTCTATCTTTAATTATCATTTATTTTAAAACACAAATAATCCTATTTACTTTTGGAAATTGCTTTTCATTGGTTTAACATTACAAAATATCCTTAACATTCTAATTAATAATTGTGAGAACAAAAATGAAAACAAATTTTTTGTTTTTAGTCGGGCAAGTGCCGTGAAGGATTGTTTACGACGTCACATCACATTGTCTAAATCTGAAGAGGATCTTGAAACAGAGGAGTTCATTACCCAGAAGCTGCACATTCCTATGACTTGGATACATGAGGCCAAGGCCCAGAAGGCACGCAGTGAGGGACGTTTCCATGATGAGGCTTGGCACCTATTGAAGGCAGGATTTTGGAACGATAGTCATAGAATCATACTAAGGCACATAGCGTCCGAGGCAATCATAAATGGTAGGTACTATTAAGAAACTAGTTTTGAGGGATGCATAAGATCTAGGGGGTGTAATGGGCATTAAAAAAATCATCTCCTTGGTTGGAGAAGCTGAATGACAATTTTGGAAAGATCTTGGAATTTGAATTAAAAATATTTTCAAACTTCATTTTACATGAAATAGAAGGTAAGGAGTTAAATAAAAAGATTATTTTGTTTTTCGGAGCTTTTTATATTTTGACACCATCCCTCAAAGAAACTCTGAGAAAATTGATTACAAAATACCAGAAATTTGTGGAAATTCAATTGTGGGCCATTTCTTTAATGTTGTATGATCTTCCAGAGAACGAAGACTATTTGAGGCAATTCCTCGATGAGATAGCCAGGCCAGAGAGAAGTTCAACAGTTCACGACTGGAACATTGGAGGAAGAGTATTCCTTGACTACATCAATCTTAATGCTGCCTTGGAAGAGCTGAAAAAGGTAAATTTAGATCAAACTCAGTCTGGATGATTTCTTATTTGCACCATGGGTTGTGATTTTTCAGTAAAGTTATTTTTCAATGTATTTTGTGCTTGGATTTTAGAGCCTATGCCTTATAAAAATATTCTTGAACTGTGCCTAACACTGCCTATATAATGAGGATGAGTTATGTATCTAAAGCTTTGACCCTTGAGTTAAAGTCCCCAAGTGACACCATTGTGTAATCGTGTAGATAACCTGGCGTGTCACAATTACAGTAAATACAGTCTGTATAAATTGTGTTCTATATTCTAGGGTCAACCAAGTGCTTATGACATAGAACGACTCCAACCAGAAGTAACATCATTGTGCAATCGTGTTGGTAACCTGGCGTGTCACAATGCACATGACCGACTCTGCCAATCAGAAATGGCCAAGAAGACAGCTGTGTTACTAAGGACACTGCTTACACTACAAGGGGTCGCAGTGAAAGGCACAAACATTGTACCAACCAAGTGAGAATAATATTAAATCATTTTTACCAGAATAAGGATCCAGGGGCCCATTAACAGACATGTAAAGTTGCAAATTCGTAAATCAATTGTTGTAACCATGTATATAATGACGTCACAGTTAGAGAACAGTTTCTGTTAATGGTCCCCAGGTGAATATTTCAATGAAGTCTCAAAGTGTAATTATAAATCTTTGTAAAGTTTGCTGTCACAGGGCAGTGTGCTATCATACAGTAAAACCTGTCTCTCTGGTACCAGTCAAAAGTGTTTGGATCAGCGGGTGTTCACAAGGTTTTCAAGGTTTTCAAGGTTTTATAAACATGCGAGTCAATGGGTCTCATTTTTCTCATCAGAAATTAGCTAAATGAGGACTGATAATGGCAAAGTGCACTCTTGGATTTAAACTATTAAAATAAGATTGCTCACAATTATGTTTCTGTTTTAGGCTTTTGGCTCCTCAAGTTGGTAAGCTACCAATGCCTGAAGATTATGCACTCCAAGAGCTCAGAGAACTGACTCGCAGTTACATGCTAGAGCTGACAGCATAGACCTGGCATCATAAAGAGCTGACAGCATAGATCTGACATAGCTGACAGCATAGACCTAACATCATCAAGAGCTGACAGCATAGACCTGACATCACAAAGAGCTGACATCACAAATATGTCATTCTTGTGTTGGTACAAATTAAAGTTTATTTTGATATGGACCCTTAAACTCTGATGGATTATTTCTGAAGTAAGAACATTCACAATGGATCTCTCAATTAATAATAATGTTGTAGTTGAACATATCAGATGTAATTCTGACATCACAGAACAGTGTAATATCACAAGAAAGTGTGCTGTCAACAGAACAGTGTGCTGTTACACATTATGTGTGCTGTCGCAGGGACATTTCCAACATTACAGTGTGATGTTGCAGAACAATGCTGTCATAGAACAGTGTGCTGTCACAAGAAGATGTGCTGTCCCTGGACAGTGTGCTATCTGTCTAGAGAAGTGTGCTGTCTCCAGAGAATCGCTGGTATCCCCGCGATTGTGATGTCCCGGAGCAGTGTGCTATCACAAAAAAGTGTGTTGTTAAAGTGTGCAGACACAGGGCAGTGTGCTGTGCTATCATACCTGAAAAGTGTGCTGGCACAGAGCAGTACTGTTTAAAAACTACCAGACAACAAATGAATGTCAAAATGAGTTGAAAGTATTATAATATCATTTGATGTAAAAATAAGCAATGAAAAGACAACAGTTAAGTCTTTATGCAATGTGATACGTACATGCATCGACTTATCTTTTTATTATGTAACTAATTTTCTTCAGTAAATGAGCTGTATTATATTTCACAGTTATTTTTTAAAAAAGGTGAGATTGTGTAAGCTAGATATGATAATGTAATAACTTGCTTGTAAATTGATGACAGGGATTGTGACTTGTTAATTTTTTTTAATGATAGCGATCATGGTGTGCTAATTATCCCATCGAACAATGTTCGGGGATATAGAGAACGGCTCCATCAGTATGTACTTCTCCCCGTCTGTTCATCCATCTGAATTTTGTTAAAGTGGCAGCCATGGCTGTTCAGAGCTAATTATGATAACGATGATAGTGTGATTTTTGACCAACATGACAATGTTAATAGTAGTATAGGAAAGACATGAGAAGAAAATACAATACAATTTTTCTCATTATATGACTTCAGGCAATATGGCACTTACATACATCAGCTAATTTCCATTTATTATGAAACTAATTCTCTTCAGGGAATGAGCTGTACTATATTTCCCAGTTGTTTTGTATAGTTGATATCAGAAGGTGACATTGAGTAAGCTAGATGTTTACTTAACAATGTCCTTTAACTTGCTCATATATTGATGACAGGATCATGACCTATTAGTTATAATGATAGCGATCATGATGTGCTAATTGCAATATCGATAATGGTGTGCTAATTGTGATAGCCATCATGATGTGCTAATTATGATCGTGATAATGGTGTGCTTATAGACCAATGCAGTGAATCATACCATCTCAGCTATTGGTATTGAGGTCATTTTTACGTATTCAGGGCAGAAATAGGATCAACTTATTTTTGCTAATTTTTTAAAACTTTCTCAATTGAGTTATAGAATATTACTGTCTGCGAATTATGACATTATAAATATAGCCAAGATTACCATCGTCAATGTAGCCAAGATCTCTTAATTTCCTTAATTTCTTTGGCTCACCAAAACAGGTCAGGATTTATCGGAAAGGTAAAAGGCACATTTGCAGTTCTCACCTAATCAACATTGATGCCACAACATGTACTTGTTAAAGTCTCATAGACTGGCGAGAATATTTCGTGACTATGCGAGCAGGTCACCAGAACTGAATCAAGAATCTTGATCAAAATACATGTATTTAATCATAAGGACAAGTGCCTCAGTATTCTAGTATTGAATTCAGAATTATTCAATGATGAAGGCTGAGGGATTTGACCTTTGGTGTTTTTACATAACATAGAGTGTAAAAAGGCAAATAAGACACAATTATGTCATAGGTTTCCCTGCCTGTGAGCATAAAACATTAGGTAACTGAATTACATATTGTAAATTTTCTTCTTCTTCACACATGCAGTCGCAACGTGATCTGCTATTACAAAGTGGAAGAAATTGAGGAAAGGATTGGCTAGACTTATCACTTGTGAAATTGTGAAATTGTATCTTAATAATCTTATTATAACAAAGATGCAAAGAGCAAGTAGCACACTTGGGTCCTCTACAGTCAATGTTTTTATAAGAATTTCTAAATATTATTCTTAATAAAAACAAGTGACAAGGCTATTAGACTGAGTTTACAGTGTATAATGTGATGTCAAAATGATCTAGACATTTTGGTAAACTTTCTATTTGATTGAAATTAATCCTTATTCAGTAATTTCCATCAATTTTTAACTCACATATAAAGTTAGAATGGCTAAACAGAAATCATATTACTGAATAATTTGCAGGATATATGATTTAATGGAATTCATGAATGTTAATGCCATTAAGAGCTTTATGTACTTCTTAATAAGTTCTTGTCACGCTATTGTAAAACGAAAGCACAGACTGACCTAGTATATAAATAAATGTATATTCCAAAAACTGTAAAAAGATATTGTATAAAACGCATTTCTTTTCTTTTTGTGATTTCCAAGATGTACAGTAATAATATATCTTTAATTTGCTTTTTCGGCATATTGTAAAGACTGGTTAGTATCCACATGTACTATAGGCTTGCCTTGCATTGTAGCCATCGCATCGCCCTTATTCATTCAATACTTCCTGTTGACATAATTAAGTCAATGGACCAGATGCTGTAAAAACATTGAATTCAATTTCACGGGAACAATTTTCACTCAAGTTTTTTAATTAATGCAATTCGTGCCAGGAAGTTTTAAATTTGCAGCTTATGCTCATATGAATATACACAAATTCAAAATGTCTGTGAATTTAATGTTTTACAGTATTATCAAAGGATGCCCATATAAGGTAAAATAATGCCACACTCCAAAGAATACACATAAGCCATCCAATTATTGTAGTAAACCTACTCTGTGTAATATACACATGTACATGCACAATCGTATATTGTTAGTACACATTCATGTTCTTGTATATAAAGATGTCAAAGTTAGTCCAATGAAAAAAACTTGATTTATTAAAACATTAATAGTTTACTGACGTCTCTCATATCTAGAATAATCATGGCGACCATTTTGATAATTATTTCATTCTGTCAATTCTTATTGCCATTTATCCCATCAGTTAAACATGATACGAGTCTTGATGATAACTACTGATTAATTTTACTGGGGAACTCAGCATATAATGTTCCTCATTAAAACCCTACTTATTCTAGGATAAAGGTATCATCCACTTATAGCACTAGAAGGTTGTGCCTGTTTATTATAAAGGTCCAGTCATCTTTGCTCAGACTGATACAGTTAACAATATAACTGGAAGCAAGATTCCTCTTGCAACGAAGAATCTGATGGAAGATATTCAGAAGGTTATTATGGACCAATAGCTATGTTATTTTCCTCAAATAACAAATAACCTTGGATCAGTGACCTAATATTGACAAGTTGAACAACCCTTGTTTAGCCCAGGCCTTTAATCATGACTGGTGATATCTAAAGAAGGATGAAAAATAAAAAGTTTTCCATTAAAGGGTTAATTACCTGTAATTCTCATCCTAATTGCATAAATCATCCTAACTGAATTGCCTAAATGAAATTTAACCCTTTTTTTGCTCACATGGTGAGCTTTTGCAATCACTCACTTGTCCGTCTGTCTGTCTGTCTGTCCGTCCGTCCGTCTGTCCGTCCGTCAACAATAGTGGCACGTTTTAAAACCTCTGTCGATAGGATTCCTGTTTTAAGTTATTTCTGTTCAACATCAATACAGAAAACCCCCCTATGACTCCTGGTTCAAAAGCTCGCCTATTTTCAAAATGGCCGTCACTTTTGTCTCGCGAAATTCACTTTTAGCCCATTTCCTAGCTAACCTCTGTCGATAGGATTCCTGTTTTAAGTTATTTCTGTTCAACATCAATACAGAAACCCCCCCTATGACCCCTGGTTCAAAAGCTCGCCTATTTTCAAAATGGCCGTCACTTTTGTCTCGCGGAATTCACTTTTGGCCCATTTCCTAGCTTTTCAAATAATTTCAGGTGTCCTACATTGTAAAAATCCATGTCAATGTAAAGATTAGATATATGAAATAATTTTGTTACAAAAAATCAGCGAAAAATTGTATCCATTTTTTTATTTTCAGCCATTTTAGTTAACATTGATTTGTCTATCTGACTCGCGAAATCCACTTTCTGTCAATAACAGTGGCACGTTTTAAAACCTCTGTCGATAGGATTCCTGTTTTAAGTTATTTCTGTTCAACATGAATTCAGAAAACTCCCCTATGACTCCTGGTTCAAAAGCTCGCCTATTTTCAAAATGGCCGCCATTTTTGTCTCGCGAAATTCACTTTTGACCCATTTCCTAGCTTTACAAATAATTTCAAGTGTCCTACATTGTAGAAATCCATTGCAAAGTAAAGAGTAAATGTATGAAATAATTTTGTTACGAAAAATCAGCGAAAAATTATATCCATTTATTTATTTTCAGCCATTTTAGTTAACATTGATTTGTCTATCTGACTCGCAAAATTCACTTTTGGACCATTTACCTTAAACCCTCTGTCGATAGGATTCCCATTTTAAGTTAATTTTGTTCAACATCAATACAAAAAACTCTCCTATGACTCTTGGTTCAAAAGCTCGCCTATTTTCAAAATGGTTGCCATTCTTGTTTCGCGAAATTCACTTTTTGCCCATTTCCTAGCTTTACAAATAATTTCAGCTGTCCTGCATTGTAAAAAGCCGTCACTGTAAAAGGTAGTTGTATGAAATAATTTTGTTACAAAAAATCGGCAAAATATTATATCCGTTTTTTTTTTTTTCAGTCATTTTAGTTAACATTTATTTGTCCATCTGTCTCGCGAAATCCTCTTTTGGACCATTTGCTTAAAACCTCTGTCGATAGGATTCCAGTTTCAAGTTATTTTTGTTCAACATCAATACAAAAAACTCCCCTATGACTCCTGGTTCAAAAACTTGCCTGATTTCAAAATGGTCGCCATTTTTGTCTCGCGAAATTCAATTTTGGCCTATTTCCTAGCTTTACAAATAATTTCAGGTGTCTTGCATTGCAAAAAGAGTAGATCACTGTAAAGAGAAGTGGTATGAAATAATTTTGTTACAAATTATTGGCAAAAAATTATATCCGTTTTTTTCTGTCACCATGTGAGCCCAGTACCCATGGTACTAATTTTTTCAGTATAGAAGATTCATGTTCGTTCTTCATGAATAATTCACTCCCTGAAATAATTAATTATTACTTTTGAAATTAAAATGCATTTGCTATTTATAAGAGATGTCAATGGAACTATGAAACTTTCGAGTGATACATAACAAAATGTATGTACATAGAATATATTTATTTTTATATAGTTGCACAAATGTTGTCGACAGAATATTGGACCAACTTTGAAAATTGCATAAAAAATGATGTCATAATAGATATTGTAAATATTTGGTGAGATATCATCAACCCCACCCAAAAAATTGTTGTGGTTGGTTGATTGTATTCAATATAAATGTACCTTTTTATGCTGTACTTTTTCTCTGGAAATTTAAGTTTATTTGTATCAAATAATAGAGAGATTTCGCAACTCACTTATAGCATGTTTATTATTCCCATATAACTTATGAAGCGTTTGATTACATCAACATTTATTGCGCAGCTCTATACATCCAAATGTGATATTCTTAAAAATCGTTGTCTATACGTGAGAATATCACACGTATGGACGTATAGAGCTGTGCAATAATCAAACGGTTCATAAGTTATATGTTAAACAGGAATAAAAAACATACTATAAGTGAGTTGCATTTTGAAATCTCTCTTACAATATAATGTAGCGTACCTGTATGAATCTTACTATTTTTAAATGGAAAGTAAAATCAATGTATGGTAAAATAAAGTAATAGGTATATTATCATCCCTGTATGACTGTGTTCTGTCTTTGTTTGAATGGATGCAATGGGAGATTATTCACAATTCAAAAATGTCGGGTATCTTAAAATCATTATCCCACCGGGTTCATTATTAGTGATATATTGAAGCCCTCCATCCGCCCCATTCTGTCCATCCATCCGGAATATAACTCAAGTACTAATAGACATGTTTTTCATATTTGATGGAAAAATGTAAGTTGGTAAAAAAATTTTCAAGACAAGATGCTGCATTTTGAAAATAGAGGGAACATGATTTCTCTGAGACACAAAACTGCAAATTTCTCTTTAATGGACATGAATGTATGAGATGTTAGAAGAATTAAATCATCTTTACACATTGATGGTACAGAACGAGCGTGTCCAAATGTCGTGGAAAAGATTACTTCAATTTTGGTATCCGGTCTTTTCCTTTAAAAAGCTTTTACCAGAATAACTGAAAATGATCTCAGCTAAGTATTGTGTAGGCAAAAGGCTACACCAGCCTACAAGCCGGTGCTTATCTTATCTAATAATAAAAATTACTTTTACGTCAATAGTCATTATTCTCCTTATTATTTTGATTATTGCATCACAATACAAAAGCTTATCATATTAAAGATGCGTGAGATATTATATGACACAGTGATGTGTTGGTAGAGAGAGGTAATAAACATAGTTTCATAGCTGCATGATCACAGAAGCATAATAGCTCAGAACAAGAGTATTATGTAACCACAGTTGAGGCTTTCTCATATTTCATAGGAAAACTTATAATCATCAGCATACATAAGTAACTCATATATTCTTCACAAGAAAAATTGGAAAGTAATCGGAGAGGTACATTTTGTCACAAATGAAGATGGGAGCACATTAGGAAAACTTCGGCAGAAGGTATGGAAATTATAATAACCACTTTTTGCAAGTATTATAATTTATACAAAAAGAAAGAAAAGGAAAATAATTAAGGGGCATTTTTGTCACACGGGAAAAGCTGGGACCATAACAATCAAAAGACAAAAGATGAAAATGCAAAATATGTACCCTCTGTAAAGAAAAAAAGGTGCATTGTCCTTTATCAGTCATAACATTTTCAGAATTTTGTATAATATTACTAAACTTTTGGAGGCAAATGGCATAAATATTGTGAATAACTGGTAAAAAGCTTGAATAATTAGATAAAAAAGTTAGAAATGGTTCAAAACATTGTCTCACAAACTCACTGATGTGACTTTTTCCTTTATATTACGTCATAAATTACACTTTGCTATTTACAGTGTGATACATTTTCCTCCAAGCCTAGGGCATCATTCTCTATATGTTATATTCTTCATACCATTGCAAAGCCCATTTAAAACTGGTCATAATTGTCAAGTTTGAAATGAACATGAACACACTGACAGAAAATTATGGAGGTGCGAAAACCTGTCTAAAACATGATTTTTAGACAGTTGTACGCCTTAAATAGAAGTGAAATTAGGGATAGGATGTAACCATTTTGCTCAATAAACACATTTATATATCACATCTGACATAAATTTTGGTATGCATAAGCTAAGTATAAGATGCATAACATATTAATGAGTCATTGAGAAAGATCATTAAGGATTATAATTATCTTACAATTTCAAGTTTATTGTAATATGTCACCCCTACCCCTAATTTTGAACTGAGAAAAGACCTCTGAATCTGAAGGATATTACCTCAAATTCTATCACAAAATGGTTCTAATTAATCAGACTTTCTATATCTGGTATTTTTCACAAAGGTTTATTGGATTGAAGACTTTTTAAAATGGTGTATTCCTCTAAATGTAATTAACAATTTAGCTTATATGTCTCAGAAGATCCCCTTCTTGAGCACATTGCTGGGCATAGGATTTCTCAAAGGTACCGTCCCAACAGACCCCCTTTTCTGCCCCCATCAGAATCAAACTTGTTTTGCATCTAGAGTATCCTCACAAATGTACTTCACAATAATATTTCAAGATTAGGTCAAATAATGAGCCAATGAGGTCACTGGGAGCAAAAAGGTCAAGTTGGTAAAATCAATGTAATGATCAAGTAATTTCCTTAAACATACCTAAATAAAATAAAATCATGAGTTAAACCTGACTTTACATTGATTTCCATGGGGAATAGGTATCTTAATAGCCTGTGAGTAGTATTTGCACCATACTTAACACAAGGAAGATGTTTGACAATTTTTTAGTCAAAATACATGTACTGGTATACTGTCAAAATATTGTATTGTAATATATTTGATATTAATATTCTAAAGCTTTGATACGACATAGTATTTATTGAATTTCTATGGGTACCAATTTGGTGCAGTTGCTGAAAGTTGAATGTACAGTTTCTAAAGGATCGGGTCAAAATATCGATGTCCGTCAAAAAACTTAATTAATTTCATTAGGTCTAAACCCCCCCCCCCCCACTTTGTAACCAAATATCTTGAAAATTGAAATTCCCAGGAAAACGAAAATCGATGCCCGTCACCTAATGAAATCAGTGTTTGGCCCCCTCCCCCCTAATGAAATTAATTACGTTTTTCGATTGACATCGATATTTTGACCCAACACCTAACAGATATTTTAGTTATTTTAAAACTATTCCATGTCAGTATCACGTATCACTATCCTCGGATAAAGGCAAGTCTTTGGCATCATGTAGAGAGTCACATAGGAAATCTTTTGTAAATTGATAGCCTTCATGTCTGACAACGTTTTGATAGGTGGCATTGTATTCAAAATGGTAGCAGAAATGTTTAAGAAAAAATACCAAAGAAGTCCAAAAAAACTATATGAGCTGTGTTTTCCACCACTTTTTTTGCAACTGAAAATGTTGCCTAATTCAATTTTGGATCTGTACAGCTAAAAATAGAAGTGGTGGAGAACACAGCTCACAGTGAATTTGTCCATTCAATGAACCATGGTTCATGTTCAATTGATACGATAAATAATGGAGGTCTGGATTATAATCCCTTTTTATGCCACATATCATGCATCATCACACATAAATCTGCTGGATATATTTCAGTAGGGATTACATTATGCATAATTCACTTAAATACTACTTGAAAATTGTTTTTGAGGCTTTATTTACTACATTTTATAAAGAACATTAAATTTCACAAATAATCTGCTATGATGGGAGTGGTTACAGAAATGGGCCAGAAATCATATTTTTTACAAAAATATTCACTATATTTTTCAAGAAAATGAAAATACACATATCAGTCAATAATATCTTGAAGTTTTTTTTTCAAAAATCTATAATTGCATTTTCATGAAATTTTCTAAGTCCTTAAAGGGATCCCAATAAGACTGTACCTTTATGACTTCAATATATGGTAAAAAGTTACACTCACGATTTTGGGAGTTGTTATATTCAATCCTTTCTAACTTTTTACCATATTTTCAAGATCCTTCTCCATTTGGTCAAAGTATACATACATTATACCTCTGGAAGTTTGGTATGATAATAACAAAAAGTAAAAAAGATATGATTGGTAAAGGACCTTGCACCCCTTTTTTCTTAACAGAGGATAAGTGATTCAATAGAGATATTCAAAATGGCTGAATTGCTACGACACCATTTTCCGAAATACATGTAACACTGACATATTGGAAAATGATGTACTTTGAATTTTAGTGAAACAGTGAAAGTGATACTAGGAACAGTTATCAGCAGGTCCTCAGCTACAGACTTAGAACAACTAGCAACCACAATGTTGCTTTTTCGAGGATCATCCCTTCTCTACTACTGTATCATCATATCCTTGGCTAAAACTTGTGCAAGGATCAATCCAGGTTCTCCAAGAAAGCAGGCCAAAAGTTTTCCAGAACATGCCTCTAGTAGTTCCTCTCCAATAGATGGAGTCGAGGGTGAGGGAATAAACTGCCGGGTGCCAGTTACGCTTAAATGTCAATATGGGGAAAGATCTTGTCAAAATAGATGTGGAAAAAGTGTCAAAGGGGAACAAATAAAACAGTTCTATTGTCAATGCGACAATTTGTGTTCTCATTTTCAAGATTGTTGCTATGACTACAAGGAATTGTGCCTATGTGATTCCAAACCACATTCAGAAAATGAAAAGGCAAAAAATATTTCTGACGCAGTTCCATTAAATACCACAGTTGATGGTTGCGTTACGCTTAACACCACCGCAGCAAAGGGCGATGTTACACTTAATAGTACAAGGGGTGACGGTGCAACACTAAACACGGTAGGACTGAAAAATGAACAATCAGCAAATGATAACATGAGGCATATTTATGCTTGTGTTCCCGTGAGGGGATATATACGAGTGTACCTCATAGATGTATGCCACATTGACTTTGAAGGAACTGCGTTAGAAAGAAAATGTCAGACATATGAAGAAAATGAGCTACTCGGTGCTGCCCCAAGTTACGATCCAATGACGCAGCAACATTATAAAAATATAAACTGCGCAAAGTGTAACTACGTTCAGAAATCTGTTATGTGGAAAATGGAGATAAAATGTGATGTTGATATCATAAATATCAAGTTTCTTGAGTCATTCGATTTCAACACAGTCTTTGGTTTAATCAAAGACCGGCTATGCCACCTTGAATATTTCGAACCCAATGGCAGTGCTCTCGCGAGGCCATGCATTGATACCTTATATGGAAATGGAGGAACATGTATGAATGAAACAGTTGGTGAGAAATGCGTCACATATGGAATGAATCCTGTTGCTGATTTTTTCGAAATATATCACAATGTTTATTGCTGGCAGAGTAGGCAATGGCATGATTATCCAATACTTATGGCGCCTGAAAGCCACCTATGTTACATGGACTTTCCCATCAAGAATAAGAATGACCTAACAATTCTACGATTCTATTCATTTGAGATATTAATAGATGTTCTCAGTGATAATGATAGGAATATCATAGTTAATCCATTGGATCCAAATCTGGGGGAGGGAGTGTGGAAATGTGATGGAAGAGCTGGATGCTCAATAAAAAGATGCCCCATAGGGTTTCAAAAAGTTGCAAATAAATGTACATTTAAAGACACATTGATAAATGTAACAGTTAATGTGCATTTTAAACAGAAGTCATTTAATGTTTTGCGAGATAATATTATATCTGCATCATATCTTATATCAATTGTATATGAGAGTCTTGGACCAGCCTGGCCAGCTATGACAAATATGTACACGGGAAAGATACCCTATAAGCTATATGTTCCACTGGGAAATGAAATCGGCATATTGGCCAATATTACAGATGTCATGGATAAGAAGTTCCAAAATCTTCAAAGAGTTTTCAATGAAACATTCAGTACATATTCTATGAATGTGACATATTCGTTGCCTCCTATGAACACACGCCCACACAAAACACAGTCTGAGAATGAGGTTGGCTCCAAAGACGTGAACCCCAAAAAGAACACTGTAAATGCCCAGCCAAATATGAAGTCCAGTTATGCACTGGTATTTGGAACCATTATGATTGGAGCAATCATAGGATCTTTTATCCAAAAACATTGAATATTCAATGGGAAATATTACACTTAAACATTTAGGCCATTTGATGGACCATACATATTTAAGACAATTGATGTTCCCTCAGTTAATTGATACCAATCAGGCAATCAAACAATATTGCCCAATTTAGCATAATGGCATTCAGTCCATTGCCCATTAGGCAACTAGTTTTCCAAGTTCAAGTTTAATGCAATGAGTTGCAAGTAATTGCGAACCATGGGGAGTATGAGCATATGATTGATTCTCTTATGAGCAATATGATCACTTCAATAGACCTTTAACTGCAAGGATTTATTCTCTTATGAGCAATATGATCACTTCAATAGACCTTTAACTGCAAGGATTTATTCTCTTATGAGCAATATGATCACTTCAATAGACCTTTAACTGCAAGGATTTATTCTCTTATGAGCAATATGATCACTTCAACAGACCTTTAACTGCAAGGATTTTTTCTCTTATGAGCAATATGATCACTTCAATAGACCTTTAACTGCAAGGATTTTTTCTCTTATGAGCAATATGATCACTTCAATAGACCTTTAACTGCAAGCATTGATTCTCTTATGAGCAATATGATCACTTCAATAGACCTTTAACTGCAAGGATTTTTTCTCTTATGAGCAATATGATCACTTCAATAGACCTTTAACTGCAAGGATTTATTCTCTTATGAGCAATATGATCACTTCAATAGACCTTTAACTGCAAGGATTTATTCTCTTATGAGCAATATGATCACTTCAATAGACCTTTAACTGCAAGCATTGATTCTCTTATGAGCAATATGATCACTTCAATAGACCTTTAACTGCAAGGATTTATTCTCTTATGAGCAATATGATCACTTCAATAGACCTTTAACTGCAGGGATTTTTTCTCTTATGAGCAATATGATCACTTCAATAGACCTTTAACTGCAAGGATTTATTCTCTTATGAGCAATATGATCACTTCAATAGACCTTTAACTGCAAGGATTGATTCTCTTATGAGCAATATGATCACTTCAATAGACCTTTAACTGCAAGGATTTATTCTCTTATGAGCAATATGATCACTTCAATAGACCTTTAACTGCAAGGATTTTTTCTCTTATGAGCAATATGATCACTTCAATAGACCTTTAACTGCAAGGATTTATTCTCTTATGAGCAATATGATCACTTCAATAGACCTTTAACTGCAGGGATTTTTTCTCTTATGAGCAATATGATCACTTCAATAGACCTTTAACTGCAAGGATTTATTCTCTTATGAGCAATATGATCTCTTCAATAGACCTTTAACTGCAAGGATTTATTCTCTTATGAGCAAAATGATCACTTCAATAGACCTTTAACTGCAAGGATTGATTCTCTTTGATACAGGAATTTTATTACACTTCTATCTTACTCCTAAAGTCGGTGAACAGCATGTAAAAATATGTAACAGTATGTCCAGTTTGGACTATAAATTAATGAGTTGTTGGTTTTGTTTTACTTTGTTTCACCATTTCCAAACCATGGTGGTTTGAAAGTCCATAGTTTCTAATATTCATATTGTCTAAATATATATCACCTAAAATTTGTTTATTTTACATTTTGTATACTCTCATCCACTGATGCATGGCCAGTCTTATTTTTAACATGGAAAATCCTCACTTCAGCAAATCCAAGACTCATTTATTTATGGTCCAAACTGTACTTGTAATGATTAAAATAAAATAAATATATATGGAAAAACAGAGGTGTACATTTATGTCAATTTTATATCATTATAAAAGCAATAACTGAGTATATCATTTACCTTATATTTATTTCATTATAAAAATACATGAAGTTATATTTGATACAAATATATACATGTACATGTTCATCAGTATTTCATTCCTTACTATTACAATGGTCCCTTTATTTAACTAGCAAAATTGCAGGGATTTCTCCTTATCATTCACTTCATTTTGCTGTTTCTTAACACTGGAACACTTTACATTTGTATGGTATTAGGTCTCTATACATACAATCTGACGTCCATGGCAACATTCTGGAGTATGGAAGTATGGGTTAATAGTTTTCTAATGATATATGTTATATATTCGTATTTTTCGTTTTTTTGGGTACCCGGTTTTTTAGACCGGGTACCAGGTTTGAACCCAGCATGGAGGATTTACTACCCGGTACCCGGTTTTTTCTACGAACCCATGGAAGTATGGATTTATGAATGTACAGTTAATCCTGCATACAGTACCAAGTACAGTAAAACCTGTGTATATCAAACATTTTCTTGCAGCGAAAAAACTTTCAGTGTTGGTAGGTGTTCACTACAGAGAGAGAGTAATTTATAAAGAAAACAGTAGAGTATGTGTGGAGGAGCCACTAGAGACAGGTGTACAGTAAGAGAGAGAGATGTGTTCACCAAGGCAGGTTTTACTGTATGTAAACATCAATCTATTTAACCTTGAAAATTAACACTTGGGCCCATTCTTTTGTCATTTTGGCACTCGTTCCCCAAACCTCCGAAATGAGCAAGTAGAGGACAGGGAGGCAATGTTGTCCATATGTAATTGTCAGACACTCAATGTAGGCTTTCCTTTGTCCGACAACTACCTACATGGATGACATTGCTTACCTGTCCTCTATTAGATCAGCTTGTAATTTCAGAATTTTTTTTACTGCATATGAAAGAGTCATAGTCAGGCACATAATTCAAGACAATTTGAAAGTTATTCTCTAAAAGTTTGTATATGTTCCACATTCCATGTGTCCAAATATTGTGGAAAAGATCAATTCAATTTTGGTGGCTTGTCTTTTCAGACCCTTACAGAGATAATAACTGTAAATCTCGTCCTAAATGGTTTAATAATAACATATAACTTGCACAATGCAATAGAGGAAGACCAATATTTCTTAAACTTTTTCCCAGAAATAGAATTATCTGGACAAATTCTTTTCCCCTTTCATATGCACAACTAAACTCCAATTCATTATGCTATATATACATTTACATTTCTTACATATTATTTACAAAACTTCATTATACAGGGGCTTACCCTGAATCTTAAAATAGACAAGGCAACTGTACTATCACTAAATTCAGTCTCAGGGATTCTCAGTGGTATAATACAGTATTTTAGGATTTATTTGTAATGATGCCCCAGGCCAAACATACTCATGTTTTTATTAATATTATTGTAATGATAACTGTTTACACATGTTCTCAGAAAATAGACCACAGATACAAATCCAGAGGAATGGTTTAGACTGCTTAAAGTTGATAATGAAAACCGAGAAATGATAACTACGATGAAGTCCGCTTGTGTATTTACAATCTATTGAATAAAGGTAGAGCAAAATACTCATTAATTTCAGGTATAAAAATTGAGATTATATGAATCATAGCACAATGTAATTTACATGGCTATTGGTCAGTTGGTGGTATCATTGTTAAAACAAATTCTACATTTTAAGGTATAATGAAATATGGTCATATATAAGGTAATTTATGAATAATGTCACATATGCTGTTTCATTATATACATCGATTTCAATAGTCCTATTTATTGTGACATCATTTATCATATAAGAATATTTCTTATATCACTGATCACACTAAATAATATCACATATCCCTCTATGTAAGTCCTATGATACAATATGCTTGAAAGCCATATCAATTCATCATGTTCGTCAACAAACAAAATAATCCTTGAAATGTGCTAAAAATTGCATCAAAGATTATTGCACAAAATATTTTCTAAAGCATTTTATATAACTGTATAAAACAAGGCATTATCATGCAAAATGTCACCATCTGCCATTTGCTACAGATGCTGACTGCTGAGCATCAACCACTGAACATCAACCGCTGAAGACCATCCACATTAAGTTGAAGACCACAACAGTATGTCACCACTTGTGGTGGTGACATAATAAAACAGTATGTACATGTACTAGCCATAACTCATATTACAAATGAATTTACTGCATCAATCATATGCTAAATTATTTTCAATGTGCAAATAAAAAACATTGGAAAATAGATCTGAATTTTTATTACAAATGTTATAATAAAAGTAGAATTTTTTTAAATAGCTGTTATTGTACAGAGTCTTACATGTTGATGCATTGTACAGAGTCTTATGTGTTGACATTGTACAGAGTGTTATATGTTGACATTGTACAGAGTCTTATATGTTGACATTGTACAGAGTCTTATATGTTGACATTGTACAGAGTGTTATATGTTGACATTGTACAGAGTCCTGCATGTTGACATTGTACAGAGTCCTGTATGTTGACATTGTACAGAGTCTTATATGTTGACATTGTACAGAGTCCTGTATGTTGACATTGTACAGAGTCCTGTATGTTGACATTGTACAGAGTCTTATGTGTTGACATTGTACAGAGTGTTATGTGTTGACATTGTACAGAGTCTTATATGTTGACATTGTTCAGAGTCTTATATGTTGACATTGTACAGAGTCTTATATGTTGACATTGTACAGAGTCTTATATGTTGACATTGTACAGAGTGTTATATGTTGACATTGTACAGAGTCCTGTATGTTGACATTGTACAGAGTCCTGTATGTTGACATTGTACAGAGTCTTATATGTTGACATTGTACAGAGTCTTATATGTTGACATTGTACAGAGTCTTATATGTTGACATTGTTCAGAGTCTTATATGTTGACATTGTACAGAGTCTTATATGTTGACATTGTACAGAGTCTTATATGTTGACATTGTACAGAGTCTTATATGTTGACATTGTACAGAGTCTTATATGTTGACATTGTTCAGAGTCTTATATGTTGACATTGTACAGAGTCTTATATGTTCACATTGTACAGAGTCTTATATGTTCACATTGTACAGAGTCTTATATGTTGACATTGTACAGAGTCTTATATGTTGACATTGTACAGAGTCTTATATGTTCACATTGTACAGAGTCTTATATGTTGACATTGTACAGAGTCTTATATGTTCACATTGTACAGAGTCTTATATGTTGACATTGTACAGAGTCTTATATGTTGACATTGTTCAGAGTCTTATATGTTGACATTGTACAGAGTCTTATATGTTCACATTGTACAGAGTCTTATATGTTCACATTGTACAGAGTCTTATATGTTGACATTGTACAGAGTCTTATATGTTGACAATGTACAGAGTCTTATATGTTGACAATGTACAGTCTTTAATGTTGATGCATTGTACAGAGTCTTATACAGTGTATGTTGATATATTTTCCAGTATTCTCTCTCCATTGAATTTTGGATTTCCAGGATTTTCTCACTCAAATATGAAGAAGCTTAACATGATCACAACATCTGTGTCCAAGCCAAATATAACCCTGAGAAAAAACATGTATGTACTCGTATAGGCCTACTGTAAATTGCTTTAATTTGGCGCTAATTAATTTGGCTGATTGGGCAAATTTGGGAATTTTGGCTGCTATTTAATATGGTAGATTGACTCATCAGTAAAATATGGATTTGGAAGGCTAGCTAGGAAGCCACATTGCGAGGTTACTCTTGGGTGACACAGGGATGTGTTACTTTCATATAGGAGCTAAAATGTAAAAATTGAAAAAATGAGGCGACGATTAAAATATTGAAAGAATTCTCAATCAGGGATTTTTTCCAAAAATTGGCAGAGACTTATATTAATTTGGCAGTTTTTATCAATATGCAAAATCAGCCAAATTAAAACGGCTGTCAAATTAAAGTAATTTACAGTATTTCCTTTAACCATCAAATACATTTTCAGTAAAATATAAACTTAACACTAAAACAAGACAACAGAAACATATCAATAGCAGAATAAATACCATGTGACAACTCTATCCCCCAATTAAGCTGAAACCACTCCTACTTTTTAGTCCTACTGGTCCAACATTTTAGCTCCATTAATAGCATTATCCACAAAAATGAAAACTTGTAATAGGAGCGTTTAATGGTTAGCCTAATGGTTACGGAGCAGAACAATATTTGATCAATTGAAAACCGGAATATCAGCATATAGCTACAGTACACATATATGTAGTGTTTAAAAAGTTTTAAAACTTTTGTATAATTGACATTAATGACACTGCAGTTCCCGCTACGAATCCAATTAGTCCAAAAATGATAATAGCGACATCTTTCCATAGCACCCAGTTGTAACGTCCTAATTCTCCATCCCAGCGAGTGAATAACTCCAACATTGGGGGAATGATGAGTGCAAGCGCACTACTGGCTAAGGCCCCTACTAATGCTATAAGTAAGTCCAGGTGGGGTATAGAAGCTGATATTCCAACTGAAATATGAAAATATAAATTATGATGTATTATTCTCGGTAAATGTAAAGGTGGCCATTTTGGATTTTCCGTCCTAAAATCTTGTATTGCTCTGGCCAGGTTCATTTTTCTATTAAGGTTTTTCATTTTTGGGATTTCTAATTAATGAATCTAAGTTTTCACTTCCAAAATTAATCCTTATAAATTCAATATTTCAAACACAACCAAAATTTCAATTTTCAACATTAATGTCACTATCGATATGCTGATGCCGAACCTTTGGTACAGCTTTAATTTTGCATTTTCTATTCACAATTTGGATGATCTGTATCTGGGACGAATATTATAAATAAAATATCTATGTTAAATGAAACAAATTAAGAAACCTTAGTGGTGGAACTTTAAAGTTTTTCAAGCATTTTTAGCCCTCATTTTGTAATGAAGTCAAAGGGCTAAGTACTTAAAATAATTCATTCATAGTCTAAAGAAACAAGACAATGACAAGGCATTAACATGCACCACTTGCCATTTGTTACAGACACCGAACACCAAACAATAACCGCCTAATGCCATCCACAAAAAACTTGGAGACCCTAACAAGATGTTATCACTTGTATTGACGTAAAAATGTATATTCAGAATATTTATTAATCTAAGAATTAAAAAAACAAAAATCACAACTCACATGTTAATAAGACTAGTAGACATCTTAATATATATTCCCCATACTTTCTCAACCATGGATAGTGATCGCCATATTTCTCATTAATAGGTGGCCACATGAACTCTAACGGGACGTAAAATTGCAATCCATAGGATATAAAGATTGCTATGGAAAACTTCAGACGAACAGCCAAATACAACCTAAATACAATAAAATTAGCTTTTTATATGTAGCAGCAACTTACATCTACCAAAGTTTCATAGATTAGAATCAGAGGCGATGCACAAAAACATCGAGGCAATAATATGTGCATTAGATTGCAAATACGGAGGCAATATCTGCTGAAACATCCATTTTATTTTAAAGTTACGAAGGGAAAATTTCTAAGATAACTTTTAAGTCTGTAAGTCATTAAAAATAGTAAATGAATAATAATAAATTTTCAAACTCCACATTGGGCCTTTAAATATGAAATCAGAAATTTCAAATTATATTTTAAATTCTTTTGATTATTATGCATTATGTAAAAATTATAAAAATATTTCCATCCAGTAAATGAAGTCTACACTCACCAATTTTTAGAAGGAAGGTTCAAGGTTATACTTCCCAATACATCACATGCTTCAGGTCCAAATGTCAGGTAACCATAGAAACCAAGTGATATATATAGGCATGTAACAATCACCATGCCAACATTCAGAACTCCATTACAACCACGTAGATAGTCAGGAACGGCCATTTTGTTCTCAATCGGTAGGATCTATAAAACAAGAAGATATAGACCCAATATAGTTAGATACCTATACTTATTATATAGGTATTTTTATGTTTCTACCAGCAGTTGCCAAATTAGTATTACGAATTCGCCATTACAACTAATATACATATTTACTTATTGAACTATATTTGTGTTTTGCATTATAATAGATTATATGATTTGAAGATAGATGTATTAAAGAAGAACTGAAATAGTTATTAAAACCTAAATGAATCAATTTTATTTAATAATGGGTGTATTTAGACATGTCATCTAATCAGTAAAGTAGCAATTGTTTTATTCGGTAATACATGTAGAAAATATGGTTCAGAAAGTTTTAACAGTTTTTACAGCCTCGTTGCGTTATATTTCATATTCAGATAAAATAAAGTTTAAAGGATGTTATGATTATGAATTGTACAATATTTGTTATTTCATACAGCGTTTCTTTTGTAACTTGTGTAAATTAGATGTAAGTAGACAGATTGAGCTTTCTAATGTTAATGTCCAATAGCTCAGCAAAATCATAAATAATATAATTAATTGAAATTGATCTCTGCTAATGATAACAAGGCATTAACATGCAAAATGTTACCTCATGCCCTATGTTACAGACACTGAACACCATCCAAAAAGTGTCAAACATCAAACATCAAGACCATAACAATATGTGAACACAAGAGGGGGAGAAACCCCAGGGTTCAAAGATGACATACGCTTATAATGCATCCTCCTAAGCAGGTGTCCAGAATCCGTACCTCCTTCTTCCCCCCTGCTATAAGCAGTTAGCATTTCCCTGATTGAGAACTCGCAATTTGATTGGCTGTCGCATCATTGCGACAGCAATCATGTATACGTCATCGGCGCATAATTAGATCACGTGATTCAGTTTAATCGGGCGCGTCCAACTTGGTTATAGCAGGGGGTAAAAAGAAAGAAGATATTCTGGATTTTGAAGCCCTGTGATCGGAGGATGTTATAATGTAAATCTGTATTTAGATGACATCGTCGATGATTGGTTAAGCGAATCGATCGTTGATTGGTTTAAAACTCGGTCAATTTGAAAAATTTGAAAACCAAGATGGAGGGTAAACAAATATACGTACTTCCGGGAAAGGAGGTGCGCGAAGGAGGAAATCGTATGTCATCAATTGAATCATGGGGTTTTCCCTCCTCTTTGTGAACACTTGTGGTGGTGATGTAAAAATTACCTTTATATAATGCAGTTATTAAAAATCAAACACCTTTCTCCCATTTTCTTAATTTCATCACACACAAAAGCTTATTACATAAAAGATGCACAAGGAATAACATTACACATAGATGTGTTAGGAGTGAAAGGTGATAAGCAAAGAAAACTAGCTGCATGACAACAGGGCACAAGAGTATTATATAACCATAGTGTTGAATGTTTCTTATATTTCATAGGAAAACTTCAGGGGGTATAGAAACTATAATCATCAGCATACATAAGTAACTCATATATTCTTCACAATAAAAGATTGGAGAATAATTTGAGGAGCATATTTTGTCATAAAAGCATTATATGGGAGGACATTAGGAAAGCTTCATAAGAAGGTAGAGAAATTATGATTACCAGTCTACATACATATAATTCATATATTTATACAAAAAGAAAATAATTAAGGAGCATCATTTTGTCACAAAAGCATAATATGGGACCATAATAGAAAACTTCAATAGAAGGTAGGTATTATTAATATTTATTATCAGTTTTGCAAGTTCTGTAATTCAAATTTATACAAACTGAAAAATGTCACATAAGAGCACATGAGAGCATATTTTTTCACAAAAGCATAATATAGAACACTAGCCAGAAAATTTTATTTCAGAATAATAATTACCAGGATATTTAAGTACACTGTACTGTAATTCATATATGTCAAACAATAAGAAAAAATATCAAATTATAGCATGACCAAAGTTGAAACAGCTCTGTCATAATTCATTTTAAAACTTTATAATTAAAGACTATTTCATGGAAAAAAGGGAAAATGTAAAATAAACAAGGCATTAACATGACAAAATGTCACCACCTAATTACTCATAATATTATGAGTTCAATCTTAAGTCAGATTTGAATTTCTGAGAACTTTTTTTGAAAAAATGAATAAAGTTGAAAAAAGACCTTTTTGACTCTGAGAATGTCATTGAAAGTGGAATCTCAAATCCAAAGTCAGATTTGAACTTCTGAGAACTTGTAGATGATTTTTTTTTTAAAAATTGAAGGTCAAATCTTTTTTGACCTTAAGAATGTAATTGAAGGTCAAATCTATAGTCAGATTTGAACTTTTGAGAAGTTGTAGATAATTTTGAAAAAAATTGGTCAATTTGAAGCAAGTTGAAAAGACCTTTTGACCATTTTTGACCTTGAGAAGGTCATTGAAGTTCAAGTCTCAAATCTAAAGTCAGATTTGAACTTCTGATAACTTGTAGATGATTTTGAAAAAATTGGTCGATTTGAAGCAAGTCAAATCTTATATTTCAAATTAGATTTGAACTTCTGAAAACTTGTAGATGATTTTGAAAAAAATTGAAGTCAGTCTAAACAGTATTTGTTAAGTTATTGGAAGTTGTAAGAATTTGTTACAGATGCCAACCACCAAACGCCAACTGCCGTAAAAAAAACGGAGACCATAAGAATATGTCACCACTTTTTGGTGGTGACATAATAAATCGTTGACAGATTTTCAAAATGGCTAGAATTGTGACACCACCATTTTACTAAACATAACTCACAAATAGGAAAAATTATGTTCTTTGAATTTTAGTGACACAGTGATAGTTACAAGGGAGAGTTCCCAACAGGCCAAGAATGACAGGCTTAGAATAACAAGGCTTCAACTGTAGACTTAGAATTACAGGCCACCGCAATGTTGCTTTTTCGTGGATCATCCCTTATCTACTACTGTATCATCATATCCTTGGCTAAAACTAGCACAGAGCTAGGGCTCAATCCAAGTTCTCACAGAAACCAGACCAAACATTTACCAGAACATGCCTCGAGTAGTTCCTCTCCAATAGATGGAGTCGAAGGTGAGGGAATAAATTGCCGGGTGCCAGTTAAAATTAAATGTCAATATGGGGAGAGATCTTGTCAAAATAGATGTGGAAAAAGTGTCGAAGGGGAACAAATAAAACAGTTCTATTGTCAATGCGACAATTTGTGTTCTCATTTTCAAGATTGTTGCCATGACTACAAGGAACTTTGTCAATGTGAGTCCAATCCACATTCAGAAAATGAAAACGAAAAAAATATTTCTGATGTAGTTCTACTAAATACTACAACTGATGGTTGCGTTACACTTAACACTACCACAGCAAAGGGCAATGTTACACTTAATAGCAAAAGTGATGATGGTGTAACACTAAATATGCTAGGACTGAAAAATGAACAATCAGCAAATGACAACATGAGGCATATTTATGCGTGTGTTCCTGTGAGAGGATATATACGTGTCTACCTTATAGATGTATGCCACATTGACTTTGAAGGAACTGCATTAGAAAGAAAATGTCAGACGTATGGAGAAAATGAGCTTCTTGGTGTCGCTCCAAGTTATGATCCAATCACACAGCGACATTATAGAAATATAAACTGCGCAAAGTGTAACTATGTTCAGAAATCTGTTATGTGGAAAATGGAAATAAAATGTGATGTTGCTATCATAAATATCAAGTTTCTTGAGTCATTCGATTTCAACACAGTATTTGGTTTAATCAAAGACAGGCTATGCCACCTTGACTATTTCGAACCCAATGGCAGTGCTCTCGCGAGGCCATGCATTGATACCTTATATGGAAATGGAGGAACATGTGTGAATGAAACAGTTGGTGAGAAATGTGTCACATATGGAATGAATCCTGTTGCTGATTATTTCGGAATATATCACAATGTTTATTGCTGGCAGAGTAGGCAATGGCATGATTACCCAAAAATGGTAGAGCAACTAGGCCACCTATGTTATATAGACTTTCCCAGCAAGTATAAGATTGACCCGACAATTCTAGGATTATATTCATTTGAGATCTTAATAGATACAATCACTGATAATGAAAGGAATATCATTGTTAATCCATTGGATCCAAATTTTGGGGAGGGAGAATGGACATGTACTGGAAGAGCTGGGTGTTCAATAGCAAGATGCCCAAGAGGGTTTCAAAAAGTTGCGAATAAATGTACATTTAAAGAAACATTAATAGATGTAACAGTTAATGTGCATTTTTATTTCAAGTTTTATGATGTTTTGCGAGATAATATTATATCTGCATCATATCTAATATCAAGAGTATATGAGAGTCTTGGACCAGCCTGGCCAGATATGACAAATATATACACGGGAAAAATACCCTATAAGCTTTATGTACCACTTGGATATGAAATTAGCATGTCGGCAAATATTACAGATATCATGGATAAGAAGTTCCAAAATCTTCAAAGAGTTTTCAATGAAACATTCAGTACATACTCTATGAATATGACATATTCGTTGCCTCCTATGAACACACGCACAAGCAAAACACAGTCTGAGAATGAGGTTGGTTCTAAAGACGTGCATCCCAAAAAGAACTCTGTAAATGCCCAGCCAAACATGAAATCCAGTTATGCACTGGTATTTGGCACCATTATGATTGGAGAAATCATAAGATCTTATTTTCCAAGACATTGAGTGTGAATTATCACGCTTAGACATGTAGGACCATGATGGACCATACATATATGCTAACTGATGCTCCCTCAGTTAATTGATGTACAATCAGACAACTGTCATCTCAATTTGTAAGGTCAACATCAGGGTTCACGAAAAAAATATGATTATTCAATTTAACATAATGGCATCAAATCCATTGCCCAACCTGTTTTTCCAAGATTATTGCCAAGAGTGAAAAGTGATTGCCATTGGCTAGAAACAGTGATGACTAAGGTTGATTAAATATGATTGCCCGATTTACCATATTGGCATTCAGTTGATTGCCCAATTGTCAACTCATTTTTCCAAGTTCATTCAGAGTGAAAAGTGATTGCCATTGGCAGTGAAGCAGCTGTGAATTTTAACACTGAAAATGACTCTGAACACAATTTCAATAACGAAGCCAACAAATGTCCTGCAATTCTATATAATTTAGAATCTTGACTGCATAGACCAATCAATCTATCCCTTGTTGATTCTATAAATTTATGGTGTAAGACAAACTCTGATTGGCTCGGTGAGATCAGAGATTTTTGTAAACTGAAAGAGTGGAGACGAAGCTCTCTTTTAAGAAGTGAAGTCAAACTTAAACGAATACAAAGGGTAAGAGTGAATGGTTAGTGCCATGGACAGCCTGAGTGAGCTTTAACATTTGAACCCTGGTGTGTATGAGGAATATGATCACACCAATTATGAGCAATTCATTAATTGACAATTTATCTGTTAATTTCTGTTGTATCATAGTTATTAGTAGTAGGTTATTATTCATAATTGTCTAATTCACTATGACTGGATTATGTGCATGTAGTGTTGTCATTATCCATATAGATTATGATAACATATATTTTCCACTTAATTGATTTACAGCATTGATGTAATTCAAGTTTAGATCGAAAACCAAACAGCCAGATATAACTCAACGAAAATGATTTTACATTGGTCAGGCCCATACCCAGCTTTTGCCAATGGGAGGGATCACTTTTAAAAAAGTTCCAGGGAGGTTCAATTTTGACAACTTTGGCCAAAAATCACTTGAAAAGTGCTCGGAATGGTGAAAAACTGCATGATTTTGAAAGAATTTTTGGCAGGGGGAGGCTGCTATGAGTTTGGTTGCAAAACATATGGTTCTACCATGTACAACCTCATGGAACAATCCATGGTGTTTCACTTATTTCAGGTCCAGGTTGTGCATATTTATTTAAAGCCCATTTGATCCTCTTATGGATTTACTCTATTTTTCAGATGTTGCATCATTGAATTTCTAAACATTTGCATTAAAATCTTTTTTGTTTAACTCCTTGAATTCTCAAAGTGAGGGATATGTCAGTCACAGAATTTCTCAATATAATGTCTATATCAATTTAGAAAAAATATGCATTAAAGTGTGTGTAATTTCTCCATGTTTAATAATCAATAATACCATCAAACATAGAAATATGGCAAAAGCAAACAAAACGAGGCATTAACATGCAAAATATCACTACCTGCCATTTGTTACAAATGCAACCCACTGAACACCAACTGCCAAACTCCAAATGCCGAACAGCTTACACAATGCACAAAAAATTGGAGGCTATAACATTTATGTCACCACTTCTGGCGGTGAAATAATTCCCCACTTCCCCGAGACCTGCATGGCAGGTTGAAGAGGGAATGAGTGAGATTCTATGAATAAATATTAGGAACTGAAGGGTTAATATGCCCTCCCTATGGGTAGTACAATGTGATAAAAAAAGTTATTAATATACCCTCCCAAGTATGGAGAAAATTTTATTTCAAAAATTTTTTGAAATTAATTTGCACAATCAGCTTTTAAATACTGATTAGGGCATGCGCACCGCACATCATACAAACCTGGAAGTTCCGGTTTATGAAATAGAATTTAAATTTCTCTGTTATCAAAAAGGGGAAAATTCCACTCACCACTCCTATTCCTTCAAAAGCATACATGGCAGTCCCGAAGTAGAGTGGCAGAGTTCCCCATGAGTTAAAGGCTGGGTATTTGTCAATATGCTTTAAGTGTGTAAAACAGTACTGAAATAAATAACACATTTTTCATTAAACTGTAAATAATAAGATTCATATTTATAATATTAATTAATAATATATAACTCTACTTAAGTTTTCAGAAAATCTAGAAACATTTTCTTGATGGCATCTAGAGATACAATCCGTTATTACTGTACATCAATCATAGCTAGAATTCCAGTATTCTGATTGGTTCTTATAGTACCATGTGATCAAAAATACCACAGCATATATCACATTGTCTAAATGTTCGAATATATAAAAAAAGATACATTTCTCAATCATGGATTCTGATCATAGGAAATGCTTAAAAATAATTCAATAAAACAAATTCATTCTGTAGAGGAATTTGTATAAAAGGAAATATTTGCTGAGCACATGATCTTATAAATTGCCTTACCCAAAATGTGATGGAAAGTCCTGCTATTGTTAAGACATTTGCTATTGTAGAGAAATATGCTAAGTGTCGCATTTGTCGTATACAACAATATGGTAGTAAGAAAACTGTTACTATGGCCTGGTATGCGAGTACTGGAAGCTCATAAGCGAACGCATAGTCAAACACCTAAAAAAAGAATTAAATCATCTTTACTGTCTGCAAGTATATTCGTTTAAAGGTTATGAAATGATGGGATTTTGTCTCTATAGGATGGGCCATAATAAATGATAATATTACAAAGAAATTGGCCAACTTGATTTTCAAAGTAGTTTGTTATACATCTCAAGAATGTCCTCTGAGTTAATATGAGTGGCATATAGGTGGGGGGGGGGGGGGGGCTAGGGGCACTTTAGTGGCCCTCAAAAAAGTAATTGCTTTCCCAACATAAAATGGGCAATTTTGGTAACAAACTGGCCTTACTGGGCATAATTTTCTAATTTTGGGCATATTTTTTTCTGTAATTGACCCCTTCTCTTTATTTGGTCCACCCCTTGATATAGACCTGTCAGTTCGTTCATAGAGTCATGATAGAAAATACAGGGTGTAAAGAAATGTTATGATGTTATAAAATTGATTATCAAACCAAGGGCAATTTTCTTGGGTAAACGTTAATGTACAAATTGGTATTTTTCATGAACCAATATCTGGAACTCGGCTCATACAAAAAAGAAATATAGGAATCTGATCTTTGAAATAACTCACATTAAGTGAAATTAACATCATATAATCATATGCCAATTATATTACATCATGTAATTTGCTTCTATAGGTGTGATATCACCTGTATTAATTCATATAATTAAGTCATACATAGGTCATGTTTGGTAACACAGCATGCATGTATGTAATAAATAATATACAATTTTTATCACAAAAGTCTGATGAACTGTTTGTACTTGTTTCTGACTATGTAATGAATCTGTCAATAATAATTGAATTTTGGCTTGAAGGTCTTATTGATATATACCATATTCACTGTAATGAGCGTACAGTACAGTGCGTACATCACCAATTATCTTTTAACTTAGTTCGCGGTATCAGAACTGATGTTCGCGTTGTTGGAAGTCTAGGAGGCCTGATAAGGCTCTCTTGCCTTTATCTAAGAGAGCTTGTAAATACACGGACGTTGTATTTGAATTTTATTTTGTTAACTTCCAGGAGTGATGTATAATCTTCTTCAGGTAAACTCAAGAAGATTTAGAAATAAATCAAAAATTTGCAATCTCAATCATTTAAGAAGATTCAGAAATAACTTGAAAATGTGTACTCTCAATCATTTTTGATGTTTTCAGGAGTGATATATACTGCATATATACATGTGTAAAGTAAAATCTGTTTAAGTAGAAGATGTCTGGTAGCTCAAAAAAGTATTCCATTTAGAAGTGTTCCACTTTACAGATTCCACTGTACATATATGAAATAATGATATTTAAATGTATTGATGTATTAAATAAATATTTATTTAAAGAAAATAATAACTTACATCTTTAACATTCTTTGCAATAAAGAGTATGTACACACAGCAGAAGCCAAATTGTGTGATGCTGAGAAAAACATTCACGGTTATTCTGAAAATAAAGCAGAACAATTAACAGAGTACATCAATAATCATAATATTATATGAATATGTTATACTATTGTGTTATCTGTACAATAACAGCCAATGATATTTCTGATATTATGGAGATCTGTGTGATATTTTTCAGAAAATCATTCATCAGCCTCATATGCGAGTGATATTGTTCATCTGCTGGATATTTTTATGATAAAGAATTAGAAATTTTCGTATATGTATTTTGGTTGTAATCATGGGATCATTAGATCATTTCTCGTGATGTAATTTTATTGCCTTGTAGATATGAATTATACAAATATTCCTTTGCTCACTCGTGTTTATATTCAATAGTCGTCAATAAAAAGACCGAGATAAAGAGATCCTTCCCCTACAATTGTGTCTAATTCATCTTTTGCCTCCTATCCCTGCCTCCTTTCTAGAAAAAAATCCACTTAAGATTTTGAAATAGATTATCGTCCACCTCAAATACCGATAAGCCCTCATTTGAAATTGAGAAAATCATGGTTCAGAAATGTGCTGAAAGAATTGCAGTGATCTCCCCAGCACTAAAGCAAGTAGGAGCAGCACCCACCTGAGATTTTGAAAATAGGCTTGCACCCACCTGAAAATCCATTTGCATCCACTCGAAAATAGAAAAATCATGAAAAATTGGCATATTTTGACCAATTTTGGTCTGAATTGTGAAAATGAGAATTTTTCACCCACCTGAGAAAAACCCCTGGGGAGATCACTGAATTGAAAAAAACACATGGGGAAAAAATCCCGGAGCAGACAGTACATACCTTCCTATTTGTGCGTGATTTCTAAGCCAGACTATTGGCCCATGACGTAAGGCTATCTCACCACATGCCCCATAGTCAAGTTGCCTGCTTTGGCCCCTAGGTACTCTAAAAGAATCAATATAATAGCTATATATATCATTCAAAGGTTTGCACGAGATCCTCACGATGGAAGAGGTTGGGTTTTGTAATAGGCCGTGCCTTGAAATTTACATATTTTGCAAATTGTTTTTTCAGCGACCCGTCAATTGTGGGACATTCAAAGTATCTCCATCAATGGGCCTTGTTTGATGTGCGCATTTATAATACCAAAACCATGACATTTTTCTCAATGTCAGACATTTTTCTTGATGTACGTTATTCTAGCAAACGTGCGCTCACAACAACTATTTTTGCCCCATCAAAATTCTGTTAAAAAACCAGATCTAACGATTTTTCCAAATACAATTAACTGTTGAAGCCAATAATGGCCAATAATGGTCCATCATGATAAACCATGACATCTCATTTCTTCTCAGCCCTGAGATGTTTCAGGTGAAATAGAAAGATGCTATGAGTATCAGAATGATAATGGTCGGATCTCCGCGATTTTGTTGAATTATTGGACCCTTACATACAATCAGCATTGCATAAACAAAGTCTATGTACTTACTTATTAGTCACTCTGTGATGATGGGCACAGTTGACAAGTAGATGCATACAATGTATTGTGATGACACTTATAATAGCTAAACCTATACTCCCCACCTGAAATAGTACAATAAATAAGATTTTTAATGTTAAATACAGGCATTGCATTTCAACATTTACCCATAATCCTGCATTTGCAATAATAGAGGCATTGCATTTCAACATTTACCCATAATCCTGCATTTGCAATAATAGAGGCATTGCATTTCAACATTTACCCATAATCCTGCATTTGCAATAATAGAGGCATTGGATTTCAACATTTACCCATAATCCTGCATTTGCAATAATAGAGGCATTGCACTTCAACATTTACCCATAATCCTGCATTTGCAATAATAGAGGCATTGCATTTCAACATTTACCTATAATTCTGCATTTGCAATAATAGAGGCATTGCATTTGAACATTTACCCATAATCCTGCATTTGCAGTAATAGAGGCATTGCATTTCAACATTTACCCATATTCCTGCATTTGCAGTAATAGAGGCATTGCATTTCAACATTTACCCATAATCCTGCATTTGCAATGGCAGATGGCATTGTATTTCAACACTTACCCATAATCCTGCAATTGCAATGGCAGACAGCATTGTATTTAAACACTTACCGATAATCTTGCATTTGCAATGGAAGACGGCATTATATTTCTACACTTACCCATAATCCTGCATTTGCAATAGCAGACGGCATTGCATTTCAACACTTACCCATAATCCTGCATTTGCAATAGCAGACGGCATTGTATTTAAACACTTACCCATAATCCTGCATTTGCAATAGCAGACGGCATTGTATTTCAACACTTACCCATAATCCTGCATTTGCAATGGCAGACGGCATTGCATTTCAATACTTACCCATAATCCTGCATTTGTAATAGCAGACGGCATTGTATTTCAACACTTACCCATAATCCTGCATTTGCAATGGCAGACGGCATTGCCATGATCCCAGTTCCAATGTTGCCTTTCAATAAATGCATCATCGCTTGGTGACGACTGGAAAAAAAATTAAGAATGAAATTCTAAAATGAGGGGAAGAGGGAATTCAAAGACAAATATAAATGTATATTTGTTGCATAACAGTACATGTGAATATCTCTCGAAACATCCCCAGTGTCATTGAGAATAGCACAATAAAACTTCTGTGTACATGTATTGTTAAATAATTTTATTATGTTTGGTTAAAACCTGTTTGTAGATGTCAATGCTCCTAATACTTCCAAAATCATAGAAAAAACCATAAAGCATCATATGGATAGCAAAAGTTTTCAAATGGCCACTACATTATGCATATTGTTTGAGCAGTACAATATCTAGAAGATATATGCAAATATAAAAAAAAATAAATTGGACGAACAGGATTTGAGTGAGGCATACATGGCTGAATAACTCAAAAAACTCATTCAATGGGATAATATTCACTTCTTCACCTATATGAAACAATTCAGATTCATTTAGTTGAAAAACATCAATTTTTATAGAATTTCAACTGAATCCAACACTAATTCATTGCAGTTTTAACAGCATATTAGAACATGATTTACAAATGATCTAAATCACGAACCAAAACCATCAATATTTAATTTGATGTTGTTTTATATGAATAAGTCTGTATAAATGATAAACTGTTCAAGAGAGTTATGATCATACTGCATGCAGTCATTACTAAAACATAGATCACCATTTGATGTTGACAAAAGGGATGTTTTCCATTGCATGTGTTATATTTGAAACATGGGTCAATACAACCATCGCCATTTAAATTAGGGCAGACTGACTGCTTGAACTCAAATTTTAATGGGTAGGCGATTATAGGCAATTGTAGGCTAAAATGCAAAAGTCTGCATATATTTCTATATTATATGATGGAAACTGAATTCAAAATTTAAGTCAAACCCCCATTACAAAAAACTATGTTATTTCCTTACCTATTTACATAATTGGAAATGTGGAATAATGAACGATAAATCTTAGATTGAAACAATATGCTGTATTACATATGAACATATTGCATCATGTCATGAAAATACATGTTGTAGGAAAGACCATAAATGGTAACAAAAATCCTAAGTTTTGATGACTGATTAACGTAAATATAAACAAAAATCATTTGATGACATTTTAGCTTGAAGTTTTATATATAAGTTATAGGGGTTAGCTATTTTTAGTTTTTTCAAAAAGCTGCCGCCCTGTAAGCCTTCAAATCATCTAAAATGAACATTCTCTAAAGATGAATTCCATTAACATATATTATATTGATTACTCTAGAAAGTTCATTGACGGTGAGATCCATGCCACCATCATACACAAACCATTATGACGTTTATCGCAATCTATCTTAATCAAAAGAAGTAGTACTTTTTAAATCTAGTTTTTAAAACACAAATTTTGAAGAATAGTTAATTGCAGAAATAAAAGAAACTGGAGAAACAAATCAGCAAATCAAAAGTGGATGGATATGAAACAAAGCTGACAAATGGAGCCTAATATGAAATATGTGATTATTTCAATAATATCATATGTATATTTTCATATTGATACAGGTAAGTGGACTGAACACTGTGATAAATCATTGTTTTCACATCATTAAGTCTATAAAAAACATTTATTTTTACATCGAAAAGTTAAAACTACATTAGAAACATTGATTATAGAGCACATACATATACAGTAATGAAAGCAAATAATTGACATTTTCCTCGATGCCAAAAATAAGGGACTTAGCTTTCGGGAAAACTGAACTTTTTTTGGTAAAATGGTTCCACTTTATAGCAAACCCAAAATCTCATTAACTTTAAATAACCAAAACCTTTATCGTATCCTTGTATTTGTATGCAATCTATCTTGGACATAAATTCTGGCGATATATGATATAAAATGGACTCAGTGAAAACCCAGTAAAGATGCAGCATATTTGTGTTATTATAGTAGCTAATTAGAGCAATTAAACCAAATGCCATTTATTTTGCAGTTGATACAGCTGAGGTAGAATGTAGAAGTGACCAGTGCTCACATTGTGTGCCTGACTTCAGAGAGAGTTATAGCTGTTTTGCACAGTTAGCAGGAGGCTTGAGCTGTGACTGTGATAACTGTCTATGTCACAATGGTATGTATGTCTATGTCACAATGGTATGTATGTCTATGTCACAATGGTATGTATGTCTGTGTCATAATGATACCAATAAACTTATTAATAATAAAAGAGACCAATCAACTTATCAATAATAATAAAAAAAGATATGTATTTCTATGTCACAATGAAAAAAAGATATGTATTTCTATGTCACAATGATATGTATGTGTATGACACCATCATGATATATGTCACAATGGATGCATATTTTGTAAATGACCACCATATTCACGATTGAGTTCTCTTCTTTAAAATAGACCTTGAAGACTCCACCATTTCCTCCAAAATTCAAAACCACTTAATTTGTTGTGGTGGTGTTACTGGTATTCATAAAACAATCCATTGAGTCAATAGTAAAAATATTTGTTCGCTTTTTAACCTTGGTTTATTTTTTTGTTTTACAGGTGTCCCCAGATTTGGTGCCCTCATTGCAGATTTAATTTCCTCTGTGCAAAGTTCCCAACTGACGGTTCCTGCACTAACAGGTATCATCCAACCATTGGGCGACTCCACACACGCAGGGGTCCAGCAATTTGTGACAGACATAGAAGCACTATATCCATCTATTAACGCATTCAACCAACTAGAGGAACAATTCAGTGTCTTAACCATTGATGGCTGCCAAGACAAAAGAACAGCTGTTGAGTTTCTAGGTGAATTACTTGAGGCTATATCTGCGGTACAAGTACAGCTCTCACCATTGATGGAAACTGCTGAAACACTCTTGTTTGACAGCTCTGTTGACTCTGATGACGAAGTTGAAGCATTAACAATCCTTTTCTATGATGTTATGGACCCTGTTACGTTATTTGTATTGCCAGATCATGAATTTGTAGCTACTTGGATCAGGGAGCACATCATTCCTTTTGGTGAGTTTCTTTTCCTTTAATTTGGGTTGATTAAGCGCCTCTTTACCAGGGCTTTGGCAAATCAAATTTAAAGGCCCTATATAAAGTTTAAACTATTTGGCTTATATTGTAGTCTTACCTGATGTTATCAAAATGTGATATGTGAAACATTTTATATTAATTAAGGATTGGTATCGATATGGCAAACTAAATTGAACACATGTTTCTCTTAAACCAGTCATCAAAAGATTCTGAAATTATACATATCATCAATTTAATGATCATCTTTTGAATGGTAACAATTTGATTTAAAAAAACAACTTTTCTCTATATTGTTTTAGAAAACACATCAGACACTTCTTTTGTTCTCTGTATCATATGTTCAAATTGAAATGAAACATCTATCCGGACCTCATTTGAGCAAAATGACATATACACAACGTGTTTAGGTCTCTCATTTATATATATAAATAATTTTTGCATTAAATTGTTGTCAATCAGTGACCATTACATAAAGGACCATGTTTTTTTCAGAATGTTTTCAATAATTGGTTCGAGAGAAAAACAATGTTGAATTAAGTTCACCATATCGATACCAATCCTTTCAAAAAGTTGTTTTTGAATGTCTTTTTGTTCCAAAAATCAAGAATTCATTTAAAACTTTAAGATTTTAGAGCTGGGCATATCTTATAATAAGCGGTACTTCACATTAATAAGCATTCATCCTTATGTGTCTTTTGTCGAAACAAATTGGTTAATAAATAAGCGAGAAATGAGCTTATCCATGTATGAAAATGGTTTAGAGAAAAAATGCACTTAAGAATTTCAGTTCTCATAGAAACTAATGGTACAGTAATATTTAAAACAAAATATTTTCTTATTTTCAACCAGATTAACAATCAGCATTGGATTATTTTGAAATTTTGACATATGAAATGTTTGAAAGCTACTTGAAAGTTTCATTTCATTTTGATCACAACAAATGTAGATTCAGAGGTTGCATTTTTGGGTCACCAAGTATATTACCAGCAATAGTACAAAAAACGTCATTTCGAAGGACAATGACTTCGAAATGACGTTATTAGTATTATTACCACCGTTAATGACCAGGATTGAAACAGCAAGAAAATCTTACGCACTGAACGATATCTAATTTCCCAGGGAAAATTGCCTGTCATTAAATGCATTCTTGACTGGCTATATTGACCGCCACTATGACGTCACATTTTTTTTTTTTTTTTTTTATTGCGATTTATTTTCTCAAATCATTTTACATAATTTTATACATTTCTAATATTACATTCTTGATCAAACAAGCACAGTAATCCCCATATTTGTACTTACTTATACAATTCTTAGCAATAACAATGATATAATTGATGTAGTCTTCTTCCTTTTTATTTGTTTTACATTCATACTTGAATAAAATGTGTTTGTGTCCAAGTCTAATTTTGTGCCCAAATCTAGCATTTAATTTGCACTCTACTTCATTCCATAAAAGCTTTACTCTTTTGCAAGAAATGAAAAAGTGTGCATATGAATCTTCCTCATTACAATATGTACAATTCTTTGAGGCAACTCCTTCAATTTTCCATTTAAAAAGGTGAGTATTAGTTGGGTAAATATTATGTAAAATCTTATATTGAATGCTCTTAAGTCGTGGCTCTTTGAGAGTTTGAATTAACTGCCAATTTCTTTTCCAATTTAAATCTGGATAAATATGTTTCCACCTTTCAATGCAAATAGGCACAACTTGGTCTTTCTTTAGAATCATTTTCCTTACATCCTTTGAAGTTAGGTTTTTTATCTTTACATTATTGTACATCTTCTCACCTTTTGATCTATTCATACCCATTTTCTTATTAATCATTGCATTGCGAATTACGATGTCATGACATCACATATTGCTCAGGTCGATATAGTAAAATGAATGCCTTCTAAACTAGCACTAAAACCCCTAGAACTGGCCCGGCAAGGTGGTAATAATAAGTTATTTTCAATTCATATTAACCAAACTTGAAATTATTTAAAAAAAATAACTGTATTAATTTTATTTCCTTCACCAAATAATAAATATGAATTTGAGTCATAGTCTGTCAGCTGAATTTTTGAATCATAACAAAATGCAATCAGAAATGCTCTATAGAAAAAATGATACATAACTCAAGTGGTTGCCCTTTTGAATTTTAAGCCAATTTGAAAATCCACTCTCCAAAAGATAGTGTTAACCTTATAGAGTCCAAGAAGGCATCAGCACCATAAAATTTGAACTAATTTTGACAACTAGTATTTTGAGTTATTGCCTAGAAAAACCAATAGACTGCATCTCTATATCCTCTATCTGACTTCATCCAGTAGGATAATTAGACAGTAATATATTGAAAACAAAACAAACAATGCATGATTTCCTGTAATAACGGTTTCTGAACAACTAAATGTGTCAAAACACAAAATTGTGTCAGCATGAATCTTTGTCATAAATTGTTCTACTGTTGCTACGTGCAGTGAACATAGCAAAATCCATCTCTGTATATCAATTTTAATCAATAATTGACTATCTCTTAAACTGTTGCACCAGTTTTGAGATATTAGAGTACAAAAACTGAAAAAAGGTCAAATTTTGAAATTTTTCAAGGTCAAATTTCAATTTCAATACTAATCAATTAGTCTAAATGGTTTATCAGTATTAAAGTAACAATCCATAAAATATGTCTTGAGTAAATATATATATTCGAATTTGTTGGTTTTTCTTGTCAGTTGACTCTTACTCGTACTTTTAGGATGTTCTAACTTCCACTTTAATACCTCCTATGTCATATTATGAGAGAAACCACGATAAGAATCAACAGAACAAAGATCTTTACTGAACATCCTTGTAAACATTTCATGATAGTTGTACATTAAAATACTCAAACATTGTCCGTTTACAAAACAATAACTGCAGCCTTACAATTAATCAAATTGTACAGAACTAAAATATAAGAGGGGTGATCATTAAGTTCTCATAATATCTTTCTAATTTTAAATCAATTTTTTAATATCTTTCTATTGAAATATCACATCTAATGATGCATGTAAACATCTCTTATCATTAGTACTAACTAACCATTGTAACAGTTTAGAGAAATATTACGAGAACTTATGATCGCCCTCATATTAATGAGTCCGCATAATTTAATATAACAGAAATAATTGTTAAAGCAAATTAATTGAGTCATAATAACATAAAGGTGTGTCTGAATAAACCAATCAATGAATGTTAATTCATAAGAGTGCCTTGGGTTCATAATGACATTGTAGCCCAAAAACTCTTTCTTCTTTTCAAATTGAAAATCATTTAATTTCATATATTTTTCTTTCTCTTATATCTTGTCTTCAATAACATTTTGTTGTTCATCGTATCCATTGCTTGCTTTTCAGCTCTTACAAGTACTGGAGGTTGTTTCAATAGCACAGACTGTCCATCCAGTATCCCCCACTGTACAGTTGAGGAATGTACATGTCATGAGTGTATAACTGACGCAGAGTGTACATCTGATCTCCCAGCATGTGTCTTGTCCAACAATAGAAAGACGTGTCAACAATGTGAGACAGACCAGGACTGTATAGATTTGGGCTTCCTAGCATGTGACACGAACATAAATGGTGAAAAAGTCTGCAGGAAATGTGTGAAACATGACGACTGTACAGATGAGGTTAGGAGATTTTGTACAGAAAACTCACTTGGGGTGAACGACTGTCATGAATGTATATCGAACATAGACTGTACACTACCTGGTCAGAACGTCTGTGCTGAAGATAATACCAAAGCACTCAAATGTCAGCAATGTGCTACTAATGCAGATTGTAATGCTGATCGTCCTATATGTGTCATGGGTAATGCAGATACACTCAATACATGCTACCAGTGCCTTGTTGATGAGGACTGCACAAATATAGATTTTCCATTTTGTGATACAATAGAGGGCAGTAGTGTGAAAATATGTCATCAGTGTTCTTTTGGGATGGACTGTCCAACAGAGACACCGTTCTGTTCTGCAAACAGTGCTGATGTGAGAACGTGTCATAAGTGTGGCACAAATGATGACTGTACAGAGACTGATCTATCTATCTGTGCTGAGGATGCTAATGGAATAAAATCCTGTCATGAATGCTCTAACAATACTGAATGCAGCCTGGCATTTCCAATATGTCATGCTCACATAGGTGAAACCATGCACTGTCATCAGTGTATCACAAGTGATGATTGTAGTGGTTCTAGTACATGTGAGGAAGACTTCAGCAATATTCTACAGTGTCACGAATGCCAAACAAACACAGACTGTGTAGGAGTACATTCACATTGTAGAAGAAATGAAGCTGGAGTGAAGAGATGTCATGAATGCCTGTCGGATTCAGATTGTCTGAATGAAACCCTGAAGTACTGTTTTGAAACTAATGGACTCAACCTCTGTCAGCCCTGTAGAGAGAATATCGACTGTGTTCAAACAGGAAATGGTCTTAATTACTGTTTCACATTAACAGATCTCAAAAAATGTCATGAGTGTAAAAAAAATAGCCACTGCAACAACGGAAATTTCCCCTACTGTGTTGCTGATACCATAGCAAATGAAAAGAAGTGTACAGAATGTGTAACTGATGCTCATTGTACAGATCCTGGGCTACAACATTGTTTTCCTGATATAAATAATCCAGAACTGTCAAAATGTCAAGAATGTCGAGAGAACGAGGATTGCCCAGTTGAGCTGCCATTTTGCTACCCAAATGCTGATGATCGTAAGATATGTCAACAATGTACAGAACCAGTTGACTGCCCGCTTGATGACTTTAAAATTTGTAAGCCAGATCCAAGTGGAATTAACATGTGTCACCAATGTGACTTTGATGAGGAATGTAGTACTGATGCTCCATTCTGTAACCCCAACTCACAAGGTTTAAGTGTGTGTCATGAATGTCTAAAGAGCACTGACTGTGTTAATGAAGCACAGTTAATTTGTACAGAACTTAATGGTAAATCCCAATGTCAGGAATGTGCAACTAATTCAGACTGTAATGACCAGGCGCTCCCACAATGTGTGACCTATCAAAATACAAAGAGGTGTCATGAATGTGCTTCTGATGATAACTGCAATACTGACTCTGATCTGAATATATGCACTGATTCAAATGGTGATCTAAAATGTCAACAATGTATCTCACATGCCAATTGTACTGATGATATTTTGTCTAGATGCATTGCAAATCGAGATGGAATCAAAATGTGTCAGCAATGTGACAGAAATCGCCAGTGTACTGATCCGATATTGTCGATGTGTGTTTCCACTGGAGGAATTGGGCTCTGTCAACAATGTAACCGCAACAGAAACTGTGATGACCCTGACTTAAATATGTGCTTACCTAACAGTGACAACATAAAAATGTGTCAAGGATGCGATACAAATTCAAACTGCGGAAACTCCTCATTTCCTTTGTGTTTGGCAAATACAGATGATATAAAGTTATGCCAACAATGTAAAGATAACGAAGGATGTCCGAACCATTTACCACTCTGTGCTGTAAACAGTGAAAACATTATGATGTGTCACCAATGTGTGATAACTCAAGATTGTCCCGATGATTCACCAAGATGTTTAGAAACTAATGGAGTCAAATCATGTCAGGAATGTATAACCGATGACCAGTGTGAAAACCCAAATTATCCTATGTGTGTTTCGACTAATGGGACATCACATTGTCAGGGATGTTCTATTGATGAGGATTGTACAGATGAAAATCTCCCAATATGTACGGACAACCCTGATGGGATACAAGTATGTCAGCAATGCTTGGCAAATGATGACTGTGATGATCCTATATTATCAAGATGTATTTTATCCGGATCAATCAACATGTGCCAAGAATGTTTAGATGATTCTCAATGCACAGATAATGAGCTACCAAAATGTACACAGAATTCAGATGGACTTCTTCAATGTCAAGGTTGTGAGAATGCAACTGACTGCACAGAGGATGGCATTGACATATGTCTGCTAAATGACAAAGACATTAAAGTATGCCAACAATGTAAAACAAATGAAGACTGTACAACAGACTTCCCATTTTGTGAACTAAACACTGCTAATATTCAAATGTGCCATGAATGCAGTAGGAATGAGTACTGCGATCCTAGTATACCATTTTGCTCTGAAAATACAAAAGGAGTAAAACGATGTCAATCTTGCACAAGTGACGAGTCGTGTGCAGAGTCAGATTTTCAGTTTTGTATAGAGACTAATGAGATTTCAAAATGTCAAGAATGCTCAGTCAATGAAAACTGCACTGACGAAAATCTCCCAATATGTAGCAATAATTCAGATGGAATACAAGTATGTCAGCAATGCTTGGCAAATGATGATTGCACAGACCCTGTATTATCAAGATGTATTTTATCTGGATCAATCAACATGTGCCAAGAATGTTTAGATGATTCTCAATGCACAAATAATGAGCTACCAAAATGTACACAGAATTCAGATGGACTGCTTCAATGTCAAGGTTGTGAAAATGATACTGACTGTACTGAAGATAACATTGACCTTTGTCTGCCGAATGACAAAGATATTAAAGTATGTCAACAATGTAAAACAAATGAAGACTGTGCAACAGACTTTCCATATTGTGAACTAAACTCAGCCAATATTCTTACATGCCATGAATGTAGTCGAAATGAGGATTGTGACCCAGCTGCTCCATTTTGTTTTACAAATTCACAAGGAGTAAAACGATGTCAATATTGTACAACTGATGAATCATGCTTGGATTCTGATCTTCCATTTTGTATTGAGACTAATGAGATCTCAAAATGCCAAGGTTGCTCAGTCAATGAAAACTGCACAGATGAAAATCTCCCAATATGTACAAATAATCCTGATGAAATACAAGTATGTCAGCAATGCTTGGCAAATGATGATTGCACAGACCCTGTATTATCAAGATGTCTTTTATCTGGATCAATCAACATGTGCCAAGAATGTTTAGATGATTCTCAATGCACAAATAATGACTTCCCTCAATGTATTCTCAATGCAAATGGTCTACTACAGTGTCAAGGCTGTGTGAATGATACTGACTGTACGGATGAGGAAATCAACATGTGTATACAAAATCAAAACAGTGTCAAAGTCTGTCAAGGATGTGAATCAGATGCAGATTGTACCACTGATAAACCATTCTGTGAACAATCACAAAATATTCTGAGATGCCATGAATGTACTGGTAATGATGACTGTAGCACTGGTTCTCCAATATGTGCAATGAATTTAGATGGGGTGAAGTTATGTATGGAATGTGCATTAGATGATCACTGCCTTAATGCAGAGTTTCCATTCTGTATGGGTACAAAATGTCAACAATGCAGGACAGGGGATGATTGTGGATCTGAAAATTTTTCAGTCTGTACAGCAAGACCCGATAAAGAAAGAAGAATATGTCAGGGATGTGCAACAAATGATGACTGTACAGATCCAACTCTCCCTGTATGTCTAAGTGGAGCTGACGATATACAAATATGCCAGGGATGTGGAACAAATGATGACTGTACAGATCCAACTCTCCCTGTATGTCTAAGTGGAACTGATGATATACAAATATGTCAGGGATGTGGAACAAATGATGACTGTACAGATCCAAATCTTCCTGTATGTCTAAGTGGAACTGATGATATACAAATATGTCAGGGATGTGCAACAAATGATGACTGTACAGATCCAAATCTCCCTATATGTCTAAGTGGAACTGATGATATACAAATATGTCAAGGATGTGGAACGAATGATGACTGTACAGATCCAACTCTCCCTGTTTGTCTAAGTGGAACTGATGATATACAAATATGTCAGGGATGTGCAACAAATGATGACTGTACAGATCCAACTCTCCCTGTATGTCTAAGTGGAGCTGACGATATACAAATATGTCAAGGATGTGCAACAAATGATGACTGTACAGATCCAACTCTCCCTGTTTGTTTAAGTGGAACTGATGATATACAAATATGTCAGGGATGTGGAACAAATGATGACTGTACAGATCCAAATCTTCCTGTATGTCTAAGTGGAACTGATGATATACAAATATGTCAGGGATGTGGAACGAATGATGACTGTACAGATCAAACTCTCCCAGTATGTCTAAGTGGAACTGATGATATACAAATATGTCAAGGATGTGGAACAAATGATGACTGTACAGACCCGACTTTCCCTGTATGTCTAAGTGGAACTGATGATATACAAATATGTCAAGGGTGTGGAACAAATGATGACTGTACAGACCCAACTCTCCCTGTATGTCTAAGTGGAACTGATGATATACAAATATGTCAGGGATGTGGAACAAATGATGACTGTACAGATCCAACTCTTCTTGTATGTCTAAGTGGAACTGATGATATACAAATATGTCAGGGATGTGGAACGAATGATGACTGTACAGACCCAACTCTCCCTGTATGTCTAAGTGGAACTGATGATATACAAATATGTCAGGGATGTGGAACGAATGATGACTGTACAGATCAAACTCTCCCAGTATGTCTAAGTGGAACTGATGATATACATAAATGTCAGGGATGTGCAACAAATGATGACTGTACAGACCCAACTCTTCCTGTATGTCTAGGCGGAACTGATGATATACAAATATGTCAGGGATGTGGAACAAATGATGACTGTACAGACCCGACTCTCCCTGTATGTCTAAGTGGAACTGATGATATACAAATATGCCAGGGATGTGGAACAAATGATGACTGTACAGATCCAACTCTCCCTGTATGTCTAAGTGGAACTGACGACATACAAATATGTCAAGGATGTGCAACAAGCGAGGACTGTACAGATCCAAATCTCCCTGTGTGTCTAAGTGGAACTGATGATATACAAATATGTCAGGGATGTGGAACGAATGATGACTGTACAGATCCAACTCTCCCTGTATGTCTAAGTGGAACTGACGACATACAAATATGTCAGGGATGTGGAACAAATGATGACTGTACAGACCCAACTCTCCCTGTATGTCTAAATGGAACTGATGATATACAAATATGTCAGGGATGTGCAACGAATGATGACTGTACAGATCCAACTCTCCCTGTATGTCTAAGTGGAACTGATGATATACAAATATGTCAAGGATGTGGGACGAATGATGACTGTACAGATCCAACTCTCCCTGTATGTCTAAGTGGAACTGATGATATACAAATATGTCAGGGATGTGGAACGAATGATGACTGTACAGATCCAACTCTCCCTGTATGTCTAAGTGGAACTGATGATATACAAATATGTCAAAGGTGTGGAACAAATGATGACTGTACAGACCCAACTCTCCCTGTATGTCTAAGTGGAACTGATGATATACAAATATGTCAGGGATGTGGAACAAATGATGACTGTACAGATCCAACTCTCCCTGTATGTCTAAGTGGAACTGATGATATACAAATATGTCAGGGATGTGCAACAAATGATGACTGTACAGATCCAAATCTCCCTATATGTCTAAGTGGAACTGATGATATACAAATATGTCAAGGATGTGGGACAAATGATGACTGTACTACAAGTTCAAATGGTGTCATATGTGTAAAAAAAGAAAACGTTGGCTTTTGTAACGAGTGTCTAGAAGACAGTGACTGTACAACAAATGACAAACCTAAATGTAACACTGAAACCAACCAGTGTCAAGAGTGTTTAACAAATGCTGACTGTGTAGTGCCAGAACTTTCAATGTGTGTCCCAGATTCCTCAAACATGCATAAATGTCAACAATGCGGTAACAACACACACTGTACCAATCCGGACCTTCCACTTTGTATGCTACACCAAGGTATCATGAAGTGTCACGAATGTGTGTCTAATAATGACTGTAATGAAAAAGGAAAGCCATTCTGCAAGCCACATGAATCTACTGGAATAATGGTCTGTGGGGACCCGCATGTGAGGCAGACAATAAAGGGTGTTGCCAATGGATACAAGTTCTGTTATAACTTTTGGGGAGAACCAGGGGAAACATACCTCTTCTTAAAGCAACAAAATCTAGGTATGTATCACCGATCCAAAATGGTTCCATGTCTTTTACTTCAACAATAATTCCATATGACCTTTGAGAAGTACAAGTCATGTTTTAAAAACTGGTAATTTTAGTTTGGAGCTCAAAGATGTGTTTCTTGGTATAAGCAATTTAACAGTTGTCAATTAGAGAATAAAGATCATTATGTCACCACCAAGAAGTGGTGACATATTGTTATTTAGGATTTGCAATAATGTCTTCAACCTAATGCCAAATCATGTTCACAAATTGCTAATTCTACTTATAGAAATCCAGTCAACATTCATAGAAGCCTCCACAACACAAGGTGGAAATAAAAATATAGCAATGTTTGTTGGTGACTTCCTTCTGAGGCAAGGCTCATCCCTAATATACATCAACACTGACCATGTGCTGATTAAAGACAGGGGAAAGGAGAACAAATACAAGTGGGATGAGGCCTATATTATGTTGAGCATAGGCTATGTACATATCAGTGGTAATCACATAAATATCATGATGAATGATGACCATCTTGTTATTGCTGTGATGAGGGCAGAAAGGAAGAAGCACAAAGGATCATACTTAAACTTTGGGATTTCAGAGACATCAGCATTAGATGATGATGCAGGGGGAATCATGGGTAAGGTCTTCATTAATTTGAGTAAAATTCATAGTGATAACAAGAATGACAGTGATAAATGTCATACTTTTATTAAGAAATTTAAAATGGATGCCTAGTAGGGGTCCCACGATACATTATGAAACGATACGATACGTTTCTCGATACTCAGGTCACGATACGAGCAACGATACGATACATAATAGTGTAGTTGAACCGGGGGGGGAGGGGTGCAACACTGACGTAGCTGAGGTCGAGTTTAAATTCTATCACTTGTTGTGACATTTGATTCAGATGAAGTATAAAAACTATAGTCTATAGTATCAAGCCTACCTGCTATAGTAGTCCCTAATCTAGTCTGTGCATTGTATTTTGCAATTTTTTTGAAGTCCGGCTGTGCTTTCCCTTTACTGAGGAATGTTCAAATGTACTACACAGTAAATTTTCTATTAGGGATATAAGGATAACACAACTACCCATGTTTGATGCTTACATGGCCATAATTCTATCAAGTGTGTTCAAAACTTTCAAAAAGTTTCAATTTCTAACCTCCGGTCAACATTAATACTCCGAACGTAAATAGTGTTCGTTTTTTTTCATTAGAGCTATCAATAAATTGAACGCGTTCTATCCAATTAAAAGTTCAAAGATTATATTTATTCATACTAAAATTGTCCAAAAGTATATAGAATTATAAAACAAAGTATGTTGATATGCGGAGACATAGAAGACACAAGTTATTTGTTCGCATTTAGACTGTCAATCCGCTAAGCATTCTGTTCGCATTTATACAACATTTTGGGCGTGTCATGTCCAGTGAGAAACCAAACAAAAGATATAAAAACAATTTCTGAAAAAAGCCAAATATTCAGTAGATTTCGGCAAAATATGATGGATTTCAGGTATGTTAATTATATTTTGGTGTATCGATATTTGAGTCTTTGAATCGATACGCTCGTATCGTCACCAAACGAGCCGATGCATCGATATATCGATAAATCGCGGGACCCCTAATGCCTAGTGATTATACCCAAAACTTTATGAGATCTTGGCACAAGCCTGCTCTTGTATCACTCAAAATTTCAAGGTGAACAGGTAAGCGGTCTTCCCGGAATTTTAATAACAAGTTATATTTTGTGTCGATCCCCACAGATATATGCTCACTCATAAACACAAGATTACAATATAGCACTTTTTAAAAGAGCAATAAAAATATCATGTAAGAATTTTATGAAGCAAAACTGTTGTGTAAATGTTATCTGATATCTATTGCAGGTTCTATAGGTAGGCATGCTTCACTGAAGAGGGCAAGACATGCTACAACTGGTATAGTGAAATGGCTTGATCTGGAAATCGAAGTAGAGAGAATAAGCCACAAATGCTGGCATGTAACAAGAGAATCTCAGCCTATTTTCATAAAGAAACTGGACATATTTAAGGTTGTAAATGAAAATGAATCTGGTAGGATTAACAAAGATCCATAGGTTTGTGAATAAAAAACATTACCTCCAACATCAGAATGATATCAAAACTACAAAATGGGAATCCCAATTTAGAGAGGTATACGTCAAAGACTATCAATTGATAAAAAAATAAGCCCCACAGTGCAACCATAGGTTATTCCCCTTATTGTTTTTTAATATGACCCTTTTCAGTGTTATTAAGATAATAAAAGCATGTTGTCTTCTTCAATTACATTTTTATATATAATGAATATGATAATTACTGATTCAATAGATATACATACTATGATTTATATTAAGTCATACTTCAAGTTTGTAAGACAATACTGCATATTTACAAGATGGGAAAGGCAGATAAGTTCACAAAAATGGGCAAGTTAATTGTACTAGAAACCAGAACAACGGCAACGCCAAAGCGTAGCGAATCCCATCGAACAGCCATGGATGGCATTTTTACAAACAAAGGATATAGCAAAAATGGCAGCCATTTTTCAAAATGGCCGCCTTCTACCAAAAGTGTCATTAGACCATGTGCCATGCTTATAGTATTCACATACCAAATATGAGCAAAATCGCTCCACTACTTTTCAAGTTATAGTAAAGTACGTTAAAATGGCGGCCATTTTTCAAAATGGCCACCTTCTACCAAAAGTGCCATTAGACAGTGTGCCGTGCTTATAGTATTCACATACCAAATATAAACAAAATCGTTCCACTACTTTTCGAGTTATAGTAAAATATGTTAAAATGGCGGCCATTTTGAAAAATGACCGCCTTCTACCAAAAGTGTCATTAGACAGTGTGCCTTGCTTACAGTATTCACATACCAAATATGAACAAAATCGCTTCACTACTTTTCGAGTTATAGTAAAATACGTTAAAATGGCGGCCTTTTTTCAATTTTTTTTTCAAAATGGCCGCCTTCTACCAAAAGTGTCATAGGACAGTGTGTCATGCTTATAGTATTCACATACCAAATATGAACAAAATCGCTCCACTACTTTTCGAGTTAAAGTAAAATACGTTAAAATGGCAGCCATTTTGAAAAATGGCGGCCATGGCGGCCATTTTTCAAAATGGCCACCTTCTACTAAAAGTGTCTTTAGACAGTGTGTAATGTTTATAGTATTCACATACCAAATATGAACAAAATCGCTCCACTACTTTTCGAGTTACAGCAAAAATCGTAAAATAACGAGTAAAGAACGCCATTTTTCAAGATGGCTGCCATGTGCTTCTTTAATATCTACATTTCTAGCTTTATTAATGTCCTATATAATTTTTTTACATCTAAAACATATTGCTATTACAGTTTTACATATTGCACCTAAATTACTGTAAATTAGGCACTAAAATGGCCGCCATTTTGAAATGAGCGGCCATTTTGAAAATCGGCTTTCGAGCAGAACTTCTACCCCCATAGGGTATATGTGTACAAAATATGAACAAAATCGGGCCGACGGTATTTGAGTTATTGCCCGGACGGACGGACGGACGGACGTACGTACGGACGGACGGACGGACGGACGGAGGCGTTCCCTATATCCCTCCGAACTTCGTTCGATGGGATAATAACAAGAATACCTTAATTTTCCATGTGAATTAAAAATTCTGAGGATTTCTTGGTATTTCTAAGAAAAATAGCTCGTTTTAATTGTAACTTGAATTTAATGAGTCTCACATAATTCAATGATATTCACATAAAAACATCATTTATTGATTTAATAAATAATAAATAAACTTTTTTCTTGGAGTAATGAATTTAAAATAAGCAAACACAATTGCCAATAAGGCCATAAGAAGTAGATTCTTTGTTTTGCGTCCCCTTGCTTGCACGATTTTGAGTAAATCAGAAAAAGCAAACACATCCAAATAGCAATCACAAAGTCTGGAAGTACCATCGCATTTCGTTCAATCAGAATCAGACAAAATGGTGGAAAATTTGATGTGCGTCAAAATGGACAGTGTTTTTGATTACTTTGGCATACATTGTGTATTTTCTTATTTTTACCCTTGAAATATACTGTATAGAATGTATAGATACATAGAAATTGGTATGTCATGCCCTTTTATGCCCTTGAAATGTATACATTTCTCAGCAAACAAGTTTGTGTTTTTTCTTGAGTTTGTGTTTGTTTTCCTTGTATCCTTGCATGATTTGGATTTTGCGAGGACGCAAAACAAAGAATCTACTTCTTATGGCCTAAGCATGATTACCATTTCCAAAGTATGATCACCATTGCCAATATATGATCACCATCAGCATTCATGAAAAATTGATGTTTTCACTTGCAGAATTCATAATTAATATCATGTTGAAGAAAAGTGGATGAGTGTCTTATAATACAAAATAACAGATCCAAGAATACATTTCTCGTTTCAAAATGAAGAATTAGATGCATGGCCTGTCTCGAATGTTCCAACTCTGTTGCTACCATACAACAGAGTCAAGTAAGCTCTTGTATCAACACTTTTCTTGTTTCAAAATGTAGAATTAGATACATGGCTTATCTCGAATGGTCCAACTCTGTTGCTACCATACAACAGAGTCAAGTAAGCTCTTGTATCAACACTTTTCTTGTCTCAAAATGTGGAATTAGATACATGGCTTATCTCGAATGTTCCAACTCTGTTGCTACCACACAACAAAGTTAAGTAAGCTCTTGTATCAACACTTTTCTAGTTTCAAAATGAAGAATAAGATGCATGGCTTGTCTCGAATGGTCCAACTCTGTTGTTACCACACAACAGAGTCAAGTAGGCTCTTGTATCAACACTTTTCTTGTTTCAAAATGTAGAATTAGATGCATGGCTTGTCTTAAATGTTCCAACTCTGTTGCTACCACACAACAAAGTCAAGTAAGCTCTTGTATCAACATTTTTCTTATTTCAAAATGTGGAATTAGATGCATGGCTTGTCTCGAATGTTCCAACTCTGTTGCTACCACACAACAGAGTCAAGTAGGCTCTTGTATCAACACTTTTCTTGTTTCAAAATGTAGAATTAGATGCATGGCTTGTCTCGAATGTTCCAACTCTGTTGCTACCACACAACAGAGTCAAGTAGGCTTTTGTATCAACACTTTTCTTGTTTCAAAATGTAGAATTAGATGCATGGCTTGTCTAAAATGTTCCAACTCTGTTGCTACCACACAACAGAGTCAAGTAAGCTCTTGTATCAACATTTTTCTTGTTTCAAAATGTGGAATTAGATGCATGGCTTGTCTCGAATGGTCCAACTCTGTTGCTACCACACAACAAAGTCAAGTAAGCTCTTCTAAACTCTTTACTTTTCCAACCATATACCAATGCGTTCATGAATGAATTTGAGATATACACCAAACCAAATATTGTCCATACCACATTTAATCCTTCAGATGGTCCCACAAACATTGAAATGATACCACACAGGAAAAATGGTGCAAAGAAAAGAAGCAACATCCCATATACAGTTGCTACCATCTTTAGAATCTTATAATCCGCTCTTTTAACTCGCTTCACAATGTTGTCTTGTGGGAGATTATGGAGTGCCTGCTGGTGATCAACAGCCCTTTTGCTTTTCCATGCAATATAGAAAATCTTGCAATATAAAAGTGTGATAATCGTTAACAAGATTAATCCATGAGCAACTACCGTGATATTATAAGCCAGAGAGTTGTAAGTTGATGCGTCAAAGCTGCATATTCCAGGTTTCCATTCGTTCATATAACTGCACGAGATGAATCCAACAGCAGAATATGAGAGCACACAAACCATCAAGATTTTAATGTTAAAATCTGTAAATATCGCTGTGTAGCTGAAAGGTTTTGTGATCGCGATATAACGCTCGCAAGAAATGCACAAATAAATTACTGTAGAGATACTGACTGGGTAATTTGCGACAGCAACAATCACTAAACATGAATATTTCTCGAAGGGGCCTCCATCAAAGTTCCAATGTTTCATCCAGTAAACACGGAAATAATACACTGGAGTAAAAAGTCCTATGAAAAAATCACTCCATGAGAGATAAAACAACAGTTTGTTGTTAACTGTCTTTAAATAATCAAATTTAATAATAGCAACAATTGTTAAGATATTTGATGCAACGGCCAATATTCCTATTATAGCTGCTCCAGTTATATAGACTTTAGGCCCTATTTCTGTGTTGTCTTCAAACGTGATGTTTTCTATGTCACTCATATTAAACATCCTGGATGTTCTTAAAATCAATTACTAAAACCTACATCTCCTAAAATGTTGTAATAGAGTAAACACATCTTGGCATGTTAATTACTAAATTAGAAAAAATCTATCAACGTCTCAGAGAAGCCATAGAATAATAGTTGAATTGATATTCGTTATCGAGGAATACAAGGTAAACGGTAATCGATCAGTTCATCACAAACAATCCAGTAATAGTTTAAATATTCAATCTTTCAGATTTTCCAATTAATCAAGAGAAATGTATAAATGCTTTGTACTGTGGTAATTGTATTGTCATCACCTTGTCTGTAATATATTCAGTGGCAGACACACATTTTCTTTTATTATCATCACTGCATACCTGCTCATAATCTTTTTAATTATTAATCAAGTAAGATCTAGGCTTTGGAAGATTAACAGGCCTAAAAACTGACTTAAAGATATCTTGTACATATATGTATTTAACATGGTTAATCAGGGCTATTCTAACAGTGTCTCTTTATTTTCAATTAAAAAAATAAAATAATAAATCAGGGAAATGTTATTTCAATATATAACAATCTTAATTTTGAATAATGTAATTGTTTTCTATTATAATTTGTAAATATTTTTAATTATTTGTTGGTAATTAAAATAATGAAAATGACAAAAAATACTCATCATTTAAATGCCACACCTACAATCTATAAATAGAATCTATCACAAGACTATATAAATCGACTCAGTAATTGAACAATCCAAAATGAAATCAATGATAGCAATATGATGGTACTTACTTTGAGGGAAAACCAATTGATCAGATAGGAATAGAAACAAGTGTGTTAAAGTTAAAGTGATCTTCTTGGCAAATAGTGACGCAACCTCCCTCAAACATATAAATAATACATATAAATAGCATGAATTTACTAATTGAGAGGTTTTTTGTTGGTTAATCTGAAAACATAGGATCAAATCCTATGATGCGGGCTGATGTGAAAAAGCCACTCCACCCTGGTGGGAATCGAACCCACAACCTCCCGATTACATGTCAGGTGCTCTACCACTAATTCAGAGGTTGTTTGTTGATATCAATGGTAAAATTATTTATCTCATTGATTAAAAATTCAGATTCAAAAAATGACCACACTGAACCGTCATGTTATTTACAGAAAGTGTTTTGCAGACTCAGTCTGCAAAGGGTTTTATCGTATGATCTGTAAAATGAAGCCCTCTGATTGGTTCAATCTGTATTGCTCCTGAGGTTGTCCCCTCCGTACCAATATTTTCTGTATTGCTACTGAAATGATCAATCTGGTACCAATACAAGGTGACAGGTTATTTCTAGTCAATACCGATACATTGACTGTACATCTTGCCTTTTGTTTAGTTTACCAGGCTAGAGACTTTACCCGGTCATTCCACTCTGAAAACTGGCTGGCATTTTTACAAACAAAGTATATAGCAAAAATGGCAGCAATTTTTCAAAATGGCCACCTTCTACCAAAAGTGTCATTAGATAGATCCGCCAGCAGTCACTCGGGATACAAAAGTATGGGCGGATACACTCGCCGGCAGCATGCTAAAGGTTAAATACGTAGATTGTATTCTGATTGTATTTCATTCATGAAATAAACGTGTCTGGATTGAATTAATGGTTTTAGAGCAAGTTAGAATTTTCCCTAGGGATTATCTCCTAAGTAAAATGTATTGGCCTAAGATCCCATCATTGATGAAGTCTCATGCCAATACAGAATGGGACAGCATGTTTTCCATTCAATCGAAGTTGAGCCATACAACCGAAGGTAAGCAATACAACCGAAATTTGCCAATTCAATCTGACGGAGAATGCCGAGCCTCTCTTTTTGACCAATTAGAGACGTCCTCTTCACATTCGTGGTACCCTCGGCCAACTTCGTTTGTAAAGAAAATCTTCGGCAATCTCCGGCTTTTCTTGAGGTATCTTCGGTTGCAAGCCAAAAGTAAACACCCAATACAGAATTTCTTGAGCACACCTCCCATCTATATTTATTTTCAATTTATCATTCTAAATAATCTAAATTACAGACTTGCCATCTATCTATGTCTGTAAACACTACGGATGAACTACTGTATATCAAAATCTTTGTTTAGTATATCTTTATTTTTTGAATAGTAGTGACAAAAAGCTAAATATGATAGTACATGTAGCTATAGTAGTACTCATCTTATAAAGGTTCAGGGAAAACATCCCTCTTAAATATTTCCTGACTGACTTTAAAAAACTACATCAGGGTAGTAGTAGATGGACGTTAAACAAGGATCAGAAAACTGTCTCTCCCTTCATATCCACTGGTCTATAAGCAGTGTACATGTACTACTATAATTATATGAATCCCTACATGTTGATTCAGTAATCATTATAATAATTTATTAAGTTTTACTTGTTCGTTCAATCGATGCAATTGACAATTGCGTACTTCCGTCTCACATTCTCATTGGTTAGTGTGTATGCCATATACCGCAGGTGAATCTGTCATACACCGCAAGTGAATATGCCATATTCGTTGCGGAATATGACATATTTTTGTATCGTGTTTACCGCGTAACAATGTACTAAAGTTAGGATAAATATAAATGTTTCTATTTTTACATAAACTGTTTCAATATGGTCATTTGATTGCTTATTTTTTAAATTCAAAGTACTCACAAATATTACTGTTTTGACTATATATTCCCACATTACATAGTATGCCCCTGAATCATTGAATCCCACTCCTTATTTAGTCATATCCATTTTCCCATTTAATTACCAAGATGAGTTGTGATAACGTCAAGATAATGGAAAACCTTTGTTTCAGCAATCTTGAATTGATGGCTCCAGATTCTACTACAGTAAACCTGTTCCAGTGGAACACCTTTAGTACCGCTTTAAAGTTCCAAAGGGAGGCGTTGCAGTTTAACAGGTTCATTAAACATGAAGTCGATTGGTCTTGGGATTCTGAAAAATGTTCTTCTAACAGAGGTGTTCTACTTTTATATGTGTTCAACTTTACAGGTTTCACTGTATTTTGGAAAATACTCATATTTTCCATTTTAAGCATACACTCTATGTAATGATATTCTCTCAAAGGTGTCCATACTTACTTTATTTGCATGAAGTCAATGAGAGTGTCATCATTATCTTCTGAAGCAGGGTTACCATTATAGTCTGCATTCTGATTGGATGCCGGAGCCCCAAGAAGAGGCGATCGCTCCGAGGATTTGATACCAGCCATGTTTGGTAGAGACTGCAAATATAAATTTCAAAAAAATATAAATACTTTACAACATATCATAAGCTGGGAATACTTGTATGTATATGAAGATGAACACTACATACATGTACATACACATGTAATATAAATAACATTTAAAGGCCCACTATACTTCTATAAAAATGAATGTATCATGTAATACAAACTACTTGATATATGAAGCTTGACAAATCAAAAATATTTTTTGATAATTTATTTTAAGCTTTAATGTCGTCTGTTTGAGCTGTTTTTGGTGTCAAACCATTGGACATACTATGAAATTCAAATGTAAGTGTTTGTTTTGCCCAAAAATTTGAAAATATTGTAACACAAAGTGGGCCTTTAAACATTTAAGCATGTATTGCCTACCATTTATGTCACTTTCCTGGGGCCGTGAATTTGTACGATCCAAGAATTTATCCAGATAAATTTTATCTTTTTGGATTATTGATCCAGATTAATATATGGTGAATTTGTAGGATCTTAGGATTTTGGGGTTATCCCCAAGATTTATTTTTACAAAATTTATCTGAAGATTAATGCACCTAAGTAGGTGGATTGAGATATGGATAAAATTTATCCTAAAAATTGTATGAATTCACCAATATTCGGATAAATTCCAAGATTAATCCCACAATGGTATATGCTTCAAATACCAACATGCCCCAACAAGTACAAAACCATTACTATTAGATTAATTTTGAGCAAAATCTGTCAAAAAGAACAGGTATCAAGGAGGATTGGCTCCCAGGGTGCAACATCACTATTCTGTCCCATATATGGAGATATCATGATTCAAAATTCGAATTCAAACAGCTGCCACTTGCCAGTTGTTCACTTGAACATTTGAATCATGAATTTTGGTCTTATTTCCAAATGAAAAATTCCAAAACACACAAGAAATGATCGAGATATTGGTTTGAATCTTTTGGACTGTTTAGTTTGAATAAATAGTCGGTTAAAATTTCAGAAAATAATGACATTTTGATGTTTTCATTGTTGGAAATGTCAAGTTTCGATCCTGGGAGCCAATCCTCGAACAGTATGACAAATGATTTTAAATCTTGGACCATGACTATATTCTTTCCATAAATTCAACTTGCTCATCAAAATAATATGTTTCCTCTAATTGAGGTCCCTGGGATAATAAAATTATCAATTCGACTGAAAAGCCATGGATTAGGACCCTACCTCAACACATTTTCAAAATATGTGACTTATTTTCTAAAAAATTAGAAAAAAAATTGGAATTGTTTGTACCTGATTTTCTGCAAGCTCAACCTGTATAAGTGTAATACCATATTGTTTATCATTTACTTCAGTGTAATCCATTATCCTTATTCTATTTATATATCCAAAATGATGACAATTGTAATAGATCCTTGTCACAATATCCTTTTTTCAAATCCTTTTGGTAAACAGTTGAATAAAATTTGATGATTAATTATTGTATAGTATTTTGAAAGTACCTGTTCTTATTCAAATGATGACAAAAGGTGAACTTTTTGAGGTAAATTATTTGAGTCAAGATATAAGGACACAGTTACAAGATTAAAACAAATGATGAATCTTAAAGTCCCCGTCTAAAGTTTGGAAAATATTTTTTTATCATTCATTTACTATTTGTCAGGACTTAAAAAGTGATTTTAGAGATTTTTGGACCAAAAAAAATTTTTGAAAAAATAGTTATGAGCATTTCATTTCTCAAATATTCAAATTTCCCGCCATTTTTCAAAAAAAATTGAAATTTCTTAATCATCAAATATTTCTTAATGCATTTCAAAAAAGATTATCTTTTTAACACCAATGCAAAGATTGAACAAAGGACACACTATTTCAATAATAAAATAAAGTACATAATAGCTCTGGTATTTCTTCATTCCAAATACATTGCATCGGGTGATTCAACTTACGCAAGACTGGGGATGTCATTCCCACATAAGCGGCAGACAAGCCCTCTTTGGAAATTTTAAGACAAAGGGCAATGTGGGTATCAAGGAAGGATACATACATGTTCTCTCAGGTCCAACTCCAGAACAATAGACTTATTTACTCTTCACACGACATTCAAAGACGTCTTGGCTAAAACATTTTAGAAAAATTATGTTGAGTTTACACCACCATTTTCAAGACATCTTACGACATATGATTGAGTTTACACTAGTGTTGTCGCGATTAATCGATACATCGCGATATACATCGCCAAAGCTGATTCTGGCGATGCATTGATGTCTGAAACAACACATCGATGTTTTTAAAAAAATTAATTTGCTAAAAATCGCCCTTTCTTATCTTATTTTGACGCAAATTGCTTACCTTCTTTCATGTCTTATTTCATTTTCCAATGTTTTCTGACATTGTTTCGCTTTAGCTAGTCGAAATGAACCATTAATCTAAAAAAAGTTTCTTTACTTTCATTTCACCGTTACTTGAAGTTCCCGGATGTACCAGCATACTCTTATTAATTTGTTCTGTTCGGTATTATAGTGCATTAGCGTTCGGTATTTCAATGCACTTTTCTCAAACTTTTTCTCGATGTACATCGTGATGTGCATCGATGTTTACTACTGAAAATTGCTGATGCATCGATGTACGATTATAGCACATCGCGACAACACTAGTTTACACCTGTTTTTCTAAAACATCTTAGAGATATCATGGGCTTTCAATGAAAGAAAAATATGTCTTAAAGATGTAGCATTGTTAAAAGCATGAAAGAGAGCAGAAAGATTTTATGCATATATTCGGATTATGATAGATCGCCAGGCAAATAAGTTCTTCTCAATAATTTTGGGATGATATTGGTAACAAGGGATATGACAAAAGAAAGGACGCTAAAACGTTTTAGCCAAGACATCTTAGGGCTCTAGTGTAAATCCAACAAATGACAATTTTAAGATTACAGGCAAAGTATAAACTCATCTCATGGATGTCATGTTTCTTATTCATCGATATACCTAAGGACATTTATTTAACATGTCCTAGGCCTCCAATCTGTGTCTTGAACAAAGCAATGCCCTTTACAGGTGTAAATATGATATGGAAATTAGAAATAAATCAAAAACTAACATCAATTCCTTGTTTGCGTGTTTCCATAAAATTAGAAACTGTTTCTTTAAAATAAGAGAATTTTCTGGGTGCTACCATAGAAAGAAGAAAAACTCTCTCGTACATAATTTTACTTCCTTAGCAATTATAGCTATTGAAGTTTGACAAATGCAGTAAAACCTGTCAAAGTGGAACACCTTTGGTACTTCTAAAATGTGTTCCACTTGGGAGGTGTTCCACTTTACAGGTTTCAATCTTTTTTATATCATACCACTTTAAGTTGAATATGAGAGTGCTAAGAATGTACTTTAACTATGCTATCTATTGTCTATAATTGTCATATAATTAAAGATGTGCTCAATGGCTAAGTTGCATATGTGAGTATATATATACATGTTTGTGCATATATACATATGTAAGTTATCAAGGTACGGGTACAGATATTTGGAGGTCAACATCTGTGTACTTAAACATGTGACATGTAAAACAAACATTTATGATAAATTAGATTTAAAACTCTGATAAATTTGCATGAACCCCAATATAGTGAATGAAAAATATGAAGAAAACACCAAAAGATTTTAACTTTTAAGCGAACCCCTCACCCCTCACGTCCTTCTGTTGTTTGGGGTATAGAAAAGGTTTGTGCCGAGCCCTGTAGTATATGTATTCTTCGATCTACATTTCTTAATAAGGTACATGTACAATATTCCACTTCTTTGAACTTCTCCATTCCTCATTTACAATTCAATTTATCATAGTGAACTCAGTTCAGTGATAGTTAATCTTGAAACAATTTATATAAGTTAACATTTTCGATTTACCTGTGTCCTGAAATACCTCTATCAATTAAATACAACATATTCAAGGTCCGATTCAAACTCTAATTGACATTCTGGTTATCTATCTGTAACAATCCTATTTACAAATGTTTTGTTATTGAACTACATTTGTCTATGGCGGATCCGGCCCGGCCCGGGCCCCCCCCCCCTAAGGTTGGCCAAGAAAACAAAAAGTTGGGCCCAAAAAAATTTTAGGCCAAAAAAGGCCTTCAGGCCCCAAAAAGTGGGCCTTTTGGTCATTATTAGGCCTTCTAAGGCCTTATTTTTTTAATTTTAGGCCAAATTTTGAAGAAAATGGGCCTCAAATTTTCAAAATTTGGGCCCACTTTTCGGTTTTAAGGGGCCCTGTTGGTTCCTGGATCCGCCACTGTTTGTTAAATCCAGAATCAGGTTCAGCTTCAATTTTCTGTCAACTTTCTTTTATTTTATGGTGGGGGGGGAAGAATTACCCAATACAATACACTGTGTATGTTTACCATAATTCTGTTCAAAGGACTTATAGTAATCATCTATACCCAAAGGTGGTGTACTGGCAGAAAATGCTCAATGTACAAAAAAAGTACACCCCTTTACTCTCAAAATAAAATAATAAAAAAGTATTACTTTAACATATGATTTAGAATTGGTAACCCTAGTTATGCATATTATAAATACGAAACCTGTAGGATAAAAGCTAAAAAGCTTTAAGATAATAGCTTAAAAGCATTTAAGATAAAAGCTAAAAAGCATTATGATTTTTAAAGAAATCTACAATGGAATACATATAACATTCATAGTAAAATATTTTACAAGCAGGCTACCTGATCTCCTTGTATATTTAAGCCCGCTTCCTGCCAATCGATAGTTTCGTCTGGTGGACTTCCAGTGGCCATCATCTATAAATTATAAGACACTGGGTATAAGCAGAACTAACTACGGTGACAGAGTGGTGCAAATGTATAGCCTTGGTAGCTAAATTCAAGACCATCTAGCTATTCGCTTTTTTGTGCAGTTTCAAAACAACCATTGTGAGAAATGACCTTGATTCAACATCTTTATAAAATATAGGAAGAGTTTCAAAATTTTCATCTAGGCTAATAGAAATTATGCTTAAGTATTTCCTTATAAGGGAGATCCATATGATTTGAAATCTTTTTAATACCCTTTCTTGTAATCATTTTGACCAAAACATTGATGAAATAGGTAATATTTTTAAAACTTTTATGCAGATATTTCCTCATTATGGACGAATTCAAAATCAAAATATTGTGATTAAGGGGAGGCATCAAAAGTTCGATGTCGGATCTGAAACTAAATAAATCTAGTTTTGACTCTGACCCCCCTCCCCCAAAAACTAAATACCATGAAAGTTGATCGCTGACTTCCGGTTTGAGAATTTGAAAAAAATTATTGCTAAATACGATCTAGTTTTTGTTAATTCCTATCGTAATTTGTGGCTTTTAACAACTATTGATAGAATAGAATCTATTGGAATGATCTTGATGAAGAAAGCAGCAGGGAAAATTTTCTTTTTAAACCATTCCAAGGCATTCTGAGTTGAAATTGCCAAAAATTTGAAATGTTGAAATTTGTCGGATAGCAAACTGAAATGAGTTTGAACCCCCTCTCCCCCTAAGTAGATTTATTTAGTTTTTCTATCCGACATCAAACTTTTGACGCCTCCCCTAAATAACATGTTCATTATTCAGACTTGAAAAAATGAACTGTGAATTCAAAATAGCAATCCAAAAGATTTAAACTAATGTATTAATCACTTCTTGTCTATTTTGAAATATTTGGAATCTTGTGATTCAAATTTAGACATGAAAAAAAGACAGCTGTTTAATTTTGAATTTTGTAATATCAAGACATCACAGCGGATATGGCAGTGGTAAAATATAGGAGGGACTCTGAGTCAGCCTTATATTTTTTCTCAAAAACTAATACTTTTTATTTCTTACTTTATTAGATCATGGGTTTTCAACTTTTAAAGCCCATGATTAGAAATTGAACCTGTCACAGATACAGCTCCTACTCCCTTGTAAGGAAACACAAATCTCTCCCCCAGATTAGAGAAATTTTGAAATAACAGATGAATTTACTCACTCTAAAAGTAAGGAAAACACCTCTACAATTTGAGATTGCTGTAACTTTTGTGACCTATGGAACCAATAGACTAATACGCGATAGATGAAAACATAAATATCTCCCGCAATACATCGCTTCAAGTGGGACAAATTTTCAAGAAGTGTCTGTTGATAAAAGCGTAAAATAAGCGAGCATATATTTAATGGAGTGCTTAGGCTATCTCCGTTGTTCAAATGTTTATTCCCGAAGTCAAATGTCTTTTCTGAGAATATGACGCCACTCCGGATGATGTTACATCAGAGATTACCGAGAAATCCCATAATGTATCTTTAAAATCCTGTAGAAACGATCACAACGGTTTGTTAGGCTTCATGATCTTTACTTTCATTGGCTGTTTGTAGCGATTTGACATAATTTGAGACATGAACAACATCGGACATTGCTGGAAATTACTGAAACACTCCATTATCTTTACGCTCTGAAAATTTGAAAGAAATGTCCCAGGAAAATTCGATTTACAGCGTCAATAATTGATATCATGCAACCATTCAAACTAATATATAAAGAGAGATTACAGGGTAAATATTGATCAATCAATGTCTGACATATCGAAAAAATAAAGGTCAGTACGAGGGTCATATTTTTGGGTGGTCATTTTTTTGATGTAGCATTTTTGGCTTGTGTCTTATCTTCCCATTTATCCTTTGAGCCTACTACCAATAGGGCCTGGATCTGGCTCTGTGCCCAAATGGAGCTATTTTATTCTACGGTCAATAGGCTCTATAGTATAAATGTAGGGCCATTTGGAAGGGAGGGGAGTGAAAGTGTCATTTTATGCTTGAGTAAGGAAAGTGAAGAAAAGTTTCCTTATGTACTTACAAATTGTCACTGATGGAATTCAGCGTGCTCTTTCAGTTATATCAGCAGAAACTAAATCCTTAAAATCATCTAGATGGACCATCAAATGATAAAAATACAAGTAAAGATAAAAGTTTGAAAATTTGTTGGAAACCCCGACTTCCGTGTACTCACGTGACCCAATCAACTTGTTCAAGAATCATAAATTAAAAACACAGCGTTTGTGGCACTAAACTAATATTGAAGTAGCAATTATTTCAAAACACTGTTTGAAGATTAATTTTAAATGGTAAAAATATCGAAATGTATCTAAAATGATGGTCTAAAATCCGAAAAGATGTACTGCAATAATGAACGGTCCCCAAGCACATGCCAATGTTTTGAATGACGTCACCATTACTCATTGGCGAAAAATCAAAAATGGGGGACGATCTACCTACAGATTACGATGTGATTGTGCTAGGTTCAGGTATTTATACAATTTATTTGTTATGGCTGAAGGTAGATACATGTCTCGATACGTCGTTTTTGCATGATTACCCTGTAATACATACATTATGATGGATAAAATTGCAGATTTTGGAAGGTGGGCGATAATAGATGTGTAATTTTGTAAAAATATTCAAAGCTTAGGCTATTTATTACAATCTGTTATTCTTAACCAACTATGGGATTTCTAAATTCACTATACTGTTTTGTATACTTCACTACTCCCCAATATGTTGGGGATAAGTTACATTCTAATAACATCCCTCTCTTGAAAGCCCATGCAGTATAAAGGACCCAATGGTGCCCGTGACGGTGCCTCTAGGGTATACAACTGTGATTTTTAAGCAAATCAAATTCACAATAACATCCAAATACTATTAATCTTGGGTGTGCATCCAGGATGAATGAAGATAAAAATCTAAACTACAGTGCTCACCATAAATAAATGACACCTGCATTTGCTGAAGTGAGGATTTCCCATGTTAAAAGAGAATTTTCAAGAGGCTATACATCAGTGGATGAGAGTATATAAAATGTAAAATATACAAAACTTAAGGGATGTATATCTAGACATTATTGGAAAGTATGAAGTCTCAAATCACAATGGCCTGGAAATGGTGATAGAAAATTCAGGTGTCATTTATTTATGGTGAGCACTTTACATCGACAGTTTCCTTATAGTACCTTTTTTTCTTCTGTGACAATAACAATTCTTCCAATGTAATAAGCAATTCAAACAAACAGATGCTTCTTTGTATAAAAATCTCGAGCTGATTAGTTTTTTTGCATTCTGGGTAAATTTTAAGATAGCCATTTAACATTTTCCATACTTATCTTGGCTGTAAAGTCTTAGATGAGCTTTCAGGCAAACCATTTCACTGATCAATTTTCAGGGTGATTCTTTATATTAAAATCTCAAGCTGATTACAATGTAGTTTTTGGACATTCTCGGTAAATGTTAAGGTGACCATTTAGGATTTTCCATCCTAAAATCTTGTCTGTAAGGTCTTGCCTGTGCCTTTTCAGGTAAACCGTTTTAAGGATCCATATCAATTTCAGGGACAATTCTTTGGATGGAAATCTCAAACTGATTAGTTTTTGCGAATTCTGGGTAAATCTTGTTTGTAAAATCTTTTCTATGTGTTTCCAGGTGAACTGTTTCAAGGATCGATTTTAAATTTTCAGGGATGATTCTTTATATGAAAATCTCAAACTAATTTGCTTTTGGTCATTCTGGGCAATGTTAAGGAGGCTATTTTTTATTTTTTTGGTCCTAAAATCTTGGCTGTCTTGAAATCTCAACTGATTAGTGTTGGTCATTCAGTATGAAAAATCATTAGGATCACCCATTGGTGGGGGACATGAAATACACGTTTGTCTCGTTGTATTTAGTACTCCTGACATTTGATTTTCCTAAAATTAACATGGCTGAAACTCCATACATTTCAAGAGGCCACAGGTTTATTGCACATAAAATTTGTCTGATATATAAACATTTTGAAAGGAAGAGTGCTAGATTCAATGCCCACTGTGGGAATTGAACCCAGGACCTATAGATTCAAAGTTTGATGCTGTATTAATTGAGCTATAAGTTCTTGAGCCACTTCTTTCATAAGACTCTCAAAAGCAGCTGGCTCACATGCCTCATGTCTAGCCATGCCTTGCCTCATAGGCTAAGGTCGATAGAAAAGAAATTATTTTTATATTCTCTTGAGAAAAAGATAATACTAGATTCTGTTGGTGCTGCCATCTTTATACTGACCCAGAACCTATACCTTGCCTATAGACCAAGGCTGAATATTCAAATCCCACAGACTCATGAGGCCTAAAACTGAGATATTGAATTCAACCACTTACTTCATATTGCCAAATGTTTCCTACATAAAAAGGGAACTTAAAATTGTCAAAATATGACGTCATTCATGTGTGTTTTCTCAAACAACAAAGGACACTTGACTTTTGAATTAAAATAATTTCTAAATGCAAATAACTATGACTCAAAAATTAATGTATTTGTTTATTCTTGAATTGTATATGGGTAAACTGACAAATTAAAAAGACATTGTCAATTACTTTTTTACAAAAAAATTGATGATTAGTATAAACAAATATTGCTGCTATTCAACTATCATCGACCAGTGTCAAAATATATTTAAGTTTGGATATTTCATCAAGACTAACATATATTTTCATTATCTACAAAGAAACCTACTGGATGAACATTATTTCAGCTGATATTCCTCTTGAAACGTGGTGGATATTAAAAATCTATATTATAAGTGGGACTGCCTTTATAGAAGCTTTGAACTGCCTTTATAGAAGCTTTGAACTGAATTTACACTTCTTAATGTTGAAACTGATAGTTTACATACATTTCAAGAAAATAGGTATGTCAAAGAAGGTGTTAAGCCAAATATTGACCTGATAGCTCAGAAAAAATATAATTTTCCAATCTTCTCTCTACAGTCCTTGTTGCCCCTTTAACTATGGCAATATTATACACCTACTTTATTCACCAGATTATACACTAAAGACTTTTTTCGATATCAGTAAACTATGACGTAATTTATGTCTGATCTTTATCAAGAACACTTGCAACTTTAAACTTTCTTTTCTTTTATTCTTTATTTCTACCCACACTTGTGAGTCACAGTTTGAATATTATTTAAGGCAATCAAATTGAATAAAAAGCAAGTATTCACATTAGGGATCCCACGATACATTTTGCTTCGATTCGATACGTATCTCGATATTATGAAAACGATTCGATACAAACGATTCGATACACATTTATGTAAATGTCTGTGTTTACATGGCTGCATGCAGTGCATGGGGGGGGGGGGGGTTCGAGTCCCCCGGCCCCCGTTAAAAAAAATTCAAAGTTACTCTTCTGAGCATAGAAAGTTGTGTTGTTATTGATTGTTGGTTTTTTAAAAGACCTCCACCTCAGAATTACCTTCTGGGTTGTGTTTATTGCGATGGTGTTCTCCATATTACGAATATCAGCAAATTTACGGGATTTAAAGTTTTAAACCTCGCCGAGGTTTCGCGGTTCATTAAATATTTGAACGTCATGTTTGATTGTCGTTCGCTAAATATATTGCAAATTGAAAAGATACTATAAACATCTTAAAACATTAAAATAAAGATACGTCTAGGGCCCTATCGCATTTATTACGTATTAAGATAATTTATGGTATAATATTTGGTGTGAAAATGCACATAGGGCATCTAAAATCACAAATGTTCGCAAAATTATTGAAAATCCATTTATTGCTAAAAAGTTCACTGTCGGTTTGAATCACAAAAATATGTGGCGTGTCATGTTTAGCTCTTCAAAATATTTTTAAATTTTAATTTTTCGCGGAGTTTTGCTGTGTCAATTTTGGTTTAATTGAGCTCTTTTACTTACTTAACGGGTGAGTTGGAATTGAAAAACGATTATCGATAATATCGAAAATAGAGGATCCATATCGATTAATCGAATCGGAGGTGATTTCTAGCGATTATATCGGTGCATCGAGCAATCGTGGGATCCCTAATTCACATTATATGGAACTTTTAAATGGTTTGTGTTACCGCAATGGAAAATCAAAATAATTTACCCAATTGCCATAAATTAGTGGCATGATCAACCTTATGTAAAAATGAATTCAGTGACACCAACTTTTTTTCTGATTGAGAAGCAAATTTATAACATTGTCATTTCAACGTAAAGATAAATGAGCCTGGCCATAGGAAAACCGGTCTTATCACAAAAATTAAAATTGTGCTACAGAGCCAAAAATGTGCCCAAGATTAAAAGAAAAATATGCTAAATTCAAATCCTACTTTTTGGTCTATATATGCAAGGAGAAATTGTTACAACACAAGCCATGGCTCATTTAAAAATTAAAAAAAAAAATTAAAATATTGAAAAAATCTGTGATAAGACCCCTTTTCCTGTGGCCTGGCTCAAATACACTTTATCATAAAGTAATGTTTAGGCCTCACAGGACACAATAACCTTGAAATGTAACTGAAAAAAGAAGATCTTTGTACATTTAAATCAAGGCGAATAAGCTGAATAAGGACAACTAATAAAGAGTGTCTGTGCACAAAAAGTTTAAAAAAATTAAATGGGCATTTCAATAAGTCATGTCAAGTTTACATGATGTTTTTATGATGATTTTGAAACCAAATGCAATCTTATGATAAGAGACTGAACTTTGTTTACTTTTTTTAGCAAAAAATTGTAGCCTCTCACCCTTTATATATACATGTATATGTATCTTTAGCTTTTATTGACCCTCTGATGTCATAAAATGACATAGTAATCACAACAGTCTATTACACACAAAAATCAATTAAACTAACTACATATTATACGTCATAATTTAGTTAGTTAAAAAAACAGCATGACAAATTGTTAATGTTCAGCTGGAAAGTAACATTTTGGTAAAAAATTGCTATACCTGCACATGTTATTTTCTGGTACACTATAAAGTATGAAGGCATTTGTTAATTTCCTTGCTTTTTTCTGGTAAGTATCGTTACATTGTCTTCTTTTAGTATATCTGGTAAGAGGTCAATGGGAACTCCAGGAAATTCTGATATTTCACACTTTCTGTTTTTCCAAATTTTTTTTCAAAGTTTCCAGACAACACAGGAGCTACCATTGACCTGTTTCCAGGTTTACTAAAAGTAGACAATGTAATGATACTTTCCTGAACCTTAAAATATCAGTGTGATGTATCATTGCCACAATGTTAACCAATTCTGAATGAATGATAAATGAACTTTTCTAAGTATGAATTACATCTATAGTACAGTATATGTAGTAGGAGGTCTAATAAAACATACAATCCACCCCAATGTTTTTTGTTTTTATTAGTTTCTATGGCAATGTTTCTACTTACAGGTATGTCAGAATGTATCCTAGCTGCAGCTTTGTCCAGGATCGGGAAAACTGTCCTCCACATTGACAGGTATTTGCGTGCTCTTTCAATCACTAAAGCACCCTTCATCTTTTCTAGTACCTGGCCTTTTATGCACTGCCTGAGTCACTTTATATTCTGTATGCGGTCAAAATAAGCAAAGGACTAAGGATCAATGTGCAATATTACTGTATGTGGAAAAATACCTATTCATATTTCAGATACAAAACTGTAATTGTTATGTCACCACCAGAAGTGGTGACATATTGTTAAAGTCTATTTTGTGTAATATGTAAGGTTTTTGCTGAGTGTATCGTTTACTCAAACCTTGAGATGAGCAACCCCAGATGATTAACACTTTGTACAAATGAACAAATGATTATCAGAGATGTTTAGAATACTATTATGGTCTATCAACTGCTTATTTTAGAAAAAAAACAATCCAAATTATAACTTTGTGATTCCAACTGCACAAACCCTTCACTTCTGTTATGTATGTACATACATTATTACTCATATAGAGTATCTATTCAGATGAGATTGTTTGAGAAACTATAAGAAAACAACTACACTATGTTAGTTTTGAATGAAGCAAACTACACAACAGCATGTTGTGATTTGGCAGAGAGACACTTAAATAAAGTATAATATCACACTACTATACCTTGCATTTGGTGTTCATGAGCAACCCATTTGGCTTATTAGTAATGATTATGTATTTGTTTTTATTTGTCTGTTCCTTATGAATGGTTTATGGGTTGAAAATTAGATGCTAGTAAGGCACTTTCAAAAATATATTAAACAATTCAATTAGACAAACAAAGTATCTTATGCATTTCTAGGTGTTAGGTATAGTAGTGTGAATATATAATCCCTTGATTATGCCAATAAGGTGATCGTACTAGCATTGATATTTTTATCCCACTGAATGAACTTCATCTGTGAGTTCATCCATTCGTTCAATTATTCATTTGTTTGTAGGAATTTTCAGTATGGTCAGTACTCAATTCAAAATATCTGCCATATTTTGGAAAATATAATCTTTGATAACTCAAATACCAGTTGAGGGATTATGTGGTTATATATATTGTGATTTAAGACAACTGCCAAAAAATAAATTTTCAAGATCTTTAAAATGGCTGCCATTTTTTAAAAAATGTCAATTTTGATATCTTGAATACTAATTATTGTCCCATCGAATAAAGTTCGGAGGGATATAGGGAACGCCTTATATGTATAGAGTCAATAGAAGTATTTTGCCTGATTATGTATCAAACTTCTTCCTTCCATTTAAAAGAAATCATAATAGGGCAAATCAATATAGATTTGACAACAGTATTCCAATCAAGCGGCCAGCTATTTATAATAGAACATGTATTTTTACTGCAATGACTGAGTGGAACTCATTGACACCTAAAGTTAGAAGTTCAAATAATCTAAATATTTTAAAATCAGAAATTAAGAAGGGTCTAATAAATACCAAAATGATCTGTACTTCATATCTTGGCCTAAATAGAAAACAAGAGATTATCTTCAATAAAGTAAGATGTGACTTAGTATTCAAATCTCATTTACATTCATACAATTTCACAAATGTGGAATCTCCAATGTGTCAATGTGGATTTAAAAATGAGACAACCCTGCATGTTGTTTTTAGCTGTTTACGTAGATCTAGATTTTTGGCTGAATTTGAAGATGAATTAAGGAGCATAAGAAATTTCAATTATCAAGTTTATAGATCTCAACAAGATAAACTTTCCCTTTATGTAAATGGTGATCAAAGCCTACCAGACAGAGTCAATTCTTGTATTTTAAAGCTAAGCGCACAATTCTTTGAAAGATGTGTAAATGTCTAGTCACTCTTTCCACCACCTGTATATTATTTTAAAATCTGTGACCAAATCACATGTACCTTAAAGTATTAAACGTGGCTATTAATACTGTTAAGTACAGCCGCTATTTGTATTTGTATTTTGATATGATAATTTGTTATAAAATAAACTGAATAAAAAAAGAAAAAGATACTGTTGTCACAAATGATTGTCAGGCTATTCTGGTGTGAACCAGGGACAGGCCTTAATTATTAGAGCCCTACCATCATTGTTGCATAATATTAAGACTGTTTATTTCAGGAATGATTATTACAGTGGTGACTGGGCTACATTCAACTTTGAAGGACTACAGAAGTGGGCAGTTAAGCATTCTGTAAGTTTTGATTAGATATGTGCTACACTATCTTGTATTCAGAGTTTTCTCTGAATGCTAATATTGTTTCTTGAACAAAATCTTTCCATGATAGCTGACTATTGATCATATACAATTATCTGATGTATGAAAGTTTAAATAGGTCTATTCCACATCTAAGTGTATTTTTACACCTATGAATTGTAATGATGACATCTTGTCATGTTAATCTATGATGTTGTCACATGTTTATTTTAGGGGACAACATCAGAGAGTAAATTGAAGCCGAAAGAGGTTGAGCTTTCATCATTATTAAAAGATGGCGAGACAGTAGTTGATGCCCAAATAAACAGTAACACTATAAGTAACGTTAATCAGAAATATTTTATAAGGTAACTACATCAGCGAGAATTTTGTGCCAAGTGATGCCTAGCTCACATTTGGTGCAATTCATTGGTTGGCGCCTGGTCGATTGAGTATTTTGTTCAAAATTGAAGTGAACTCCTGAGAACTTGTATATGATTTGAAGCAAGTTGAAAACAATTTTTAACAAAATACTGGAATTGGTCGGCGTCGGGAATGATTCTGAGCAAATGTGACCTAGGCATAAGCAGTGCGACAAGTTCTAAATTGAATAAATTCCTCAGCGATGCATCATTTTTGATTTTAAAGGCATTTAATTCACTATTCCACATGTATTTTTTAAGCTTTAATAATAACAGAAAGGTACAACTATACTCATGTACATACACCTACTTTCAAGTTTGAATTCTTTTCTTTTAGTGAAAAACCTGCTTTTGATCCAGAAACATCCATTCCAAAACCAGATGATCAAAAAGAAAATAATTATCCAGATGCGCAACCCAGTTGTGAAAATACTGATGAAGACTCTGGTAAAAATGACACTAAACCAAATGATTCAGATCAAACAGTCCCAACATATGATGCACCATGTAATGAAGAAACCAACACTGATAAACTCTCAATGGACTCCACAGAAGATCAAAATAAAGACACAAATGATTCTGTAAAGCAAGATGTGAATGATAAAATATCAGATGATGCAGTTAAAGGTGATAAAGATGCAAACGTGGAACAAACTAAAAGTAAAGTTAAAGAGATCCAAGAATCAAGTGAACAATGTAGCAAGGAGAAAGGGAAAGTTGTATGGACAGTTGAGGGATTCAAAAAACAATGGCGCAAATTTAACCTTGATTTGGCTCCAAAGGTGGGTATGCGTGTTATTTTGAGAAATGTTGGCTGACACTTAAATTGTTACAGGCCTCAACTTTTTTGTGGATGGTGTTCGGTGTTTGGCATTCAGTGACTGGTGTTTGGTGTTCAGTGGACGGCATCTGTAACAAATGGTGCATAATAACACTTTGCATGTTAACCGTGTTCATTTTTGTAAGGTGGCCTTATGTGAACCCATTATGAAAAATGTGTCAACATGCATGGAACTCATTATATACATATTGAGAAAGCTCTACATATATACATTTTATTCCCACTTTACTGACCCAGAAAATTGAAATCTCATGAAGCTCTTACTTAATAACTCAATCAATAGAAATGTCAATATTACATTTGCAGATTCTGTTCTCCCGAGGGGCTATGGTAGAACTACTTATCTCATCCGACATTGCCAAGTACTGCGAGTTCAAGACTGTCACCAGGGTATTAACACACATGGATGGAAACATAAAGATGGTATGCATTTTTTTACTCAAATAGACATTTTCGATAAATCCTGACCCTTTACTGAAGAAACTAAGGTGTATAGGTTAGAATAATGGTGTCATATTTGATGATGTCAGAATGATGTTATATGTTGCAGAAGCAGTGTAAATAAAACTGAGTTTTTGAAATAAACAATGGCAATACAGTGTGTTTACAGGCCTGTTGCCAGGAGAGGTTTGGGGTTGGAGTGAATGAGCCAGGAATACTTTCAAAATCATGCAGTTTTCCACCATTCTGAGCACTTTTCAAGTGATTTTTGGCCAAAGTTGTCAATTGTGAGCCCAACTGGAATTTTTGAACCCCTATAGGCAAGATTTGTACGATACAATGTGGAAAGCCATACTTTTCGATCTTATTGTCCTTATATTACTTTATTATTATTCTCTTTATTACAGACTCCCTGCTCGAGGGCTGACGTGTTTGCCAACAAAGAAATCAGCATGATCGAGAAACGAATGATGATGAAGTTCTTAACTTTCTGCATGGAATATGAAAAACACCCTTCAGAATATGAAGGTAAATATTGAGAGTGAATGTGCCAGCATTCATATTGTAGCAAAAGTTCATCTATCATAAACATTTTTAAGATAAGTCATAGGCGTAGCGCCCGGTACGCTGGGTACGCACAGGCGTACTAGATGTTTGCAAATTCGCTCCAAATACAACCAAATTTCAAAATTTTCCTGTGGGAGAACCCCCAGATTCACTCAACTCTTGTGCCTGTGGTGGTGACGTACTATTTGGAAAAATAGCGCTACACCCATGTAAGTGTCTGTGTAAAAAAGCGTCTATTACTTATTGGTCTCCCCTTGTATATAATAAACATTTGATTGCATATTTTGTAATGTAAACAGGATGCATATCATCCCACATTAACATTATATAATATGAGTACTTCTGATAAACAATTTATTCATTTCTACAGGTCACGAAGGCAAGACCTTTGCTGAGTTTTTAAGTATAAAGAAGTTATCACCTAATCTCCAACATTACATTCTGAATGCAATCTCCATGGCAACTAAACAGACTCCACTTAAAGAGGTATGTTTGATTCCTGGCATTTTTCTCTTCTCATTTCACTCTTAAATTTTAGTCTATTATTTTTGCTTTGTACATGGTAAAATGGAGGAAAAGCAAAAAGATGTCTATTATTTAAGAGATTTTTAGATGGCCACTCAGACAGGCAGGAGAAAATAGACATTGAATATTCTAGACATAATCGATTTAGGATTTTGCAGTATTATAAAGATGTCTCTGTGGTTGCATATTTTATATGACGTTCCTAAATTCAACAAGATTAATTAGACATACATAAACAGAAAAATTAGTTAGAAATGTTTCTTTGATAATAGAGCTATAAGCTCAGCCTGCCTTATAAATTAATTTATTGAGTTCGAATAAGGCTATCATTCTCTATAGCAGTGCATTTCTGTCTACCTCGGCGCTGATCTTTAATTTTTTTTATCCTTTGGATTTCTAATATTATGAGATTTGGAATATAACAATAATTCCTTTGAATTGTTATATCTCTATTCAATTTTCGTTACTCATATTTTTTAACTTGATTTTACTTTCATATGACAGGATATTGTGTCAACGAGCAACCTTAATAACCTTAAAAACCCTTGGGATTTTGACATCTGCATGAAAAAGGATTGAGTCTTGATTGCTCTGAACGAAATACTATGAGATTATAATATTATAATATCACCAGATCTTGAAGACAAATATGTGGCTCTTCTCTAACAGTTATTTTATATTTCCTTAGGGACTTTCCAAAACTCAAAAATTCCTGCAATCTCTTGGTCGCTATGGTAACACAGCTTTCCTGTGGCCCTTATATGGAAGTGGTGAAATACCGCAGTGTTTCTGTAGGTGAGTGGATAAGACCTTTTATATAGATTAATGAGTGAAGATGGAAAGAAAAGCTACCATATCTAATGTTGCTGAACTAAAAATTAATTAAGTCAATACATGATGCAGTGTTTTCCCCAGAATTTTTTGGGGTGGGTGCAAAATTCTTATTTTCACAATTTAGTCCAAAATTGGTCAAAATATGCCATTTTACATGATTTTTATCCCACCCTAAGGTGCTATATTGTAATCAGTTTGCCGGGCGGTTGGGTGGGCGGGTGTCCCGAATAATCTTGTCTACAGGTTTCCAGCCAAACCGTTTGAGGGATTCATTTGAAATTCTCAGGGATGTTTCTACCTATGAAACTTTAGAACTGATTAGTTTTTCAGCATTCTGGGTAAATGTTGGCCATTTTGGATTTTTCGTCCTAAAATCTTGTCTGTCAAGGCTTGTCTACAGGTTTCCAGCCAAACCGTTTGAGGGATTCATTTGAAATTCTCAGGGATGTTTCTGCCTATGAAAGTTTAGAACTGATTAGTTTTTTGGCATTCTGGGTAAATGTTAAGGCGGCCATTTTGGATTTTCCGTCCTAAAATCTTGGCTGTCACGGCTTGTCTGTAGGTTCCCAGCCAAACCGTTTGAGGGATTCATTTGAAATTCTCAGGGATGTTTCTACCTATGAAAGTTTAGAATTGATTAGTTTTTCCGCATTCTGGGTAAATGTTAAGGCGGCCATTTTGGATTTTCCGTCCTAAAATCTTGTCTGTCAAGGCTTGTCTACAGGTTTCCAGCCGAACCATTTGAGGGATTCATTTGAAATTCTCAGGGATGTTTCTACCTATGAAAGTTTAGAACTGATTAGTTTTTCGACATTCTGGATAAATGTTAAGACGGCCATTTTGGATTTTCCGTCCTAAAATCTTGTCTGTCAAGGCTTGTCTACAGGTTTCCAGCCAAACCATTTGAGGGATTCATTTGAAATTCTCAGGGATGTTTCTACCTGTAAAAGTTTAGAACTGATTAGTTTTTTGGCATTCTTGGTAAATGTTAAGGTGGCCATTTTGGATTTTTCGGCCTAAAATCGTGTCTTTGAAGGCTTGTTTTAAATAATAAAAAAGAATTTCCCATTGAGAGCAATGTTAAATTAAAAAAATGTTTTAGAAATAACTAAACGGTCAATCTTTCTAATTTTCACATATTTTGTAATACATCAGTATATCTTTTACCAGGATTTTTTTCAGGAAAATCTGAATTGTAGAAAAAAAGCTGATACACTGTGAAGTAATACCTTAAAACGTGTCTCTTGAGGGTGGGGTTTACAGGTTTCATGGATTCATCCTAAAATCTTAGAGATGTTTCTATGGAAAGTTTAGAACTGATTAGTTTTTAGGCAGTCTGGGTAAATGTTAAGGTGGCCATTTTGAATTTTTTGGCCATTTTCAAGTGGGTGTAAATGAAATCTCAGGTGGTTGCAAGCCCATTTTTTAAAATCTCACGTGGGTGCTGTGCCCACTAAGGCTTTAATACTGGAGAGATCACTGCTTCTATATCATTTATACCTTCTCAGTATGAATGATGCGTGCTTTACCTTTTTAAACTTGGAATAAACTTCATGTGATACTCTTTCTATACAGGCAACAGACCAGACTCAGGAAACATATTTTCCTCAGAAGACTAAAAATAATCATAATATTACGCAGATCTTCATAATCAAAGTCTTCATATTCTAGAATGTTTTACAGAGGAGTCAACCTGACATGTACTTTTATCATCATTTTATGTCACCACCAGAAATGGTGACATATTGTTATAGTCTCCAACTTTTTTGTGGATGTTGTTTGGCAAATAGTGTTTGGCATTCAGTGGTTGGTGTTTGGCATCTGTAATAAATGGCAGGTGGTGAATATTTTGGATGTTAATGCCTTTTATTATATTAATATGTTCCCCTATATGGTATGCCTTGTATTGATATGGTCCCTTATATGGTTATTTCAGAATGTGTGCTGTATTCGGCGGAATTTACTGCCTCCGTATGGCAGCTCAGTCTGTCATTCTTGATTCAAATTGTAGCCACTGTACAGGAATCATAAACACAGAAGGTACAAGGCTGAATTGCGATTGGCTGGTGATGGAACAGAGCTACACACCCCAAAGTTTTCTACCTGACTCGTATAGCTTGAGGTAAATGTCTCTTACACTTCTAATTTATTTGCTCTTTTGGTTCTTATTTTGGGTCATATATTATTATGTCACCACCAAAAAGTGGTGACATATTGTTATGATCTCCATTCTTTTGTGATGGTGGCAATCAGTGCAGTGGTTGACGATTGATGATAAGATTATCTACGAGTTCTCAAAAGTTCAAATCTGACTATAGATTTGAGATTTGACCTTAATAATACCAGTTGACAGATTTGGTCCAAATTTATATGAGTCCTGCTAAAGAAGGAATTTCCAAGATGGTCTAAATTTAGAAATGGCCAACATTTTTGTAAAAATGTAATCTTTGATAACTGAAATACCAGTTGACATATTTGGTTCATATTTTTTATACTGATGCCTAAGCTACAAAGGAGTCCTACTTAAGAAGAAATTTTCAATATGGCTGCCATTTTTCATAAAAATGTAATTTATGATATCGCAAATGCCATTCATGAAATTGCAGTCCAAAATGTCTCTTATGGGCAAAGGACTTCTGCTCAATTAAGGCATTTTCAATATGGCCACTCATTTCAAAATGTCTGCCATTTTTCATAAAAAATGTGATGACTCTAATGTCCAAAATGACTAGGGATTAAATAAAATATGTTTTGTTCGTCAAGATTTGCTACTCAGCAAAGTTGTTGTTTTCTCATATCTAAACATGAATTACACCTGCCAATGTTAAAATATCAAATTGTCCTCTTAAACTGATACAAAATATATCTGAAGGGATGGAATTTCGATATATTTTGATATATAAACATGAATTACACCTGCCAATGTTAAAATATCAAATTGTCCTCTTAAATTGACACAAAATATGTCTGAAGGGATGGAATTTCAAGATATTTTGATGAGAACATGTAAAATTAAAATTAAAACCCTATTGAAAAGATTTGGAGCTCACTGTTGCCTTTAAGTTTAACTTTTTATCGAAACCAAATAACATAAGCAGCCATAAATATAATATTTCAATATATTTATCAAATAACTAGAGGTTTAAGATTGCAAGCAATCTTACGGAGGCCCTGTAGGCTTTTTTGAACATTTAAAGGTCAGCCAAAGGTCAAATCTTAAATACAAGGTCATATATGAACTCCAGGCATCTTGTAGATGATTTTAAAAAAAAAAGTTTGGTCAATTTGAAGCAATGTGAAATTTGACCTTGAAAAATTTCAACATTAGACCTTTTTCAGTTTTTGAGGTCCAATATCTCAAAACTGGTGCAGAATTTTAGTAGATAATCAATTGTTAATATGTGTAAAACCTTTAGAGAAATATATATCCTGACTTTAATTCAAAAATATTGATTTGTAGTCACAAACTTTGAGAAAGTTAGAAAACACAGTTTGTGATCTTGTTTGATGACCTTGACCTTTGACCTTGACAATTTTACTTTTTTAGACCTCAGTATATCTTTTCTGATTGAATAAACCTAAAGAATCCAGAAAATCAATTTGAAAAATCAACTTTTTTGACCTTTCGAAGGTCACTGAAGGTCAAAACTAAGGTCAGATTTGAGTTCCTGAGATCTTGTAAATGCTTTTTAAAAAAAGTTTGGTCAATTTAGAGCAAGTTGAAATTTGACCTTGAAAAATTTCGAAATTTGACCTTTTTCAGTTTTTGAGTTCTAATATCTCAAAACTGGAGCAAAATTTTAATAAATAGTCAATTGCTAATATGTGTAGAACCTTTAGAGGACCTTTTTTAGACCTCAGAAGGGCTTTTGTGAATAAATATACCTAAATTTGAATCCAGAAAATCGATTTGAAAAATCAACTTTTTTGACCTTTCGGAGGTCACTGAAGGTCAACTGAAGGTCAAAGATCAAAAGTAAGGTCAGATTTGGAATCCTGAGAACTTGTAGATTGGTCAATTTGAAGCAAGTTGAAAAAATACATTTTTTGACCTTTTTTTGACCTTCAATATCTCAAAATCTAGGCAAAATTTCTCTAGACGGCAAAAGGCTAAGACTAATAGAATATCTATCTGTATGCAAAAATATTGAAGTGTAATGTCAGGATTTGAGAAACTTGAAAAAACTTAGATTTGACCTAGATTTTGACATTTGACCTTGACCTAGATATGAACTAATTTCCCGACAAGTCCAGCCCAGGTCCCTAATAGGACTATATATGAGATAAGTCAAAGCTAGCTGGAAGTTGGAGAAAAAAATGCTAAAAAGAATAATAAATAAATAAATAAAGAATAACTACAAAAATGATAGAAGGCCCCTTGAAGGGCCTCCTAATAACTTGTCAATATTTTACATACATGAGAATAATATGCAAATACATGTATTAAGTTACACAAAACATTGGCCTAAGATAATGTATGTATAATTTCTCTTCAATGAAAGAGAGTTACATTCATATTAACATGTAGAGAAAATTAAGTAAGATTATAAAACATATTTGTTTTACTTGATGTAAGGTAAAGATGATAACTAACTTTTATCCACAAGAAATTGTCTTTGCCTGTGTAACTCGTACACATGCCTACCTAAAAGCAACATAGTCTCCTTATCATCATTGTATACAGTTCCTAGAACCACTTTAATTAAGAATAAAATCGCCATTCATTACATTCAGATTACCCCTAGCTAAATTGAGTAAGGGTTTTTCAACTTCGGTAAAAGCTGGACAAGTAATCAAGAAATGCTTAACGCTCTCTTTCGTTAAGATCACAAAAAATACAGATTTCTGATAAATATGTGTCACCCTCACGGCGTCTACTGTTAAAATATGTCGAGGTTAATCATTTGACCATCATTTTACAAAGGTATAATACATTGGGGTTTTCTTTTGCAATCACCCACCATACATTCAGTTTTAGGATAGACATCCTGTCACCGCGTTTAGATTTTACACACTAATGATGATAAAACAGTACAATAATTGTGAAAACTCTTGACACGTCCTTAGACTACAGTTCTAAATTCTTGTTTTGAAGGAATTTCTGCATTAAAAAGCATGTTCTTAACATAGGCTATGAGGTTATACTGCACAACTGTATCCCACATTTGAGATAATGGAGATTTCAGACCTTGAGATGGTGATTTTAAATACATCATCCATATTAACCTTTCTAAACAAATGACCTTATATCGGGTGTCCCAAAAAAAACGTCCCACTTTTTGAGCTCTTATAACTCTGCAAGATATTAACCAATTCATTTGAAATTTATCAGGGAGTAAGATAAGGATATTATCTATAAGCTATAAAAATATTAAATTAATCGGATGTACATTATGTGAGTATTACCAAATACAAGATAGCATAGCAAGAAATGTAATATCGGAGGACAACTCACTTAATTCACCTTATAATGTAGATTGATGAGCATCGCCAAATACATAAGTTTAACAGCATAAGATAAAAAGTTGGTACAGCAATTTATATGATCGTTATTCATCCGCAGATGTCAAGAAGATCATTTTCACTGATGAGAAGGACTTTTCTCTTGAAGTGCCCAAAAATCGTCAAAATGATCGGGTGTATGGAAAGCGTAAACGTCAAATTCAACCATCACGTCTTTACCATGAAACTTCACGTTATCCAAAAAGATAATGGTTTCTGCAGGAGTATCCTGGAAGGGGAAGACGGACATTTATTTCATTAATACTGACAAAGCCAAAGTCAACAGCGAAAGCTATATTAAGTTATTAGATGAAAATCTGCTACCTGATTGTAGGAGGATTTACCCTAGAAATGACTATGTGTTTCAAGATGGGGCCCCTTCCCACACAAGTGGGGTAACTCATGCGTATCTGGAGATATCCACCACAGCATTTATCAAAAAGGTTGAATGGCCTCCACAAAGTCCAGACTGTAATCCAATGGATTACTCTGTTTGGGATCCTCTAAATCAAAAAGTTAACAGTGGTATGAGGGATAATTTTACAGAACAAACATTAAAAGAGAGAATAAGTGCGTCATGGCAGGAGATATCACAGAATGAAATCAAGAGCAGTATCTATGTATTGAAGAAACGACTTCGTTTAGTTGTGAAGGAAGATGGAGGCCACATTGAGCACAAGTTATTAGATAAGTGGGTTGTCGATCTTTTGCTGTACCAACTTTTTATCTTATGCTGTTTAACTTTTGTATTTGGCGATGCTCATCAATCTACATTATAAGGTGAAATAATTGAGTTATCCTCTGATATTACATTTCTTGCTATGCTATCTTGTATTTGGCGATACTCACATAATGTACATCCGATTAATTTAATATTTTTATAGCTTATAGATAATATCGTTCTCTTACTCCCTGATAAATTTCAAATGAATTGGTTAATATCTTGCAGAGTTATAAGAGCTCAAAAAGCGGGACGTTTTTTTTGGGACACCCGATATATACAGCTTACAGGAAGCCTTAACAACATATATGGAAACATCAATCTATCACAGTCAATTTTTGCTTTTAGACATCCATCCAAGCAGACTAATCTACCAGAAAATTAAAGTTGATAACCTTTATTTTCTTCAAATTATTTTGTATTATTTTGTGCCCAGTTTTTTGTGTCACTCTGTATTTTAAATTTTTATGAAGTAAATATACAGTTATACATTTTTATGATGTAATATTATAATATGTTTTACTAAATTTTATAGAGTGTTCAATAAGCAATGTAGGTTTTATGTTCACCCTAAATAGTCACTCTAGATTGTGCCATTTTAATCATGACTTTCAGCATGACATTTTTATGGTCACTCTGCACTTATTTATATGACTTCACAAAATCGTCATGTTTAATTTTATATATGTATAATAAAGTAATATATTCAAAATGGTGTAAACGCAGACTTGAAAAAGCAGTCATAACCCTAAAACTTTGGCTTAGTCCCATAACAGTTGGTAATAGATACAGATTTCTGAAACCTCTATTGAGTATCAGATTCTTCAACAGAATTCAACCAACCAAAAAATTTTCTAGTACATGTAGCATAACTTTCTATTAATTTGATCTGGTCTGATGGTGGCCTGTAGAAAACAGCATCTTGTTTTGTATGAATGTCCAGGGCAGGGTCTTTGTTTTGTAAAAGGACATATATATCATAATATGTATCTAACATATCCAGGTATCTCCATTGAAGGTTTGGTCCATTTAAACTTCTAATTGTAATGTAGTAATGTATAACAGGTTTCTTGTAAAATGCCTTTGTGTCTGCAACTATCAATTGATAGTGAATGTTAATTTCATCATTGCAGTCATCACAAAGTTTGTTGAATTCTTTCGGAATATCATATATTGTCACGTTATGACAAGTGATTGTTACATCGATGAAGTTATCTTCTGATTTTACGACTTCCAAACCAGATATATGCAAAATGTCTTTCCTGGGTATTATATAAGCCCCATTGGTCCAGTCTTCAGCCATACTAACGTTGTTACTCATTTTATTACCATTATTAATTGCTCCTTTCTTTACAAAGTACAGCTCAAATTTGTCCAAATGCTCCATGACTGCTTTAGGATAGTCAATAGTAAGAAGGGACAGTCCTGTCACAGTGATAAGCCAAATGTATGCCACAATGTACATGGCATATGTAACTTTATATCTTTTGATCAACTTTTCATATAATTTTTTATTAACATAATAACGTCTACGAATCTGATATAATATATACCCAAGTATCAATACTTTAAATGTGCTTGTAAATAGTGCAATGAACAATTGAATGTATAAAAGACTATTAACTTTATATATTACCTCATGGCATATCATGATAAAATAGTGGATTGTTCCAATGCTTAAAAAATATGGAAACATAAACCATCCAATAACCCAAAATTCGAAAGAAGAACATATCCAATGAAATGCACAATTTAATACTAGTACTATAAACATGCGATAAATAATTGGAAAAATCATCCATGCTTTAAAATCAATACCACCGCAAGATGAAATTTTTCTGGATGTTAAGTCAGTAACAGTTGAAGAAGGATCAAGAGTTAATACATCATATAGGTTAGCTAGAACATCTAGTATCATTAGTATATATACAAATCCATTTAACAGCCATATTTTTGGACATTTTGCCATTTCAAATTTTGGTTATCATATTTTAATCAGTATGATGATACATAATGTAGAGTATTAGTTCTTGAGTCTCACTTGTACATGGATATGTGGAACATTTTATATTAATGGTTTTATTCCTACTTCACTGATATACAGCAAAATATCCCTTATTCACCCTTTGCAAATTCAGATCCAAAAATGACCGTTATTATCTGCACAGTGCGCACATGATAGCTGTACCGCTTGTTTTCATATAGCACAGTCTGCATACAGTGTTATTGTTAGTGCAATTTAGCATGCAGTTTAAGACCCAATCATTTCCTGTGATACTGCTTTATATCCAAATTAATTTATTCTCTCCTAATTCAGTCCTGTTCTCAGATAATATGAATGTATGTGTCACCAGATAAGTGTTATTAATTTGTTGCTTTGCTCTTCTTTGATTCTATTATGATCATATATGGTAAACCATTTTATTCTAAAGCTTGAAATGTGTACATCTGCGTCTGCACATACTCCAATAAATGCACGTCCAACTTTTTTATGAAAGTGTAACAGTTGGGCCTATTTGTGGAAAAATGTGGATAGCGCGGCTAATAATAGACCCCAAAGTATTTAGTAAACAGTGATTACTTGGTGAATTGCATGGCACACATTAAATGCAATGGTCTTATTAATTTTTAAAGAGTAAAAACTTGAATTATTGTGATATGCAGAGGATATATATTATCATTTACAAGGTCGTTTAACAACATTTTAACCAATCAAAATAGAGAAGATACAACCAGGATGTAAACAACTGGCATATTTGGAATTTAAAGATGTTCACAGGTCATGTTAAATATAAAGGCAGGTGAACCATTTCCCATTAATAAAGTGGTATGCCCCTCTAAGCATTCTTTTATGTTGAAATATTTGAATTATATGTTTACCTTTCATCTTTATGAATGATTTTGAGATGTTATATGCTAGGTCACAGTAATTATTTTTCCAAAGTTAAATTTCAAATATGCTTACCCTGGGCACTTCTAATGAAGCGTAACAATCATGCATTATAAGATCACACAATTCACATGACCATTATAATAGTTCACAACAGTCAAGATCACATATTATTTGACAATTTAATGTGTTTGATAGCTTATTTGACAACTTATTATGTATTTTAACATGTTTAATGGGGGCTATTCTAGCTAGTTTTTTTATTTGCCCCGGGTGCCTTGACTTCAAGTTACTATGGCAACCTTTTCTTACTTAATGTTTCTGTTATTCTAAATATTTTTGCTGGATTAATAAAACAGTCCATGCTGCACATTCTGTGAAAATTTCATAGGAAAATATTGAAAAATAAAGAAATTGGAGAGATATTATGAGAACTTTATGATCAACCCTCGTATGTAAGTGTGGTATTGTATATATCAATTTTGGGAATCTTTATTTTATACTTTATAAAAACTCTACCTAATAAACTTGATGAATCATCATATATAAGAAATTAACATACAGGGTTAACATTCTTTTGGCAGTTTTAGTTTCCATGGCAATGAATATATGTCACCATAAGAACAGATTATTTGTTTAACACACTTCTCTCATTATTAGCTCATTGCAACCAGGTGAAGACATTTTCTCATGTAAATACCTTGTTTTAAAGTTTGTGCCTATTAGGTGGTGTGATTTCAATCACGTCATAGGCCTGTCACATGTTATAGTTGTTTTATGTTATATTGTTTCAAATAAGTGCAGTTTGCCTTATCCTTTGAGTAAATTTTAAATTGTTCATAGTCCTTTATGTAGAAATTTCATCCGTGCCTATTCAGCTCTTCATGCAAAAAATTTAATGGTGGCCTATGGCAGCGCATGAAATTCCATGCACATTTTATTAATAACTGATAGTGAGAACTTGCAACGAATGAAAGCATAGCACAGAAGTTAAACCCAATCACGGCAACAAGAACATTCAGAACATTCAGATTAATAAATAAAAGCCGTGGTATTTTTTTTAATAGTATTTATTGCATGAGTCATATATTACAATTAACAAAATGTAATAATGTCAATCGCCCTGAGATATTACAGACATATTCACAAATAGATAAAATACATACAGGCAATAACTTGATTGGAAAATAAATGTAAAAAAGAATTAAAAATGTGATAAAATGAATGAGTATGAAGAATGAAATGATGATGGTGAAGGTGACAGTAGGACATGAAAAGGATGTTTACAAAGTCTGATCAACCTCTGTTTGATGATTCTATAAAATCTGAAATTGTGTGTGCCAGAGATTCATTTGTTTTGAAATTCATTTTATTAGAATTTCCAAACAGAAGTAATTTAACTTTGTTTCTCATATTCATTTGCTTGAAATAATCAAACACATTGAATTTTGCAAGCTCTGCGAAAAGTTTGTTCCGTTGGGGGTTGTATAGGGTACAATTGAGAAGGAAATGTTTGCTGTCTTCCATTTTATTTCCACATGAACAAGCTGGGGATAAGACTGAATTAAAATTGTGAGCAAAGAAGTGAGCATTTAGAAATAAATCAACTCTAAGTCTATTTAAGGCGATTTCTTTCTCATGGTCTAAAATAGGTAAAATGAAAGCATTGTAAATTTTTTCAAGATGTCTTGAGGTTACTTTTTTAGAGATTGCCTTTAAGCCATTTACCATATTTGGATGCTTATTTGACACATGTCTAGCATGGTCATTAAAAGTTAATTTGTGGTCAAAAATAACACCAAGATGCTTATGAGATCGAACCTTTTGGAATTTCATCTTTTCCAAGAAATAAGGGTACAAGGTCGGGATTTAATAAATGTCAAATCCGCACTTTTTGAGGCTTTAAAAAATAACTTTCATGTATCAGACCACTTGGAAATCAGATTCAGATCATTTTGAAGAATAGCCAGTGAGTGATTTGGATTTGCAGGATCAAATTCGCGAAAAATGGATGTATCATCCGCATAAATACAACACAGTGATTGAACTAAGTCTGGAAAATCATTGATATAAATGAGAAAAAGAACCTTGAGGAACCACCGCATTTACAAAGTGATCTTCAGAGGGTTCGGCTAAATTGCCATTGACGTTAACAAAAAAATTTTCTGTCTGAGAGATAGGATTTGATGAGATTTACAGTGGGTTGATCAAAGTTATACTTTTCAAGTTTATAAAGAAGTAGGTTGTGGGCAACAGTGTCAAATGCAGCTGCTATATCTAGGAAGATCCCTTTAACATTATTACCTGTTTCGAGCCGCTTATGGATAAATTCTGTAATTGCAACAATTTGGTCTTCGTGCTGTGTCCCTTTAAAAATCCAGATTGAAAGTTGTATAGTAAATGGTTATTTGTCATATGAAATATCATATTCTTGTATATAATTTTCTTCAGAACTTTAGAGAGAGTATTTAGGAGAGTTATCGGCCTATACTGTAATTCGCGGGGTCAGATTTATCAGATTTTTTAAAGATCGGGCATACCTATCCGTTTTTCCAAATTGTAGGAAATGTTTGATCAAGTAGTATTTGGTTAAATAGTTTAGACAAAGGTTTTGATAAGGATTTTGAGCACATTTGAAGCATCTTGTTTGTGATTTTGTCTGGGCCACATGCTTTGGATGTGTCCAGATTTTTTAGAATTTCAAATATTTCATTGTCATTTGTAGATAAAGCTTCACTTGTGATGTTGCAACGCATTTGAAAGTTTGGTAGAGTAAAAGATTCTGGATTATCAATATGAAATTTAGAAGCAAATAGTTTTAAAAACATATCAGCCTTTTCGACTGATTTTGTGACAGTTTTCCCAGAAACTGTACAGGTTAGAGAAGGAATGCTACTTGTAAATTTGTTGCCAATGACCTTTGAAATTGTGATCCAGTATACTGAAGGTTTATTTCCTGATTCATCAAGAGTTTCAAAAAGGCTGTTATAATACCGTTCTTTTTTTTTCATTTACAATGGTTTCTTGCACAACTGCGCACTGATCTTTATAAAGTTGGTCATACATAATAACATTTTTTGATAATTTGAGCTTAGAAAATAATCTTGACTTTTTATGTCCCCACCACATAGTGTGGGGCCATATTGTCGTCCTAGGCGCGTCCGTCCGTCTGTCTGTCTGTCTGGTTGTCTGTCTGTCCGTCCGTCCGTACGTCCGGCAGTTTTCTCCAAAACCGCTACAGGTATCACCTTCAAATTTTCAGGAATAACTTGTGAGTGCATACAGATGTGGATGAAAAAAAATTAACTCGATAGCTACTTCCTGTCGGCCATTTTGAGGTCAAATGCTAAAATCCTTGTCTGCAAACTTTAAGAAAAACGGCTTCACAGTTGCTTTTAAAACTTTAACATCTTGTCCAGCTCACTTTATTCTACATCTGATTAGGTTTTGGACCTGTTAGCCCAGTCATGTCAGCCATTTTGAATGTCTGAAGAAAAGTTAGCGCGCGATAATACTTTGTATCATATTGAATGGTGTTTTTGAGTTTTCATACTTTAACTATTTAGTAGCTTTATAAATAATTCCAGGTGTACTTTGTTGAAAAAGCCTATGTTATTGTTAACAGTAGTTATATGTGATAATTTTGTAAAAGGAAATCAGCAAAAACTCGTAATCACTTTTTTATTGTCGGCCATTTTGGTTTTTTCCGTCCTAAAATCTTGTCTGTAAAGTCTTGTCTACACGTTTTCAGGTGAACCGTTTGGTAGATCAATTTCAAATTTTCAGGGATGAATCTTAGTATGAATATCTAGATCTGATTAGTTTTTTGGCGTTCTGGGTAAATGTCAAGGCAGCCATTTTGGATTTTCCGTCCTAAAATCTTGTCTGTAAAGTCTTGTCTACGCATTTCCAGGTGAACCGTTTGGTAGATCAATTTCAAATTTTCAGGGATGATTCTTAGTATGAAAATCTAGATCTGATTAGTTTTTTGGCGTTCTGGGTAAATGTCAAGGCAGCCATTTTGGATTTTCCGTTCTAAAATCTTGTCTGTAAAGTCTTGTCTACGCATTTCCAGGTGAACCGTTTGTTAGATCAATTTCAAATTTTCAGGGATGATTCTTAGTATGAAAACCTAGATCTGATTAGTTTTTTGGCATTCTGGGTAAATGTCAAGGCAGCCATTTTGGATTTTCTGTCCTAAAATCTTGTCTGTAAAGTCTTGTCTACGCGTTTTCAGGTGAACCGTTTGGTAGATCAATTTCAAATTTTCAGGGATGATTCTTAGTATGAAAATCTAGAACTGATTAGTTTTTTGACATTCTGGGTAAATGTCAAGGCAGCCATTTTGGATTTTCCATCCTAAAATCTTGTCTGTAAATTCTTGTTTAACTGTTTGACGGATCAATTTCAAATTTTCAGGGGTGGTTCTTAGTATGAAAATCTAGAACAAGCTAATTTTTGGGGATTCTGGGTAAATTTTAAGGCGGCCATTTTGGACTTTCCGTCCTCAAATTGTGTCAGTAAAGTCTTGTCTACTCATTTTCAGGATAACCAATTCATGGGATCACCCATTGGTGGGGACATATTGTACACATTTGTGTTCTTGTTTTGCAGTTCTTTTCTGACTTTATCATTTTTATTATTTTATGAGGAATGTTTTTTTGAAATATATCAAAAAGACTATTCGAAAATGTTTCGGTCAAAGTATTAATGTTCCTAT